TAATTTTTACGGACTTTTGGGGATTCTAAAAGTTTCTGAAGATTTATAAAGTATTAAAGTAATCCAAGAAAGATTTGTCAAAAACTTTTTATAAAAATTCCTCTTTTCTTCGTGTTTTGAAACTTGGGAAAGAAAAAATACAAAAATATTTTACAATACGAAGGTTTCAACACTGAAATAGATAACTTTTTTCACATAAATAGTATTTCCATTGGTTGGATTTGAAATTATCGAAAATGTCTTGAAGTTTTTATAAAATTTCATCAAATATTTCCAATTTTTCTCGAAAAACTGCAGATTGAATTGAATTTACACTTATTTTCATAGAAAATTTAAGGTTTTTAACAGTTTTTTTTTCCAAATTCTTGACAATTTGCAATTTGTTGATATTTATTTTTACGGAATTCTGATGGTAAATTCAAAGTATTTCCAAATATTTATAATGAGGTAAAAATCGGTTAATTAGAATAAATTTTTACTTTGACACACTTTTTATGGACACGGATTTAAATTTCACGAGATATGATAGAAATTTCTGAAAATTTTGACGATTTTTAAGTTTTTCGCCAATTTATAGAGATATTTGAGTAATTTGAAATTAAAAAGAAAGGCTAAAAAGAAGTGCTTTTAATTTTTTTTGTAGATTTCTTAAAATGTTTTGTATTTTTTTCTATTTGTGTTTATTTATTTCTAATACAAAAGCTACAAAAATGTACCAGTTATAATTCTATTTATTTATTTTGGTATTTTAAATTTTACAAAATAGACCCTACAATAAAAAGCTCATAAAAAATGCCATCCAATGATGCAATAAAATATAGGGTGTTGTATTAAAAAAGTCGAGTTATTGCCATTTTTTAAAAATCGTAGTAGGCGATGCAACATCGACTCAGAGTTCGACTTTACCTCAAAAGATGCTTTAAAATTTGAAGAATCGACTGAAAAAAAGTTGCTTAAGTTATTTTGAATCGTTCTTAAGTTATGAATTTTTCTATGGGTTACATTATTATAAATAATTTTAACAAACTAGGTGCGTTATATAGACAATTTAGTGGCGAATGTAAAAATGTAACAAAAATTAGAGGTTAAAAAAAGAAAAAAAAGTTATAGAGCTTGCACGCACCCCTGGATCACCCTGTATTAAATAAAAAGTCGCTACACTCGATAAAAAATTTATTTCGATTGTTCAAGGTTCTCAAAATTCTCGTTTTGCAGGTGGAGAAAATCCACGTCATTATTACAAAAAAAAAACAACATCGATCTCAATTGCGTCGAAACCAAACGTTTATGTTTACAAACATTGCGAATACAATGACCTTGATAGATAACATGGCGTCGTTGTCTTCACGTGTGTGCATGAAGATGCGACGTGAAATTTCCTTCACACGACTTCTTCCGCATTTGAGAGACAAATTTTTTTTTCAAGAATTAATCACAATGCAATTCCTATCACGTTTCAATGCATTATTGCGCATGCACCTCCTGTTTTCCTTTCGCATTATGTCCGGAAATAAAAACAAAACCCTTTTTCCCCAACCTTGACGAGTCGCCCAAAAAACAAATCCAAGTACGGTTGTTATAGAAATGTATTGTAACTATGGTATCAAAAAAAAAAACCAAATTCGTCGTCATAGTAATAATAGAAATTTCAAAACCAGTGGCGGGTAAACAATTTTTTTTTATCTCACTTTGCGCCACTAAAAATAAAAAAAAAACTTCGTCGATCCTTGTGAATAATTAATAAATTAGCAACGAGAAGAGTCCATCGCCGAGATACGAATCTCTTGTTATTTTCACAGAAAAAGAAAAACGTGACTCGAGTGTTTGTAAAATTTTCAAGTCTAGGATGGAAGTTTTTATTTTACATTTTCTATTTCTCGCGACTTGAGGGCGAAATTGCGAATTGTGTAAATAACGCCAGTGAACACTCGATTATGCGCAAGGGTGACAAAAAAAAACACCCCTCTTGTGTAAGGATTATTTGAAACTTTCATGGGTCTTGAAGAGTACCAACACAATTTTAATTAAAGAAAAAATTAAGTTTATTAAATTGTTACGTGAAAACCCCAGAAAAATACATTTAGGGAATTTTATTACGATTGGTATTCTAAAATTAAATTTGATAGGTTAGAAAACCACACATTATATAACAATTAGTGCCAACATTACGAAAAAAAATACCATCCTTCAAGTTTATTTTCTAATATTTCAAGTTGAACATCGTATTTGCGAGGTGGCATTTTAGAGTGCGCAGCGCAGATCAATATGCCTCCACATTTCGCTCCCCCCCCCCATCCTTCTCATCACCCCCTTGACCACGATCAAGAGACGGGAGGAGGAGGAGGAGGAGAAAAAGGGAGTCCGGCTGGAACGGAGGCACCTTGCAGGTGGGGCGGAACCGTTCCGACGTTTCGGACACAATGATCAACATCATCAACCACCTGATCCCAATTTATAGAAAAAAAAAAAAAGAAAAGAAATAAATAATTATTCTTAGCTTGTATACATTGTAAATGTTATTGCATCAGAAACACAGTTGGCCACGTCGATGATGGCGTAACATGTGACATAACAAAATGACTCAGCACCTACTTCTTCAAGAAACACAAAACACTTTTACTTTACATCTATAAGGGGTAACCTGTCGAAAAAAATTAAAAAACTTTATCAAACGATTAAATAATCTAATTTAAAAGCCAAATTAAAAAGGAAACTAAAAAAAATGTTACAATAAAAGCCAATTTTCTTGTTTCGCTTAAATAATACAAAAAAAAAAGAATTGAAAAATTAAATCCGCCACTGAACTAAATTTTCTATTGTTACTATGGCACACATTTCTATAGCAACTCAAACAAAAATAACATTTTTGGCGATTATGATGTAACAAAAATTAAAATTCTTGAACCCAAATACCCCTTCACACAAGTATTTCCTCTATGACTATTAATAAAAATTAAAAATAAACTAGAAGCACAGTTTATGCTAGAGTGTCAAAAACAGAAATAGAAAAAGCACTATTTTCTAACACTTCCTTTTCGATAATTCGTTACGAAACAAATGATTACAATATATTCACTCTACAGGATTCATCATCATGTTGCTAAGATACGAGAAATAAATACAATTTGTAACTATGGTAATAAAAAGCTACAAAATAAATCGTCATAGTAACAAGAGGGAATCAGTGGCGGGTAAACGATATTTCCGGTTGCCAAATTAACAATTAAATAACTTAAGAGTAAAAAATAGCCTGAAAGCTTTGGTTAGATGACTTCCTAGCAATGCGGCCGCGCTACTGTCTATTTCCAGTTCGTCTGCCTGGCGAGACAAAGCGCCAGGTATTTATAGAAAGCATGCTTTGATTGTTACTAAATGTTCACAAAAAAATTTTTTTAGGCACATTGAAAAATTATTATTAAATAAATAATTACACAACTTTAATCGACAAATTGTCAATTTTCATGACCAACTTTGATGTCAAGCTTCAGTTTTATAGTCAAAACAATGTTGTTTTTGCTAATTTCGGAGATTATTTACATTTCGAACAAAGTTTCATATTTTATATTTTCTAATTTTAATAAAACTCGACGTTGGATTATAAATTAATTAATTAAATTAATGACAAGGAAGTGTACTCGACAATAACAATTTACGACTTATATCCGAGATGATGAAATTTTATTTATTTATGATAACAACAAACGAATAAATGTAATATTTTAGAGTTTTATTGAATTATATTGAAAACCAATGTGACAATTTCTTGATACCTAGGCAACAAAAATATTATCAATGCGATAACATTGATAATAATTTAAACGAAAAAAAAAACAGTTTAATTATAAGAGATTTCTTGGAAACGTGAGGGTCTGAATTTAATTATATGTTCTTTTTTTAATTTCGCAATTTATTACTACCCATATTGAAGATAAAAATGTCGGATTTTATATCAAAAGCCAACTACTTTTTTTATTGTAAACAGGAACAGAAATTTATTTATTTATATATTGTTACGGAGTACATACGCTAATGTTACAAAACATAAATACATTAACAAATCAAACAAACACATTTTGTAAATATAAATAAATTTCTATAACAATTTAATTATTTTCTCAAACTATATAAATGAAAATTTTGTGCGGAAAGTCGTCTATAGTACAATCGAATTTTTGAACAAAAAATAAAACAAAAACATTTTTGAAATGTTTACCCGCCACTGGACAAAATTTTCTATTGTTACTATGACGACTTTTCTTTTTATCATTTTTATTACCATAGATACAAACATACTTGTTCGTTTCTATAGCAATTACAAGTATGAATCAACTCATATGTGCACCTTTTTACCAATTGTCGTATCAACAAGAAATTACTTCCTAGGATTTAGGGATATTTGTGAATAGGTTGTCGTAATTAGTGTCAAAATTTAGGTTAAGTCACCTGTCAGTTTGTATGGATGATTTAATTGACAGGTTGACATAAAACCTCATACAAAATTACTTCTGAAAATTCTAGTTACAAACAACATGAAAAACGTAATTTTCCTAAAATTTCAAATCCTAGGTGGTAATTTCTTGTTACCGACTCAAACAAAATTTGAAAATTCGTCGATTGCACTGAAACTAGATTTTTAATTGTAAAATGGGAGCGGGAAATTTAAATATGACAAAATCTTCGAAATCATAAGTTATTTTTTGGTAAAAGTATGTTATTTTGTTTAAATTGTTGATTGAGCCATGAGCCACTTAAAATTGTTATTTTTATTTTTGATTATCACAAAATCCTAGATAAATTGTTGTGAAAATTGTCAAATTTGTTGTTTTGTTACCATGGTAATATTCTTTGTTGTTGAATGTCGGTATAAATGTCAACATAACCTCACCAATGTTGTGAAATAGTGAGTGTTGTGGACGCCATCGCCGCCACTGTCCTAACGCACGCCGATGACGTCATAAAACCTTGTATATCTTGTAGAAAAAAGATGTAATTTAACTCACTTTTGGGTTTGTTTTTGTCCATGAGCATGAGATGGTCGTGCTTGCGCCACGCCATGGGCTCCCTCGATCCCATCAACGTAGGAAGAGCCCTCTTGTGTTGTTGTTGTTGTGTCAGCAATCGGGGCTCAGCATAATGGCACCACTCGCGACACCACCTCCTCTAGCACATGGTAAACAATCCCGCGTGGCTCGGGGCCAGTAACCTCGCTCCAAGGCCAGGCCGGAGCGAGGGCGCCTCAGCGGCGGGCCCCCATCACAAATAACAACAAATGTGCGTGCGAAGCACGCCGACACACCACCACTTGTTTCCACCACTTCGAACACCAAGGGGGCACACACACACTGCACAAATCGGGGGGATCACCGATCTAGGGACACCACACTACCACACAAACGCTGCTAATGGGGGAACTTGGCCGATTTTTATCACAAGCACACCCTACACAACAAGCAACATGGCAACTGTTTTTGGGCGCAGGCACTGACAGCTACATGTCCGATCGTCGACACGATCATTCACGATCACACACGACGAATCGGCGGGGTTTTAGACGAGGGAAAGGAAAGCCCACATGGGGGCGCCACCTTACACTTTTTTTTTTAATTTTTAGTGCAAATATTAAATTCTTATTTACTGTTATTGTTTCACTAAATTCATGCTTTTTACGTTATTTACATCAATTTTTATAGTGGCCATTTGCACTCCAGTGGTGTAGGAAAAGGGGGGGCTTCACAATAAAAAGACAATTTCTTGTAAAAACTTTATTGTAGGTAATCAAAATTTATATATTTTCAAACTGAAAAATTAAATTTATTACTTACCTTTTTTCAATTCAGCCTATTTTTTTCTCTTATTAATTAATTCATTCATGTCATACTATACAGGATGTTCCGTCTAAACCCCACATTAGAAGTATTGGGAGCTGGAATAATCGTATTTATTTGAAAATTGGTACATAGTCATAATCCATTAAGTCCTCCTAAATGAAAATATTTTCAAGATGGCGGCACTTCCGCTTATACCGGAAGTCGGTCTCAACTTTCTTATTTTAAATGGGAAGCTATATTTTTTACTGCGTTTTTGAATTAATCGGGTTATTGACTAAATTTAGCCGTTTTTGAAATACTTCAAGTTTTTCAAAAATTTTTGGATCTGCACCTTACACTTTAAAAATCGGTAAGTCTGCCATTTTTAAAAATTTTGAATTCGTTTTTTGGCGTTTCAAAGAGAAAGTTTAGATCTTTCTTCCAGTGTTTCCAAATTTTGAAAAAAAAATTTACAAACCATGAAATTTTAAGGTTACTTTTGTAATAATTCAAATAGCCACAACTCAATTTTTCCAAATGAAATACTAAATAGAAGAGAATTTAATTCTGCATCGATCTGTATTACCAGTCCCTAATTTTAATTTTAAAATTTCTAGAACTGTAAGAATCAAAATCAAATTTCTAGAATTCTAGATTTATTTGGAAATTTTGAATAAAATAAGCAAAAATCAAAAGTCAAAACCTTTAAATAAACTAACTTTTAATAAAATTCTGGAATCGCAGAGGTTAAAAAAGATTCTAAAAATCTCAATTGAAATTAAGAACTAAAAAATTGAAAAATTCAGTGATTTAATTTGAAAATTTCTAGAAAAAAACCTTATTTAAGTTTCGCCGATGGTATTAATCTAAAAATTTGCGTATTTCATTGTTTTTATTTAGTGAAACAGGAAAAAATGAAAACTGCAACACCGCTCAGAAATTTTTTGTAATTTAAAAGCAGAAAAATGTGAAAATTAGAAAACGAAGGTTAAAATTTTTCATTTTTTCAAGTTAGGGAACTAGAAAAAAATAAAAAAGACTAACAAAATAGAAACAAAAAATATAAAATGTCTATTATTTCTATTATTATTCTCAATTCAGTGTTCCTAAAGTTCAAGATTTCAAAATAAAAATATTGGAATTTTAGAAGTTTGATTTTTATTTCTACCCCCATTCCTGCAGTTCTAGAATTTTTAAAACTAGAAATATCAATTGTTTTAAAATTTGTGATTTTATCTTTCTTATCAAAATAAAAAAAAATCAAATTGACAATCAGTAAGAATTTTTTTAAGTTTTTTAAGATTCTAATGTTTTGGAAACTGGATTTGTTTCTATTCTCATTCTACTCTATTCTCATTTTCTTTTCTTATTCTATTTTCATGCTTGAAGATTGTTTGTTCTAGAAATTTTGAGAGTTAGAAAACTAGAAAAAAAAACTAACAAAATAGAAACACAAAATGTCTAAAAAACGCGATTTTTGATTGTTTCGTTTGCGTGTTTTACTTTAATTGAGTGAAACAAAAAAAGAGAAAACTAAAACGTCACCTTTTTCTGTAATTTGAAAGCTGAAAAATGTGTAAATTAAAAACCAAAGATTAAAAATTCTAGAATCGAAAAAGTTAAAAATTAAAAAAAAAAACTATAAAGTTAGAAGCAATTGAAAAATCAAAAATTTACGGTTTTGAAAAGTTAAAAATTTATACAATCTTCAAGAAAAATAGAATAGAGGAAAAATAAAATAAAAATAGAATAAAAAAATAATAATAAAAATAGAAACCAAAAGATTAGATTCCTGAAATTAAAATTCTTAGTGATTTTCAATTTTGGAAACAGATAAAATGACAAATTTTAGAATTAGGAATTGGAAATTTTAATTTTAAAATTTCTAGAACTGTAAAAATGAAGATCAAATTTCAAAAATTCTAGTTTAGAAATTTTAAAATTCTAGAAAGCTGATACAAAATCCCTTAAAATAACCCGATTAATCCAAAAACGCAGTAAAAAATATACGCCATCTTAAAAATATTTTCATTTAGGAGGACTTAATAAATTATGGCTATGTACAAATTTTTAAATAAATATGATTATTCAAACACCCAATACTTCTAATGTGGGGTTTAGACGGAACACCCTGTATTATACAATGTTGACAAAATAATTGATATTTAAGTTTTGCTCCATTTATTTACTGCATAAAACTAGGTAAGTAAAGATTTGATTTTTAATAAATTAATCAAAGATAACTGTTAACTCTCACATCGCAATGTGATTTTTTTACGTGAATCCCCGAATTTCTAACCTCAAAAAAAAACGGTGAAGTTCAATAAAATCTAAAACTCATTAAATGGCCGTTAATTTTGCAGATTCGCGCATTTTTACGCAAAATAAGCTCAACGAGATCAATACACAATTTAGAGCGACTGCGTTCTTCCACTCGAAAAAAAAAACAAACAAAACACATGGAGATATTTATTGTTGAATAACATTTCAGAAACATAAGACTTATATTAAAATACAAGTTTAGATTTTCTCATTTAACAAAAAACAAAATTTAGTATCGAGGTCCGAATCTCGGCCTCCCTCGATACGGTTGATTATTAAAATCATTGAAATTCCCATAAAAATCATCATCTTCATCATATTGTCGCTGGAACCGTTGCGCTCCACAATCTTCTTCTTCATTAAAATGTTGTTGTGGCAAACGTGATGATGGTCCTCCCCCATATCTATTATGTCCGAAATTCTCTCTCGGATTTTCATAAGCAGGTCCAAGTCTTTCATAATATTCAAACTCTTCTTCGTAGAAAGGTCGTTCACGAGGTGGCCCTTTCTTAAATCCTCCTCCTCTTCCTCTTGGTGTCAATGGTAGTTTTTTCTTCACTTCCGTTTCTTTCTTCTTTTCCACTTTCTCCAATGTTGATGGTAGTGGTGGTGTCGTTGCCTCCTTCTTATCACTTTCTTTATTTTTCCCCAATAATTGTGCCGGTGTCAAAAACGCAATCGATTCATTCTTCACAAGTTTCGTCGGTGTTAATTCTTCTTCAATCACTTGAATTCCTACAGTACAAGTCTCTTTATTATCCGCACACTGTGATCCCACTTCCACGAATGTCTTTTGTTTACGTTTTTTACACTCTTCACATGCCACTTCTTTTTTCGCACCTAACATTGTAGCTTTTAATGTCAATGCGGCTGTTGTTTCTTCATCAGCAAATGAACTATTTAATGATTTTGGTACAGCAATTGTTTCATCTACCAAATTAATAGATTCTTTCATAATACCAACACTTTTCAATATCTTATCAATAGCAATTGTAAAACTATCAATTTCTTCTGTTGTTTTTGATGGTGTTGTAAATTGAAAACGAACAACTGGAATTCTTCGTAACGGTGATTGATACTTTACATCGTTTTTATTCTTTTGTTCCAATGATGATGACTTGACCAATAATCGACCAGTAAATTTACGATCGTCGCTCATCAACTTGATTGCGTCTTGACATCGCGATATTACTGCAAGCACCACACATTGTACTTTTTTTTTGCAACTTCACTTGCCAACAATACAACAATCAATATAAACAACCAACAACTTACCCTTGATTTTTTTCTGAAGATGATCAGGATTTGACGATTGAACTAAATTAATTAATTTCATTAGTGAGACATAATTACAACACGATCAAACCTATCACTTGTTCATTGCTACTAATAAGAGACCACTTAGTATTCTCGTCCTAGACGAGTCGCCCATGTGCGTCAATTCGTATAGTTGCTATGGAAACATTTATGTAACTATGGTAATAAATATATGTTGTCATAGTAACAATGTTAAAGACCAGTGGCGTATCAAATAACTCTTATTATGCCATGAACAGAGATAGTTACATTAATTATCGCACCTTCACATTTCGCTGTAATAGTCAAAAAATCCGAAAGGGAAATCTTCTTATCGGCAAAAAGCTAGAAAAAAACAAACTCAATTAAAAACAACCATTAATGTTAAACCTAAACCAAGAATTACTTTATCAATATCATCTGTTGTTGTTTTTTTATTGCCACTGTCAATAATTGGTGGTGGAGGTGGTGTAGGTGTCCCAATTATTACTCCAGGTTGTCCGATTTGTCTTTGTGGCACCGTAACTACATTACCTGTTGTATTTCCCATCATATTAAAATTTTGTGATTGATTCATTTGAAACGTATCACCGATAAAAAAACTTTGATCGTATTGTTGTGGTGGAAAATATTGCGTTGGAGGTGGAACTGGTGCAGGAACTGGAACCACTGTATTCGAATATCCCATATTGTATTGTACTGATGGAAGAGGAACCACAGATGGACGAGTGGTTTCATTAAGTTTATCACGAATTTCTTCCAAAAATGATTTCTTCTTTGCTTCTTCGCGTTTCTTTCGCGGGGAATCCCTCGAACGTGATCTACTTCGTTTACGTGAAGAACGAATCCAATGCTCACGTTCGGATTCTATACTCCGGATTCGATTCCGGGATTTATACACCACCGGACTTCGTGAACGTTTACGCAATAATTCACGACTTGAACTCCGTCTACTATACTTTGGTTTACTTCCGGTGTTTGAACGACGACGTCGTGATGGAAGAATTGTACCAAGATCAACGTCCATTTCAGTTCCAGGTGGTACTAAACCAGTTTCAACAATTTTCAATTTATCACTAACTATTTTCAATTCACGATCTCTTGCACACTTGATCTTGTCTCGATTGATGTCTCTTTTGGTTTTTTCAGGATCGCGACGTTCACGTATCCTATCACGTGATCGGGAACGTTTATAACGTCGAATTGGTGTACGTGAACGTGAACGTTTTTTACGTTTTTCCGATGATTTACGTTCAGAACTGAAGCGAATCGGTGAATGTTTTCGATCGATTTTTTCACTAGATGGTGAGACTGTTGTTACCGGTTTTGACCCTTCATCCCATGCATCGACTATATCTAAACCATCCATAAAATCCTGATTGGAAAAATCGTCGAAAAAATCCGCTGGGACGTCTTCTTCTTCTTCTTCATCAACAACAACAGATTTTGACGTTTCATCATCAACACCTTCTTGATTTTCTTCAATTTTATCAACCTGTTTTTCAGGAGAAATACTATTAATTGGCTCACTTGTCTCCTCATTTAACACCATCACTGCTTCTACAAAAAATTATAAACAAAATTGAGTTTATTAAATCGAGGACGCGATTTGTCAAGATCGTGTCCTGTTACTAATTTAGTGACCACTTACCAGGACCGGCTTCAAGAGTTTCAGGCCCACTATTGATGAATTTCACAAGCTTGACTTTGATGTAGTGAATAACATGAAAAAAGTGTTTACATTTACGCAATTGTTTGATCGAAACATCGACTCTTTGTGGATTTTCCTTGAATGTCAAAGTCAGACTCAGAGATATATTTAGATTTTGTGGAAAATATTTCAAAATGCATTCAGTGACTGCAATTTCTTTATCAATTTCGGTGGTATTTGGTGGTAATTGTGTCAAATTCTTGTAAATATTGATTCTATTATCCCAGATATTTTGTTGACCAGTGGCATTATAAGTGACATTTGTTTCATTTGTTATTTCAGTCACTTTCAGATTCAAAACTCGACTCAGGAGTTTCAGTGTCACTTCTTGGACTAGATTAATCCATTCTTGGTCACTTTTCTCGCAATTTTTAGTGATTTCAAAGCTAAAATCTGATACAATTTTACTGGTCAATAATTTATATAATAGTTCTTTTTCGGTATCACTTTCTATCAATTTTTCAGCTGTTCGACACAACATTGTAAATCTTCCAATACATTGAAGAGGCACAGATGCCGAAACGTTTCTTGAATGTTCAAAAGGATCCTGAATACAAATCCCCGAATTGACAGTAAGTGACACACTTTGACTCATATAAGTGTGATAACACCGTGGCAAATCATAAGGCTTCAAAAACGAAGCTTTGTCAATAATTCCCCCATAAAACGGTGTAATCACATTCGAAATGTAGTCAAAATGTCCATAGAATCGAAAAAACCCGACGACTAGATCAAGAATTGTTGCATTTTCCAGAGCCGGACTTGTGAAATCAATCTCGTCAAAACCACAATTCCAACCATCAACGATTTCAGGTGGGGCATTTCGTTGTAATGTGAGTACAGTGGGGACATTGTATGGTGTTTGTTGCAAATAATAAATCACCATCATGTAAAGGGCATAACTTGAGAAGAAATTCACTTTTTTCAAATCGTAAAAATCGGCCCAAAATTTTACAAAAATCATCAACGGTTTAATTTTCTCATCAAGTGTCAAATAATACTTAATTAGTTCACTATTCCTCACTGATAACTTATTTTTAACGTTAATATCGCAACAAATCTGGGTTTTTGTATGTATACATTTAATAATCGGAGTTTTTGCCCCTGAAATGAGTAAAACATCGCAAAATTTGCGAACTTTGAAAATCAAAAATCGTATTGTTTTCAAAACAGCCACTTCGGGCTTCATCACTGGTCTCACATTATCAATATAGACGTCCAAATCGCTCCCTTGGACGTCCAAACCGGTGATACTCGACCCAAAAAAACAAATATCATAGGAATTGTAAGTCTGTGAGAGGGCTAGATTCAAATCGTCGTAAATAATGTTACGATTTTGCTCCATTTCTTCTTTACCAATTTGTAATTTGTTTTGTAAAAGTTGTACCTGTTCGGCGAATGTTGGAGGCTCTTTGACACTTGCAATTAGGGCCTTTTTGGCGACTTCGGGGTCGGCTGGAAACACCAACATGACACGTATTTGAGATAACAATGATAAGATATAACTCGTTTTCACATTAATGTGCATCAAAGGAACAGTCGTGACAGATCTAAAACATAAAATTCACCAGATCCGAGTTGAAAATTTTGACAAATTTCGCGAAAAAACGCAGTTTTCAGCTTAAAAATCTGCTTAAACTTTTGTAAATAAGCAAAAATGACATGCTTTTCGACCTAATTCTGTGATTTTTCGGTTTGTTTTTGCATTTTTAGCTGGAAAAACGTGCTAAAACGCTCGAAAAATACAATTTTAGACTTAATTTCTGATTATTTAGTTTGTTTTAGCAAAATCTAGCAAAAAAACTGAGATTTTAGGACAAAAACGTGCTTAAAAGCGTTTTCGGACAAATTTTGTGTTTTCTCGTTTTATTTTGCCCAGAAAACCAGTTAATAAATCGAGTGAGACAAACAAACTAACATCAATATCAATCGTTTTTTGTGATTTTTAAGCGTGTTTGGACAAGATTTTGCAAATAAAAAAAAGTACGAAATAAATCGGGCGAACAAGCTAAAAAATGATGTCAATTTCGATTTAATTTTGTCATTTTTTAGCCTGTTTCAATGCAATGTTTCAAACTTTTATGTTTTTATCTCTCAAAAAGACAAAAAACGTCGCATTTTGGGCTATTTTGTTGAATTTGTGGCTTGTTTTTGACAAAATTTTGCAAAATAATTGTGTTTTTAGCTGAAGAATCATTCGAAAAAATAAGTTGTTATTTTCAACTCTGCTTAGTAATATCTTGTAAAAAAAACAAATAGAACTATTTTTAGCCAATTTGGTGATTTTCGATTATTTATAGTTGGAGAAAATTTGGCGAAATAATCAAATTAAAGCCTAAAAGTTAGGTAAAAATATCATAAGAAAACCTTTTTTTATCGAAAAAACAGAGTTTTCAGCTTAAAAATCTGCTTAAACTTTGATAAAAGAAAAAATTATATCATCTTCGGCCTAATTCTGTATTTTTTTTGTCTTATTTTTAACAAAATTTTGCGAAATGATTGCGTTTCTAGCTAAAAAACGTGCTAAAACGATCGAAAAATTTAATTTTATATATTTAATTTAGTTTGTTTTAGCAAAAATTGGCGAAAAACTTGAGATTTTAGTACAAAAACGTGCTTAAAAGCATTTTTGACCAAATTTGTGTTTTCTCTGCTTATTTTTGTCTTATTTTGCTCAAAAACTTTTTTTTTCAAACTTTCTGTTTTTTTATCTCTCAAGAAGACAAAAACGCCGTTTTTTGGGCTATTTTGTTGAATTTGTGGCTTATGTTTTTAGCTGAAAAAGCATTCTAAAAAGCAAAAATAAGTTGTAATTTTCGACTCTGTTTAGTAATATCTTGTAAAAAAAAAACAAATACAACTATTTTTAACCAATTTGGTGGTATTCGATTATTTCTTCTTCGAGAAAATTTGGCAAAATAATCAAATTAAAGCCTAAAAATTAGGTAAAATAAAAGAAAACCCTTTTTTAGCGAAAACACAGAGTTTTCAGCTTAAAAATATAATTTTATAAATTTAATTTAGTTTGTTTTAGCGAAATTTGGCGAAAAACTTGAGATTATAGTACAAAAACGTGCTTCAAAGCATTTTTGACCAAATTTTGTGTTTTTTCTCCTTATTTTTGTCTTATTTTGCTCAAATTTTTTTTTCGAACTTTCTATGTTTTTATCTCTGTTTTTTGGGCTATTTTCTTGAATTTGTAGCTAATATTTTTAACAAAATTTTGCCAAATAATTATGTTTCTAGCTGAAAAAGTATTCGAAAAAGCTATTTTTCGACTTTTTTGAAAAAATTTCACGAAATAATCAAGTTTCTGGTTTGAAAACGTGAAAAATGCTCGAAAAACAGTTTTTTTCATTTCGAAAAAATCACCAGATCTGGTGAAACTTCACCACACTTGGCCACACTGTCCACAACCAACTTGATGCACATTATTATGAAAAAGAGTAAATGACTTACAAGTTATCTTGGAGGGTGGGGCGGTTTCTATTGCCCCCCCAAGTGGGACTTTAGTGAGGGTTCTGCCCGGTGTTGTGTTTTTCAATTTTTTTGCATTTATTGCACTCCAAGTGATTTGCAATTCTTGGTCGAAAATGCAATGCTCACGATGGATTATTATAGAATGTGCAATTGTATCACTAAAAACATATTCAACCGAAATTTGATTCTCATTTGTGAGAATTTTAAAACTCTGAATAACACCAAATTGGGACAAATATTCGTTCAAGTCCTTCACTTGGTCCTCACTAAAATTCCCTAAAAAACAAATCATTAGTGACAAAAAAAAAACGTTAAATCACCACTACCTTTGACCACAATAGCACTAGGAGTCTTAAACAAGTGTTTTTGGCTGTAAACATGTGGCATCCATGTTTTTGTGGGGATATTAATGTTGCAAATCTTGCACGGCCTGGATGTCATCTTTTGTAACAATTTTGTGGAAATATTTCGCTTCTAGAATCCCTTTTTCGTTCCCAGGACTTAAAATAACCCCATTTGAGGACACATAAAACTTGATACCATCACAAAGAGCCTTCGCCACGTCGATATAAATCAAAACTTGGACGTTTTTCCGAATTAAAGCCAAGTCACGAGTGAAATGAATGTGATTTCTTGACATACGACTCAAACCGACTCTTTTAATACCCTCCAAATTTCGCAAATACGTTCCATGTACAACAACAATACTTGAATCAGTCAAGGGGGCTAATTCCAACTCACTTACTACTATGGAGTGCCCTTGATTCGCCCTTATTTCCAAAACACCGGTTTTCTCTCGTAAGAAAAAGCGTTGTTTGTTGTTGGTTGCAACAATACGTTTGATGTCTTCAACTGTGAATTTACCTCGCAGTTGGCGGTGGTTTAGGACTTGTAACACGGGGGCGAAGCCTTCAGGGGTTAGAGTTAAACCTTCAGCAGTAGCAGAGTGTCTTAAAAGCCACGATAGAGTTTTACTCAAAAATACGTCGTTTTTTGACATTTACACAACGAAAAATGATTATTTTGTTCGATTCTTCTTCTTGCAGTGTTTCAACACGCCATTTCTTTTCTTGCACTTTTTCAAGGTCGTGTCAATTAAAATTTAAAAAAATTGGAAATGTTAAAGACATACTTTGAATTGATTTATTTGAGTTGTGTTTAAACCATTTATGGAAAAAGTAAAAAAACTTATGCTAGAAAATGATTGGGAAAAGAGAATGATCGTGTCCTATTGTTAGACGGGTCACTTCATTTTTATTTAATAATTATGTAATTGTTTAATATTTATGCCATTTGTGCGGGTTATTTGTTTTAAATCAAAACAAAATTGTTGAATTAGCCAAAAATGTAGTTTTTTTCATTTGAATGTGCATCAAGTAGGTTGTACAAGTCTAAATGCATCTTTAATTTAAAATTTAAGGGCAGATTCACACACAAAGTGTCATTCAGAACAAATTTAATCACATGAATATTGACAAAAATCTTTAAGTTTGCGACTCTATGTTAATTTTATTTATTTTGTGCTAATTGGGGTACACATTTACTAAAAAAAAAATATTTTTACGGAAGATTGAGGTTAGGATTGTTTATCGCATGGTTGCCACATTAAAACGAAATGTCTCAATAATTTTTTTTTAATTTCTAAAATTTCAAAAAAGTAGATAGAGTAAAACAATTTTTATTCAACGTTTCTTTTGTAATATGTAACAAAAATAAACTTTTCCTTAAAACTAAAGTAATACTTGCGTTCGAAAAAACTAACTTAAGCAAAATTCTTCCCATAAGTTCCTGAATCCTCGGCAAAAGATTTGAGATTTTAGTACAAAAACGTGCTTAAAAGCATATTTGACCAAATTTTGTGTTTTCTCTGCTTATTTTGCTCAAAAACTTTTTTTCGAACTTTCTGTATTTTTATCTCTCAAGATGATAAAAAACGCTGTTTTTTTTGGGCTATTTTGTGAATTTGTGGCTTATTTTTGACAAAATTGTGCAAAATAATTGTGTTTTTAGCCGAAGAAGCGTTCTAAAAAACTTTTTTTCGATCTTTCTGTGTTTTTATCTCTCAAGACGACAAAAAAGCCGTTTTTTAGGCTATTTTGTTGAATTTGTGGCTTATTTTTGACAAAATTTCGCAAAATAATTGTGTTTTTAGGTGAAAGAGGATTCGCAAAATCAAAAATAAGTTGTCATTTTCGACTCTGTTTAGTAATATCTTGTAAAAAAAAACAAATAGAACTATTTTTAGCCAATTTGGTGTTTTTCGATTTTTTTTCTTAGAGAAAATTTGGCGAAATAATCAAATTAAAGCCTAAGAGTTAGGTAACAATATAAAAAAATCTTTTTTTAGCGAAAAAACGCAGTTTTCAGCTTAAAAATCTGCTTGAACTTTTGAAAAATGAAAAAATTATATCATTTTCGGCCTAATTCTGTGTTTTTTTGTCTTGTTTTTAACAAAATTTTGCGTTTCTACCTAAAAAACGTGCTAAAATGCTCGAAAAATTTAATTTTATAGATTTAATTTAGTTTGTTTTAGCGAAAAATTTGAGATTTCAGTACAAAAACGTGCTTAAAAACATTTTTAGACCAAATTTTGTGTTTTCTCTGCTTATTTTTGACTTATTTTGCCCAAAAACTTTTTTTTCGAACTTTTTGTGTTTTATCTCTCAACAAGACAAAAAACGCCGGTTTTGTTGAATTTGTGGCTTGTTTTTGACAAAATTTTGCAAAATAATTGTGTTTTTAGCTGAAAGAGCATTCGAAAAAACTAAAATAAGTTGTCATTTTCAACCATTATGGAAAATGTAAAAAAACTTATCCTGGAAGAGAAGGATCGTGTCCTATTGTTAGACGGTTCAATTTATATTTATTTAATAATTATGTAATTGTTTAAAATTTACGTCATTTACGCGGGTTATTTGTTTATAAATTAAAACAAAATTGTTGAATTAGCCAAAAATATAGTTTTTTCATTTGAATGTGCATCAAGTAGGTTGTAGAAGTCTAAATGCATCTTTAATTTAAAGGTCAATTCACACAAAAAGTGTAATTAATGTCATTCACAACAAATTTAATCAACAAAAATCTTTTAAGTTTTGCTACTCTATGTTAATTTTATTTATTTTTTGCTAACGGGTACACATTTATTTAAAAAAAATATTTTTAGGTAAGATTGAGGTTAGAATTGTTTGATTATCGCATGGTTGCCACCTTAAAACGAAATGTCTCAATTTTTTTTTAATTTCTAAAATTGCAAAAAAGTAGACAGAGAAAAACAATTTTTATTCAACGTGCTTTCATTTGTAATACGTAACAAAAATAAACTTTTCCTTAAAACTAAATTAATACTTGCATTCGAAAAAACTAACTTAAACAAAATTCTTCCCATACGAAATCAATCAAAATAAGTTCCTGAATCCTCGTCAAAAGCATTTTTTTCATTTTCAATCCGACATTGCGTCCCTACATCCACACGTGGTCTCATTAATTTCGAATCACAAGTCATACAATTTAAATTCAAAAGTGACGCTTTCAAAATCGATGCTACAGTTTCCTTATCCACAATCGGACTATTAACTAACGCTGTACTTATCGAATCTATCAAATTTTCTAAATCATTATCCTCGTGCAAAAAACCCAACTTTTGTAAAACACGATCTAGAATCTGTGAAAATTTGTCGAGTTTTTGTTCTTGATAATTGGTAAAATTAAATTTAACAAATGGATTTCGATGTAGTGGCGATCTATGTTTAATTTTATCTAATTTAGAATCGGATTGTGACGGTTGTGTGACTACTTTAAACTTGCTTGGGAAACTCAAATCTCCACTCAGGATTTTAATAGCGTCTTGACATCGCAATATCACTGAAAAAAAAATAAATAAATGAAAAACACATATAAACAATCAGGTGTATTACCCTTCATTTTTTCTTCACAATTTGTTTTAATTTCACGTTGCGATGTTACTGTTAAAAAATCCGACAAGGAAATTTTTCTCTCCACAAAAAACTACAAAACCAAATTAGACACACAACAAAACAATTATTGAAATGATCACTTGATCTATGTTATCCACTGGTTCATGTCGAGTAGGCTGTGATGTATTAAAGTTACAAAAGGATTGGGGGAAGTCCAGAGATGTTGTCTTTCTTTGTTTCTCCTGTCTTGGTGGTGTTGAACTTTCGAAACTATAACTACGCTTTCTAGATGCTTTATCTTTAAAATCATCATTATTTAAATCAAGACCGTTAAGAAATTCTTCGCTTGAAAAATCATCGAAAAAGTCAGACGGGACATCTTCCTCTTCTTCAATTGTTTCATTTATGAGATTCTCATTTGTTTCAAAATCTGTAATAATGACAATTGAATTATTACACACACTAGATTGCGTAAAATAACTCACTTTGTGGTGGTTTCTCTGATAGATATTTCAAAAGTTTGATATAAATAAAGTGTGTAATGAAATAAATCAAGTCTTGTCCTCCATTCAATACAATTTTACAAATATTTTCCGTGATATTAACTTTGAGTGAGAATTTGATCAAACCTTCTGACAACGTTGTAACAATTATTTCCCTAGTAACCTCAGAGGGGGGGTAAATTGGTGATGAAATTTTCTTCACATTATCAAAAACACTCTTCTTAACTTCACACTCGTAACTAAATTTCGTCGATTTTTCCGTCATTTTCGCATCCAAAATCTTGAAAACTTTGAAAATTTGTTTTTCAATAAAATCATCGCAACGTTTATACAAATTTCCAATTTCAAACATACAATCAGCTTTAGCTTCCAATAAATGTGTCAATTTGAATTCTTTGGTTAAAACTTCAACTGAACTCCGACACAAGGCCGCAAATCTCCCCACACATTCTAACGGAACATCCGGTGAGACATTTTTCGAAAGTTCGAATACATTTTGTATGGCAACACCGCAATTCACCACAAAATTCTGATTCAAAAATCGAAATTTCTCAATCACCGATCCGAAAAACGGCGATATTACAAACGAAACATAATCAAAGTTGGCATAATAGCGAAAAAAACCGATAACTAGATCGATGATTGAAGCGTTTTGTAATGCTTGACTGTCATATTTGAGACAATTGAATGCACAACTCCAGCCATCTACGATAACGGGGATTGTATTTCGTTGCAAATCTTTGACACGGGGTAATCTATACGGTTCTTGTTGCAAATAAAAAATCACCATTAAATTTAATGAATAACTAGTAAAATATCCATTTTTCAAGCCGTAACAATCGGCCCAAAAATTAATCACAGAAAAAACATCACGTAATTTTGGATCCAGACTTAGGTAATAGTTGATCAAGTCGCTGGTGATCACCCACATTTTGTTTTTTACATACAAACAACAGTTGGCTTCGGTTTCGTTATGTTTCACTATCATCATTTGTTTGTCCTTAATCAGCGAAACATTCGAAAAGCGACTACAAGCCAAAATTCGAGTTTGTAATAATTCGAGTGTTGCCACATTATCGACATTTATATCAAAATTACTGCTTTTAAAACCGACATTTGTAACACTCGAGCCGAAAAATTCGATTTTATGTGACGGAAAAGTCGAACTTAAAGCCGAACACAAATCGGTTTTGATCAAATCTCGAGTTTTTAAATTATCGGTTTTCGAGAAAAATCCCATTTCATTGTCGTCCAAACTTGCTAGCAAGTGCTTAAAATCTTCAGATTTATCTACAACAAGAAAATTTAATTAATTAAAAAAAATAAATAAATGACATTACATACAAGGTGTGCCCCTGGCTTCAAACAATGATCAAAATTAAATATTTGCCTCAATTTTTGATAATTCACGACTTAAGTAGACACTTTTTTTGACATTAAAATTAAAAATTCAGCGCCACCTGGTGGCCAATTTCAAATTTTCAAACCAAGGCCCACCGTATTACCGTTTTCTTTTGAATAATTAATGACAATAAAATTACCTACCCGAGATTTCAGTGAATTCCTCGTGATTTGCTTCATTTTGCTCTTCCTCAATGGTGGAAGACCCTTCGTCTAAAAGAAAAAAACACCACTGTAGCGCCACCTGGTGGCTAATTTCACATTTTCAAACCAAGGCCCTTCGTATTACCGTTTTTCTTTAAATGACAATAAAATTACCTACCCGAGATTACAATGAATTCCTCGTGATTTGCTTCATTTTCCTCTCCTCCAATGGTGGAAGAAACTCCGTCTGTAAAAATTCCATAATGAAAAGATTTTAAACCAAAGCCCACCGTACTCACCCGACATTTCACTCATTTTTGCATCATTTTCCTTTCCCTGATTGGCAGGGGAAATCCCGAGTGTAAAAATTCCCTGATCCACATCCATTTTAACTTCCTTATCGAGAATTAGGAGTAATCTTGTATAGATAAAATGTGTTAAATGAAAAATTCCTTCATCTCCTCTGACTTGAACTTGAACCGAAATCGGATCTTTTTCAAAAAACATATCAACGACGAATTTCGTCAAACAAGTAGTTCCACATTTTTCCTTAATAAATTTCGTAACTGAAGTTTCTCGATTCAAAACATCTGAATCATTTAATTTCTTCAAAACGGCCAGTCTTTCACTCCAAATATCATGATTTAAAACGCAGTTAAAAGTCACAGATGAAGCACTATATTTCCCAACTAATGACACTTTACATCCAAGCATATCGAATAAAATTTTGAAAGTGTTAATTCTGAGGAATTGGAACCATTCTTGAGTCGTTTTACCCCCAGTTTTGACAATATTGAAACTCGAAAAATCACTAATTGTGGGATTCACCAGTTGTCGCAAATCATAATTTCCCTCCAATAATTGGTGCGCTCTACGACACATTTCTGCAAACTTCCCTGAAGAGTTTAACGAAATTGAAGCCGAAACATTGCATGAATGATCGAAAGGATCTTGAACACACAATCCTGAATTCACAGGAAACTTCTTATTTAAAAACTCTGTTTTTTTAACGCCAACTCCAAGAAACGGTGAAATCACCAACGAAATATAATCAAAATCGCTATAAAACTTAAAAAACGCCACAAGTAACTCGTGGTGACTCTTCCTCATCGGAATTTTACTCAATTTGGGATATTCGAAAGCACAATTCCAGCCATCAACAATCTTACATTTTACAGGTTTCTGTAAGTCGGTAATTGAGGGATATTGCAACTCCTGTTGCAAGAAAAAAACTATCATTAAAGTGAAAATATAGCCGGTAAAACCACATTCATCCTTGAATTTACATCGACCAGTCCACAATTTTATTATTACGAAAAATAATCGAAGTGGTTTTCGTTGTAAAAAAGCCCGGATTAAGTTACTAGTATCATGCGCCATCTTTTGACGATTATTTAAATGACAAACAATTTTGGTTTTTTCATGAGTACAAGTTACAACTAAAATTTGATGTTTTTTCACAATTGAAACATCACAAAAGTCACCACTTTTACTAATCAAATATTTGATCAGTTTCAAGCCTGCCAACTCACTTTCTTGAGTATTTTCCACAAAAATATCAATTATATCACCAGGAAGAAACACTTGACTCAAACCAATGATGTCATTAAAAATTGGTTTTAGAGCCAAATTCACGTCATTTGTAACAATATCAATGTTTGTCTTTGCGTCTTTTTGAATCTTTCTCAACGCTGATAATTGAAAAAAATAATCACCTTCGATATTTTCACATGTTTGTCGGTATAATTCGGCGTAGTTACCTGTGAAAAACATAAATTATCGATAAAGTAGATTTCTAACTTACCGGTCCACTCATCATATTCCTCATCGTTGCCAAGCAATGATACTTGTATGTCATTTTCGACCGGTTTTTCCCCTAATAATTTCACAAGTCTTGTGTGAAAAAAATGACTGGTATGTGCATGATTGTGATTTCCTGTGATGGTAATTTGTACTTTTGGTGGATTTTGGTAAAATTTTAATTCAAGTGATGACTTCCAATCCGCATCACCGGGTAACACTTTAGTGATATGTGTAGTAATTGCTACATCTCTTTCAATATCACTGGAATTCAATTGTTTCATAAAACTCTCTCTTTTATCCCAAAAATGTTTCAGTTCGACGAAATCACACTTATAATCAGCATCACTGTTGTTAATATTGATAATTTTGCAAGCAAAAATTTTTGTTACGATTTTAAGAGTGTGTTCTTTGATTGATTGTCGCCAGGCTGGTTCGTTACGTCCTTGATCCATTTCAATTAAGAAACTAGTGGAATCAGTGGTACCACAACGTGACAAAACTGTGTGTAATTGTGGACTTGATAGAGTGAACACTCTGTATGTTTTTTGGCACAAATTTGTGAAAATTCCAGCAATATTTAAGGGCATTGAAGCAGTGACGTTTGATGAAAGAATGAAAAAATCTTGCACACACAAGCCTGAGTTTTCGAAGGCTTCAGGCAAGTTGATTTTGTGAATTGATGTGCCATAATGTGGCGAAATCACATACGAAATGTAGTCAAAATTGCTATAAAAATGAAAAAAACCAGCGAGAAGTTGGGTGAGTTTTGCACCTTTGAAATTGTCGTCACGACTTAAACCACTCTTAAAACCACAATTCCACTTGTTTATTGTGAATTTAGGAGCATCTTTTTGTAATGTCTTTACTGAAGGAATCTTGGTTTGTTGAAGGTAAAAAATCACCAACAAATAAACAACATATGACGTAAAATCACCTTCAAGATTATTACAAAGTGTCCAAAATTTCACAACCATACACATTTGACGTATAATAACCCCAAATTTGAAGTACCATCGCAATAATCGGTCATTAGCCAACCACAAGTGGTTTACAAACCATAATTTACAAATGGTTTTGGTTGCTTGATGTGTACATTGAATTGCATTATTAACAAATGAAACGTTGGTAAAAATGTCAGATTTTGATAACAGCTCACTTATCACACTCATATCACTTGATTCAATTTTGTCTAATGACAAATCCAAGTGACTGAAACAAGTATCAACTTTCATTTCTTTTGAACCAAACGTAAAAAGTTTCATTTTAGGAAATTTTGATACTAGTACAAATTTCAAGTCATTAACGATAAAATCCTTGTAATTCTTCACTTGAAGATTTTTTAATAAAAGTAGCAACTGATGGAGGAGGTTGGTACCTGACTTCAATTGTTTGATTATTACTTGGACCAAATTGTTTGGTGTGGTGGTATCACTCACTATAAAATAAAAATTACTTTTGATTTATTTACACAAAAACCTACCAATGTTTTCACTTTCATGACTTGTACTTGGAACGACTAAATTGTGTGAAACTTCACCTGAAATCACGAGGCATACATTTGATTTTTTTTCCTAACTTAACTTACTCTTGTTTTCGGGGAAAAAACTCTGTAATTTAACGAAAATCAAATGTGCGAGATGATAACAAACATTGTTATTTTTCTTGACGGTGATGGTAACTTTGTTATAATTAAAAATCAATTCCACTGTAACTTTTCCCACGAATCTTTTCGAAACTAGAAATTCATTCGAATTCTTGAGAATTTCTTTATCAAGTTTGAGTTTCTTCGAATTGTTGTTGTTAACTTGTGATGTGCAAGAATACATTACACAATTGACCAAATGTGTCAACTGTGTCTTAACATTCAAACATAAAATTTCTGTTAGGATTTTATAAAGAGCATTTGTGACTTTCTGTGACCATAATTTCTCATCCATTTCGCAATTTTTCTCAAAAGCTATTGGTTCATATTGAGTTTTGTCCATAGTGTGCATCAATAATTGATAAAGCAAATTTGATGATACTTCCAATTTAATTAAATTCGACGCTACTCGACACATTATCATTAATTTTGCACTCATTTCATCAGTCATTGTTTCCGAAACGTTGCTCGAATGCTTGAAAGGATCTTGAATACACAATCCTGAGTTGACTTGTAATTCTTCCACCGATTTTGTGTAATAATCGAAGCATTCAGGCAAGTTTTGAGGTCTCAGAAACGCGGATTTTTTCACCGAAGAACCCAAATATGGACATATCACATAAGTGAAATAATCAAATTTTGAGTAAAACTTGAAAAAACCGCAGAGTAATTCGAGAAGTGTTGCGTTTTCAAGAGCTGGACTTGTGACAATTTTCGGTAAAAAATAACAGTTCCAACCGTCCACAAAATTGGTAAATGAGCCCTCTTGAAGTGATACCACCGAAGGTAATTTGTACGGTTCTTGTTGCAGAAAAAAAATCACCATAAGATATATCATATAAGTGGATGTATATTCCTGTTCAGGAATATTACACAAAGCCCACATTTTTATAACAGCCACAAAAGGAACCAATTTTTCGTTTAGCGTTAAATAATACTTGATCAAATCACAAGTTTTGACATACAAATTCTTTCCCCAATTCATACAACAACTCACACGAAACTCATTATCTTGATAAATACATTTCACACCTTCATTTATCTCCAAACAATTGCTAAATCGATTCGAATTTAACAAAAATGATAACATCTCATTAGTCATCACGTAAAAATTGCAATTTCTATTAAACACATCCAATTCTAACACACTTGATCCATAGAGTGACACTTGAGGAAATTTCGATAGTAACAAACCACGTATAACTTGACATTTTTTACCAAAATCATAATTATGTGACTTGACAGTGTCCATAAAAATTTTCACTTCATCGTCAAATAATTGCGAATCTTTAAGCAAGTTGGCCAAGGCGAGAATGCGACTACTTGCACTATCTGCAATCAAATAGCATAAGTTGCTAGGCAACTTGCAACAATTTCAAATCAAAGCACACAAGTTGCTAGGTAACAACAGCGTTGTTATGACAATTTCAAAAGAGTAACCATAGTAACGGTTTTGTTGCCATAGAAATGAATAAACATGGCACACTTACTGAAAATCTCCTCCTGTCTGGTGAAGCTGACCAAAACTTTGACAGATTTGACTGTTTTATACCAGAAAATTTTTAATAAATCGCCAAAAATCGCATGTTCTTGGTGCACAACGTCAGAATAGATGTTTGGATTTTCGTAGGATATTTCAATTGTTGTGCCACAATCTGACACTTCTCGTTTAGTTATTTTACCAAATTTGGCAAAATATTCACAGATTGTGTCAAATTGGTTGGGTATGGCTGAAAACAAAATAGTTAAAATATAATAATTAGAACATTAAAAACAGTCACCTTTAATAAAAATTGATGTTGGTAAATTTTTTACATGTGTTTCATTTGTGATGTGCTTTTTCCATTCGGAAAAGGTGATTTTCCGGTCACAAATCTTACACAAAAGAAAAACCATTTTTAATAAAGTCAGAAATCATCACAAAACGCTACTCTTTGCTTTTTATCACATTTTTTAGTCCTTTTTTGTAAACACACACCACTACACCAAAACATACCGAAGAATTTGGTCAGTTTCTAGTGTTACAACCAAACGTCAATTATTTTCACAATTTAACAACGAAATAAACAATCATTTTGGATTGCCTGTATTTAAACATAATAATTACAACGCTGAAACGTATTCTTTACAAAAAAATTAAAAAAACACGTTGAAAAAACAACAAGAATTTTGATAATTCAACCAAACCGAACGCGAAAAAATGCTGTAAAATTGTGTCTAAAGACACACACATTTTATTTTAACTCAAATTTAAGTATTTAAAAGACTTTGAGGTGTTTCCATAGACGTTATAAGTCATTTAAGTGTATTTACAATTATTGGTATTAAATTTCTTTTATTTGAATCACATTTTTTGTTCAAATTGTGTAACCGTAACCACTCAAGTTCCCTCCAAATTTAGTTGAGGTTATGTTTGATTATTTGTTTATAAATTTTTCATATAAATGGAGGATAATCTGAAATCTAGGCAAGTTATGTGATATTGTGTCAAGTTTACAATTATTTTCACAGAGGGCGGAAGCACCGTACTAACAAAAATAAGTATAAACCAGGGGGTGCACATGTACCCCCTCATAAACCAAAACTGGAATCCAACTGGGATCGTTATGAGCAAGAAACTGAATCAAAAAGCAACACCAACGACTTTTCCATCCTTGCTAACGCCCCAATTTCACATGGAAGTCATTTTCAATTTAAAAGCGATAAAAACATTGCTTTAGAAATAAAAGAAGCGTCTGAATTGTTTAATTTGGACTTGACATTATTAGATAAGAGTCTGGGGACAATTCCGTTTCATTTAAGGTCAGGCATTGGAGACGATGATTTCACAGTTTGTACATATTTTGCGATTTATTATTAAATTCCAATAATTGTGTTTAAGGAAGATCAAAGAGTGGAAGATAACACTAATGAGTACTTAAATTACATCAAGGGTTATCATTTAAGACAAACAAGGCCTGTTTTTGGGTCAGACGATGAGCAAACCTCACCTACACAAGAATCAAGTAAATTAATTGTATCACAACAGTCTCCTGAAGCCCCCAAAACCAACGAAGATGACTTGGAAGCATGGCTCGAACAAGTTTTGGACAATTAACTGTTGATTAAATAAAAAGTTATTTAAATTTGGCGGCGCTTTTGTGTCAAGATGGCGCTCCTATCGTTGTCACTTTGACATTTAACACTACGTCAAATTAGTCATTATTGTTATCACAGTTCATTTTTCTATTTTCATTATTAGTGAAATCGTAATGTGAAACCGGCACTTAAAATTTCATCCAAAAGCTCGAAATTAACGTAAATTATGTTGATTTTTTCGTGTCAGACTGACATAACTATAAAAATTCGAATAATGGACAATTCGGAGACTAGAATTATCACTAAATAAAGTCAATTTCGCGTTGTTCAACAATTTTTCTTTTTTATTTATTCAAACGATTAGCGTGCATGAACCATCGATTATTTTATTTTTATATTCGCGCACAAAAGTGGTAGCTTTTTCGTAGAATGAAACAAAAATAGTGAAAAAAAAATGGATAATATACGATATCTAACACGGTGAGTGTTTTTTTTTACAATTGTTACATAACGAGAGGGGGGCTTATTTGTTTCATCAGGTCATTTCTATTTATTTCACATTTAAATCAAAACATAACCTAACTTTATTGACCAACAAAAGACCAATTTAAGTCTCCCTTTCGTAATGATTTTCTTCGATTAATCCAATGTCCCCTTTCAGGAATTGGTACAAGATACCGAAAGCGTTGTTCAGGCTGTGTTTTATTCTAGTTAACAATGTCTATTGTATTCCCACATACGTTGTATGGATGGTATTATTATCACCCCTTCGTAAAGTCAACCCTGATGTTTATTGGAGGATAGAAGGCTATTTTTTCCATTGGTTGTTGGCGATGGTATCAATGTGGAGTTGGTCGGCAGGATACGATGGTAATAATCAAGGTCAAAATATTACGTAAATTAACATTTACATCTTATCGAAGTAACTCCACTATTTGATGTTTGTGATAACACAAATGGAAAAATTTAATCCAATGTAATAATCTCACTATCTAGGTCAGATTTTAATTTCAAAAAATGCTAAAAGAATCGTCTTGTGTACAAGGTACAAGGTTATCCAGTTTTGAATCTATGTGAAATTTCAACTGAATATCAATGAATGTCGTCGTGAATTTTAAAGGAATTAAAATTCCCAAACTATTATTGTTTGTTAATTAAGCTACTGCGTTTTTATTTAAATAATTGATAAGAACGCGTTGTTTGCTTTTATTTATGTATATTATTGTTTGATAAACTTTACTCAGAAAAGGATTTTAGTTTATCAAGATGTCTATTTGTTTAACTTAATTGTCATAGAAACGTGTATACACGTAACTATGGTAACAAAACAAAAATGTCACTCATTTTTAGGAAAATTACGTTTTTCAATGTTTCAGAAGTAATTTTGTATGCCTAGGGTTGGTTACCCATTGTTGTTGACGATTGATGTTTTCTGTCAACTTTCTGTCAAATATCAATTGAATTATCCATACAAGCTGACAGGTGACTTAACCTAAATTTTGACTAAATTTTTGGTTATGATATCTTTTGTTTGTCACCAGAAACCAACCTAACCAAATTTATGGGTAATATCCCTAAATCCTAGGGAGTAATTTCTTGTTGATACGACAATACATATTTATATTATTCTACCAATAATAATGAACTATTTCTCTAACAAAAAAAAAAAATCAAAGCCTCCTTCTCCTTACTAACTACACACTTTTTTACTCTCCACTAGAAGAAAAAGACAACAGATAATATGCAGCACAGCTATCTCTTTCTGTCAAAATTTTGAAAAAATACCAAAATTTCTTGGAAAAATCAAAATTGGACCACTGGAAGTGTCTTAAAAAATTTAAAAACAAAATCATCCCCTCCATTTTTTTAATTTTTGCTTATATCTTGCTCATTTATCAAAATTTTAAAATGTGGTTTTTACCAGAATATCAGGAATGTGAAACTATAAGATTGTGCAAAAGTCGCATTCAAAAATCTTAAAGGAAAAATGTAAAAAAAGAAGTAAATTATTCCCACTATTTACCATATTTTCGTCAATAACTCGCTTATTTTTAAACATATCGCAATGCGGTTTTTTTTCTAGTGTGTTCGAAACGTAAAAATGCATCTTTTACACACAGGGTGCGCCAGAACTCGCACCCCAGAGAAAAATCCATATAAGGTAAGATACCAGAAACATGGAAAAAATGTAAAAAAAAAATTATGTATAAAAATTTCGAAGTTATAAGGGTTTAAATTTTGCACTTTGACTCTTATTTATTTCTATTGGAAAAATAATTTTCCAAATTTTTTTGCTATAGGCTATGAAAAGGGGAAACAAGGAAGCTGTATCCTAAATTGTAACTCTGTTCAATGTTATTTGTGGCTTTTATTGGCAAAATTTTTGTCCCTTTATTAAATAATTATAAAAAAAACATATACAAGATCATCAGTGTCATTAAATAGACATAAAAAAATGTCAAATGTCAAAATTTTTTGACAGATAGTTTTTTCCATGTTCCTGCTATCTTATCCTACTTAAAATTTTTCTTTGGGGCGCGAGTTCTGGTGCACCCTGTATAGTGACAATTAAAAAAGTCTCATAAGAAACGAGAATTTTACAAAATGTAAATTTTCTGGTTATTCTATTTTCATTACGTTTGCTCACTGGTGTGGTAATAATGCCACTTATTGTTATAGTAATTTATTCATGTTATGACTTGACATAATTTGAGAAAACACAAATGCTGTCTAATATTTAATTTCCTGTCAATCGTAAATTATGTTTACTTAGTTTTGTTCAATAGATTAATGTTGTTACCTAATCTCCTAATCGCGATATAAAACTTTTTTAATAAAAGAGTGAAAGATTTTATTGAAAAATGACCCCGCCACTGGTTGGAATTTTTCTATATTATTGTTACCATGACGATGTTTATTTTGCACCTTTTTATTACCATAGTTACGTAGAAACTTTAGCACATGTGCGACTCGTTTAGGATGGGAAAAAGTGTGTGTGTTTTTTTTTAATAATTTGATTTTCCAGTCGTCGAAATGGGCGACGACATAGCGAAATGTATCGACGACCGAACATTAGTGATAGCCAATCATCAATCGACTGGTGACGTACCACTTTTAATGGCGACATTTAATCCCCGAAAACAGATCCTTCCAAATATAATGTGGATTATGGATAGTTTATTCAAATATACAAATTTCGGTATAGTCAGTGTTCTCCACCAAGATTTTTTCATAATGTCGGTCAGTATTAATTAACAAAAAGAAAAAAAAAAATGTAACACTGAAAAATTTAAGGGTAAAACTAAACGTGACAAGTCATTACAAGCCCTCATCAAGCATTTACAAGACTCTTATTTGCCTCGCAATCGAAAATGGATGGTGTTATTCCCCGAAGGTGGTTTTTTACGTAAACGAAAAGCCGTTTCACAGAAATATGCCTTGAAAAATGGATTACCACAATTAAATAATGTGTCGTTGCCACGAGTCGGTGCAATGCATTCAATAATGGAAACAGTAGGGCCAAAGGCTAATAATAACTCATCATCATTGGGGACGGAAAGTATGTCAACACTTTTAGAGCTATTACAGTCGTCATGTTGGCAACAAATTTGAATTTTTTTTGTTACTATGACAACTAAATTTGTAGCCAACTTGACTTGGATCAAGTTTTTGAATACAGGGTGATTGTTGTAGTTTCGACACTGCGATGGATTTTGGATATAACAATAGCGTATCCAAAGGGTGAACCAATCGATTTGGCATCAATAGTGTTTGGACATCGGCCACCTTGCAAGACATTTCTTTTCTATCGATTATATCAGTGTAAAGACTTGCCTGAAGATAGCGAAAGTTTAACAACTTGGTTGTTTGATCGTTGGCAAGAGAAAGAACGATTATTGGAGAGTTTTTATCAAACTGGTGAATTTCCGGGTTATACCGGAAGTGGTCATCTAGTCGAACAAGACTATTTACGTTACGTCATTTTACACATGTTTTTCATCATTTCGACGTACATTCATGTGCAAATTTTTCAAGCAGCTTATCATTATTGCACTTGTTTGATTTACTAGCGTTCCGTTCTCGCATATCTAATCTGTTTGGTGCGTTTGTATCTGTGACAGATTGGAAAAATGCGAGGGGTGTACTTAATTGTGTTGTTTTTTACCGGAAAAATTGGGTAATAAAATACGGAACAATCTTGCCTTGTGTTTATGACGACGTAATCATACAATAATAAGCGTAGATTTTGTACAGTAGTTTAGGACCAATTGTGCATTTTGTGTTTAGGGTTTTTTTCTTTTCTCTCATGGCGAAATTTGAGGCTCAATCGTTGACGACGTCCATTTTTTTATGAAGATATTTTAGCACGGCACTCGATTTTTTAATTCGCTTGTGTTTTTAAATTTTTCAAGGTTAACTTATACATATTTTTGTAAATTTCAAAGTTTCTTTGTAATAAAAAATCACGAAAAAAGATGTTTTTTGTGTACGCAACAACCAGTTCCAAAATGGACGTTATTACCAATTTTGAAAAATTAAATTAAGTGCTTCCTCGAGGTTCTAAAATCGAATTAAAGTCAATAAAAAAATCAGTTTTCTTTTTACCTTTTGGTGTGTCTGCACGTTTCACTGATCTAGAACTCGCACCTCGCAGTCTTTGTGAACGATCACTCTACCAATACAACAAAAATAAAAAAAATTCAATTGAATTAAATAAGTACCATTCTTAATTCACCGATTTTCCTCTCTTGTAAATCCCTCCTTGCAACACTGCTATGATTGGCATTGTCAAAGGCAATTGAGGCATCTTTTCCCGCGAATTCCATGATCAATTCAAACCCTCCAGGGTGCTAAACATACTAAATGAAATTTTATTTCAAATCAGTGACATTTTACCTCATAACCTGTCGCGTCATAAACAGCATCCTTGTAAATAATCCAAACTCTACGTCCATCTTTACCATCATGTCGTGCCACTTCCTCCAACGAATAAACTTTGGTGGTGGCTGATGCCGCCATTTGCTCTCATCGAGCGGCCATTTTGACTAGAATTTTGACCCGAATTTATGACTTTTACATTAATCATTGCGTTTTAATTGCTCTGTCAACACACAAAACAATTGATTATACCACCACAGCAGTCTTTAATTTGCCCTCAAGATGGAAATAAGCGACTTGGCGCAACTCTACGGCAAAGAATTGCATATTTCCCAAATTTCGAAATGGTTGAGAGGCAGTGCAAGAGCACAAGAAATCAAAAAACGCTCCGAATTGGATTCCAAAGATGGCTATGTGATCGATGAACATGACCAGTTTTTCCGGGATCACAAATTATTACTAGTCTTGTTCCGGGTGAGTACCCGCCACTGGTTTACACCTTTTATCAATTGTTGCCCATAACAACGGTTGTTTTTACCATGGAAACCATGCGACTCGTTGTAGGTTTTGGGTGTGATGCCCATCCAAAGGGGCGAAATTGGTAAAATTACTTTCGGATGGACCAGCATTCCCATGCTCTACGCCTATTTGTTTTACGTTGTTACTACAGTACTTGTCGTTTTAGTTGGCTTTGAACGATTTGACATTTTACTCAATAAGAGTAAAAAATTTGACGAGTACATTTACTCGATTATTTTTATTATTTATTTAATACCGCATTTTTTTATCCCTTTTGTGGGTTGGGGCGTGGCTTATGAAGTGTGTGACTATAAGAATAGTTGGGGGCGTTTCCAACTACACTACTATAAAATTACTGGTAAAACACACACACACACACGAGGCTTATAATAATTTTTTTTTCCAGGCAAAAATTTACAATTCCCACTTTTGAGTACTTTGATTATTGTTATAAGTTTAGGGTGTCTTATTTTAGCCGTGGTGTTTTTATTGACTTTAAGTGCTCTTCTTGAAGGTTTCACCCTGTATCATACCACGGCCTACTTGCACATAATTACGATGATTAACATGAATTGTGCCCTTTGGTATATTAATTGTAGGGCGATTGGAAATGCGAGTACGGCCCTGGCTGAAAGTTTTCAAATTGTTAGTAAAAATCTCAATTAATTCAATTAAAAAAAAATTTATTCAAGGATGTTGATCGTAATTGTTCCGCTTACATTATAGCCCATTATAGAGTGCTATGGTTGTCATTGAGTGACCTTTTGCAAAAAATGGGCAACGCCTATGCCAGAACCTACTCGACTTATTCACTTTTCATGATGGCCAACATTACAGTCGCGGTAAAAAATCAACAAACATTGTTGCCAACCTCAAAATCATCAATCATAGGTGTATGGCTTCACTTCGGAGATTGTAGACCATGGAATTCGTTTCAGTTTCAAAGAAATCGGCCTTTTGGTCGATTCCACTTATTGTTTATTTCTTCTTTTTGTTTTTTGTGACTGTTCTCATCAAGCTTCATTAAACATTGCTCGACGAGTTCAAGAAACTTTGCTTCAAGTGAATATGAATCTAGTCGATCCAGCAACACGTAAAGAAGTATCTATAAATTTGCTCATTTTCATATTAATGTGCATCAAAGTAGTCGAAAATTCACCTAACCTCAATCTTATGTCGTCAATGTCACTTTTTTAGACTTCTACAACCTACTTGATGCACATTAAAATGAAAAAGATGATATAAATTGCGTTTTTGTTGTTTTTGTAATTTTAGATTGATATATTCTTGGTTGCAATTCAAATGAATCCGCCTAAAGTCTCTCTCAAGGGTTATACAGTGGTGAATCGGGAATTGGTAACAGCGGTATGAAAAAAAAAAATGTATGTTACACGTGTGTGACATTTCTATTTATAGAGCGTCGCGACTATTGCTATTTACTTAATTGTTTTATTACAATTCAAAATAAGTTTACTCAATATGCGAGGATAAATGAAAAGTTGTTATAGTAACGTTTAGTTGACAACACAAACACATTTTTAGGTCAATATCATTCGATTTATCAAGGGTTAGTAGGATAAAAAGCACTGACACGCAATGAACACACACATATTTTTATTTATTATTATTATTATTGTATTAAATATACATTGTGAAGAGGTAAAAATATTAAAATTATTATTATTTTACTCTTTTTTATCATGTGTAGGAAATTGGTTTGCCTGAAGAATATATTTGTGATAAAGATGGTAGTGTTAAAAGTAATGACATGACCACCATAAGGTAATTTTTGTTTTGTTTGGGGGAAGTACAAAGAAATTTTACAGATTGTGGACTAAAAATGCACAAAATTACAAATTTGACGTTAGTTTTCAAACAATTGGACAAAATAAATGTCAAAATCAACAACGATGCACTCTTATGAATTGGAAATCGGTGAGAGATTTAAACAATTATCTCCAGAAATACCCTTTAGGGGAATTACAAAACGGTTTAGTTCTAATTAATAATACAATGGTAAAATTTCGTTTTTTTTATGTTTTTTTACAAACAACAATTTCAGTTAATACCTGGCATTAAATACATCCTCAATGTCAAAATTTTCAATGCGGGTAACCCAATCGATGAAAAAACCCTAACTTTCTATGTCAAACAAAACGTCACAAAACCAAAAGTGTCTCTTTTGTTATCGGCTCCTGACACTTGCTATGCTTACTCGATTTTTGTTATAAACGCACGTGTTAACATTTGTACCAACTTAACAACATATTATGTATGAGTAACTTGACTTGACTGATTTAGTAACCTTTAAATTTTAGTTTGTTTGGGAATTGACAAGTAGTGTTGGTAGTACTGTGTTTTCATCACACAGTTCTGATTTAGTGATACCACCTGATACGTTTCAAGCTTTAGAAAATTACACGATTTGGTGTCATTTGATTAGTTTAGATGGTACTACTGTTACTGAGAAATTTAAAAAAATTAATGTTTTGAGTAAGGGTTTGTTGGTGAGGCTTCCTGTCAAACATTTGACTACAAAAACTGGTCAAAATGTACGAATTAGGGCAATTTTACGTGATTTTGATAATACCAATGGTGACATAAAAGTGGTTTGGAATTGTTTAGAGGCCATTACTGGTGATAAATGTGACGTCACTAGTGATAATAGTGAATTGGAGACGAAGTTTACACCTGGATTGTACTCACCTAGTGATTTTTTTGGTATTTTTAGTGACTTTTCGTTTGTAGATACGAAATTTCGGTACAAGTCTCTAGTGAAACGGATTCGTGCACAGTTGAGGTTAAAAATGACGTCCCTGTTGTTGAATTTGAGGAAATTGAGTTTCCTGTAAACACTGGAGTGGAAATTCATGCGACAATTTACGAATTACAGTCTTTTTGTACTTTACAATGGATGTCACCAGATCTAGATCTCAGTGTGGTGGTAAGTTGGTAGAACTGTGACCGGTTTGCGCGAAATTCAAAATTTTCTAGCCTGGAAATATTATAAATGTCACAATGAAAGAAGATTTATTTTTGAATGAATTGGAAGGGTTTAGTAATGAAACGTTTGACCGGAAATTCAATTTAATAATACCGCCAGCGTCCGGTTTGTATTTTTTCGGTTAAATAACAGAATTATTGTTATTATTATTAGATAATTGGGAGGGTTTGAAAGGCGATGCTAAATATTTGTTTCGTTTAGTTATCAAATGTCCAAATTTTGAAGAAATCAATGAAACTGAATCGGTTTTAACCGTTTCAACAAGTGACGTCATTATAGAAACAAATGCACCACCAAAAATACAACAATTGGATGTAACCCCCCTTGAGGGTGATGCTTTTTTAACAACTTTTACTTTTAAAACTAGCAGAGCGGAAGATAAAGATGGCGATGCTCCAATTTTGTATAAATTCGGTTATAACCTAGAAAATCGTGACGTAATTTTATGCAACATGGCTGATGTTACTAACTGTGACGTTACTTTACCTTTTTCTGGTATAAAAAATATATTTTTGGTGGAAATATTTAAAAATGGAATTTTAGACGAGGGAATACAAACTTTTTTGGAATGTTGTGACAATTTTAATTCCTGTGGACGTGTTTTGGGACCACTGATACGAACAAAATTCCCCGAAAATGTCGATAATACGTAAAAATTAGCCACGGCTCAAACCATTGTTTACAGAAATTAAATTTCCAGAATAATTTTGCAAGGATTTATGAATAAAATTCTTGGTGAGGATTATAATAAAGCATTTATTGAAGCTTTTGGTATTTTACACAGTGTGAATAATTCACGTGAGGCAATCACACAAAAAATTGACGAAACAATTGACAGGTATTTAAATATGGTGGATTTGACAGACGTTACAAAATACAGTGTCGCCAACTTAATGAAAAATATCAACGATTTCAATCCACAATTGCAACTCTCTGAATCAATCCTAAACGTAATGCTTGATTTAGGAAAATACAATTTTTGTTTTTAGAAAGTTTTAGAATTGAGAAACAAATTTTCCGACGATGATTCTTCATACACTCAACGCAAACTGTTATCAATTCGCCCAAAAAGGGCCCCCATGACCCTCTACGATGTCCGCAATTACCTCGAAATCTCCGAATTGATTATAACAACAGCAAGCGATCCTAACAAAATCAAATTCGAGAAGGAAAAACTCCGTAAACAATTACGCAATTACATGGAGAAACTTTGCACTAACCTAAAAAAAACACTCACTTTGGAACTAAAAACCCTAGTTTTTGGTGTCGAAAAACTGACAAAAAATAATTTCATTTCGGTGCCTTTTGACGGAAATTCGTGGCAAATTAACGCAAGGATTAAATTGGGATTTGATAAAAACACAAAGGGCAAGTGTGTCGGAAAGGCGATTTTTAGGGATTATTTGGATAAAAATGGGATTATTTTTTTTGCGACGATTTTAAATGAGAATGAGGGAGAGGGCGATGTTTTGGTTTATTTACCCAAAAATAACACAGCTGAAGGGGTGCCAACTGTAAGTAAAATATTGTATGTTTTAATAATTGTCGGTTTAGTGTCTAGTTTATGGTAATAATGGATGGAAAAGTGACTGCAAAGTTGTTCAAAATATCGGAAATTTTGTCAAATGTTCATGCAAATATTTGGGTTATTATTAGTAAGTCGTTTCAATTGTTTTATCAATTGTCATTTGTTATTTTAATTCAGTTTGGAGTATAAACAACTAGTGAGGGTTTCGACGACAGTGTTACCAACTGAAAATCATCCAAATGAGACACTAGGGAAGTTTTTGGATGGGAATAACAATAATACTAAGAATTGTATGTAACTCAATATTTATTTTTTAATTATTAATTTGATTAAATAGATGATACGATTTCGTATGTCGTAATCGTGATTTCAGTTATTGGAATAATAATACTTGTGATAACGATAAGAAAAGTGTTTCATGATGATGAGGATGATGAAGACGAAACGTTTGATTTTCCTAAATATGCACAATTACATAATGAGGAATACTTAAATGACATGCATATTTAATTGCACTTGTGTCTTGCCAACTTACAAGCACTAAAATTACTAATTGTATCACGTGACAATCTTTGTTGGTTTTAAAATCTAAAATAAATAATTATTGCAGTTATTAGCTCATTTTTTTTATCAATTAATCCCTAACCTGAAATGAGCAAAGTAGATCCGCATTGACAGACATTAAAGCCCCAGCGTTATCAAAAGATCCACAATAATTCGGAGCAGAAAAAACAGTGATTAGTTTTCTTTGTGCAAAAAACTCGTAACCATCTTCAACAACCTGAAACTCAATTAAAAAAAAAACACTAAAAAATGGGTTGGTGGACCTGATGCCCGCGACAAATCAAATCAAAATCATGCTTATCGAGAAATTTGGCAACAACGTCTGGACCGAAAGAAAACGAAACGCCTCGGTCGTTTTCGTGCCAACCCGTTAATGGGATTGGATCAGCCCATAACAAATCACATAAAAGGCCTTAAATTAATTAATTAATTAATTATAAAATTTGTTTTTAATTACCGGAATTGGGGACGTCACAAGGCCGTTCAATGTTCCTAATTTGGCCAATGTGTAACAAATCGGGACTAATACCACCATGACAACAAAAAATTTTATCATCAATAACCGCCGCCACTGGTAAAGTGTTAAAAACATCAGTGAAAGTCTTGAATAATTTAACATTGTATCGGCGTTTACCTACAATAATAGCGATAAAATCAGTGTTGCCAATAGAATTTATCTCACATTCGTCGAAAAAACCGTAAATTTTGCACACAGCCGAAACCTCGTGATTCCCCCTCAACAAGAAGAAATTCTCTGGATACTTGATTTTGTAAGCAAAAAGTAAACAAATGCATTCCAATGACTGCTTTCCCCGATCCACATAATCACCCAAAAATAGATAATTCGCATCGGGTGGGAATCCCCCAAATCCGAATAATTTCAACAAATCGCTATATTGGCCATGAATATCGCCACAAATCTTCAAGGGGGCTTCCAATTCCAAAAGCATCGGTTGCTCGAGAAAAATTTGACTTACTTTGTGACATAGTGAGATAATATCGCTTTCTTTTAAATTCACTTTCTTTGTTTTGTTGTTTTGTTTCGCTGAAATGGTTTTTTGGTGATTTTAACAGCGTTTTAGGGGACTTACCAGCGAGGAGAGTTTTAATTATTTCATCCACATCAAAGGGAGAAGACATTTTTATTTCTTGTTGATCCGGTTTTAAATTGGAAACTGATACGAAAGTGATAAGAACAAGTAATCATGATTAGATTTTTATTTATCAAGTATAATACTATCAATTATTAAAATTTAATAAATCGTTATCTTATAAAAGAAATTTTTTTCTAAAAAGAAAGACCAGTTTTTGCAGAAAAATGACCCACCACTGGATTTTCGAGTATTACCATGACGATATCTATCCGTTACCATAGTAACAATTGCATTTCTATAGCAACTAAATGAATCAATGCACATGTGCGACTCGTCAAGGTTAAGAAAAAGGGATTTTTAAATATTGTTTCCAGACTTTTATTTGTAACGCAGTATAATACTATCAATTATTAAAATTTAATAAATTGAGATGAATGTCATTATCTTGTAATAGCAGTTTGTACTTGTTTTTGGGTATTTTTTTGCGGATGATGCAATGGAGGAGTTTTTTCAACCAAGTTCGATCAGCTATGGCCACCTACGATTCAAAAAAAATACTAAAATCACTTGATTTTTGTGTAATTACCTCAATAAACATGGCGGTGAATAAATGTCCAAGTGGAATCAACAACAATTTGTATCTAAAAATAATTTGTTCTTTGGCTTTGTGTGGCAAAAACATGATTTCGAAAAATTCGGCGACATTTCGAGTCGGTGCTACCAACAGCCAGATTTGAAAAGCAGTGAGTGTAACCGAACAAAGTAAAAACCAAAAGTTCCTAATCAATCTTTGCCGGAATGGTTTTCCTTTTGAGTAGACAAAAGCTAAAATGAGATACTGGAAAGACGAGACTGAAAAAAGGACTGTATTTTCCCAACACTCGATTACTTCATGGTCGGCATGACTTGGTACTGGTTTGAACCATTCTTGTTGAAACAAATACAACATTGAACCAACTTGAACAATGACACAAACAATCACTTGTAATAGAATTGGTATGAGAATTGAAGCGGCGACAAGGGACCCTGGGGGTCTTTTCACACCTAATTTACTCGATGGACCTAAATTTTTCATTTAGAAATTCCAAATTACAGGTAACTGTAATACCAACCTTGTCTACCAATAGTCACAGCCAGACTTGTCGTGATTATTAGATCAATGAAAAGGAATTGGACGTCACCCAAGACTGAATTTTGCTAAACTAATGTTTAATAAACATGTTTATTGTCCCACTTACCCTATACAAAATTAAAACGGTGGTAAATTGGATCAAGCTATACAGCGCCATGTATTTAAAAACGGCAAAACTTGTAACTAGTGCACATCTCCCTTCCAAGATTAAGTGAACAATACATGAAATGTCCTGAATTGCCGACGTGAAAGGTGCTGCAACACTCGCCTCGGCTTGAGACAACGAAACGCCAACGTGGGCTGCTTTCAACGCCTGAATTCAACCAATCAGAACAACGATTCGTTTGGCTTTTTTGTTTTTTACCCCACAATCATTAGCGCCATCTCCCACCATCGATACGACATAATCCAAGCTTTGCAAGTATGTAATTACTTGTGTTTTTTGATCGGGTTGAAATCGGGCGAAAATCGTGGTGCGAATTAAAAGACTTGGCAGAAGATCGGGATAAAACGTACGAATTTTCGTCCAAGTTTTACCATCAATCGCTAAATGACAATGCTACAAACAGTATTAAACTAAATTTAACTAATTTTTTAACACACCGAAAAATCGAAATCGATTGAAATGCTTTGAGTGTTGGCCGAATTGAGATTTTGTAAAAGTAGCTCAGGCGTGGAGCTCGAATTGCTACAATTTTTCGTTTCAAGTATAAAAATTTCATCATGTGTTTTGACCATTTCGCAATCACGTGCCACAGAAATCGCCGTCAAAATATTATCACCTAAAAAAAACACAATTATGATTTATTATGAAAAAAGTTTAAATCACCTGTTATCATAACAGTTCGAATTTTAGCATCATGCAAAAGTCTAATAATTGGAGTTGTTTCTGGTTTGAGCGTATTTTGCATTACTAGTAAACCGAGAAATATCAAGTCACACTCGACCTGAAAATTTTTTCTTTTATTCCAAATAATAATAACTGAAAAGAAAGCCCAGTTTACCCGCCACTGGATTTTTTAGTATTACCATGACGATATCTATTCGTTACCATAGTAACAATTGCATTACTACAGCAACTGTGTTAATCAACGCACATGTGTGACTCGTCAAGGTTGGAAAAAGGTTTTTTTAATATTGTTAATTGTCTTAACTTACGACATCTCTCTTGACTCTTTGTGCCTCCTTCCATTTAAATTTGATCGGCATTTGTTTCCACGCCAGGGCTATAACTCTATATCCTTGCACCGCCAACTGTGATAATTGTGTCGAGAAATTCTCCGGGAGACTATCCGGATTACACATCCCGGAAACTTTCTCGGGGGCACCTTTAGTAAAAACTATCATATTTCGTTCACTTAACTCTTTACAAATCACAGACATGCACTGTAAAGTCGAAGAAAACGGAAATTGACGAATTATACCCAACTGATACGGAAACTAAAATTTTCATTTAAATAAGTGTGTTAAAAAAACACACAGAATACCTCCGGGGAATCCCCACTCTCCACCGGCTTAACTATAGTCGGTGCTAACATATCAAATCTGGCAGTTTCATCATCACCTGGCTCTTCCAAAATCTAGCAATCTCACAATTAAACAAAAACCAATAATAACAAAACACAAACGCACCCATTTCGTAAATTGAAACATACTCAAATCGAGTGGATCACCGGTCAATTCGCCATCGATTTGTGTGAGTGAATGACAGGTGGCCATGGCTTGTACAAGTCTATTATGACAATCAGGACACTCTCTGATTGGCTCACTAAATATTGAATTGACACATGGAACAATTGAATGCATATCAAGGCCATCTTGAGTCAAAGTACCCGTTTTATCAAAACACGCCAACTTTACTTTACCACAAACATTGATTTTTGGCGGACTTATACAAAAGATTTTGAGTTTTTTAAGGCGGCTTTGACTGTAGACTATACCGACTGTCATCGCAGCCGGTAATGCAGGTGGCACAACTATTGTTATCACGTCAAGACTTCTAATCACAATTTCACGAATTTCGGCCTAAAAACACACTATTTTTTAAAAAGTCAAAATTGGGGGATTAACCAACCTTGCGATGGGTGTATAAATAGAGACAATAGGCGGTTCCAGCGCCCGCTATGATAAACAGAGCTAAAACAAATTTAAGACTGTCTTTGTAGAATTGTAGACCGACTGGAGTGGGAAAAAGGATGCTTTTGACTAGAGCCCCTTTAGTAGTATTAAAACCAGTCGTTACGACTCTTGCTAAGACATCTTCGCCCCCATAATACCGACTTTGTATCATTAAAGTCCCCGAGAAGAGTGTATGCCGTTTGTGGGTGTTTGTACTATAGATTTCGTTACTTGAATGTAGAGCGGTTTTAGTCACTGGGACACTTTCCCCTAAAAATCGATTAAAATCGGGGAATAACCTAAACAATTTTTTACCAGTTAGCACACTTTCGTTAACAATACATTGTCCAGTTAGTAATACTACATCACAAGGTAATACGAAATTAGCTTTCGGTAGGATGATTAAATCTCCAGGGACTAATTCTGAAGGGTCAGCATCTTGAAACACATTCTCTGAGAGGAGATTTCGTCGCAAAACTTTAACATTATGACATTTGGATGATTCGACTAAATCATGCAAAGCTTCGCTTTGTTTTCTTGTTTGTCTTAAAGCAGTGATCACCGAAAATAATGTGAGGATAAAAACACAACATGCATAAATGTAATAATGGTCAAAACACCACAAAGTCATGGAAAATGCTTGGAAGACATAGAATGGATTAAAAACTTCATCGACGAACAATCTCCAGTAGGATTTCACCTCAATTTCGATTTTATTCAATCCGTATAATTTTAACCTTGAACAACTCTCACTCAAATAATGAAAAATTTCACTCATACTTACAAATCAACATAGTCGTTATAAAACAACCCGTCTGTGTTATTAACATAACTATCAACTGTCTGTGGGGGTATTAACAGGTCTAGAGTCCCAAAAGACTCGCTATGGGGGATCCACACGTATTTCGCATGTCTATAAATGAAAAATCTTAAAGGCACATGACCGTAATTAGGCAATTTGGTATTTTCAGTCTTAATTTCGACAAAATCACAATTTCCGTGCACGTCTTTGACTAAAAATTACTAAATTTAGTGGGTTTTACCCAAAGTGACATAACCTCACTCAAGACAATCTTTGCTTGTTTTAAGCTACATTTTCGATATTTCCACGATTTGAGGCGCGAAAACCAACTAGAGAGTAAGTAAGGAAGGCCTAAAAATACTATTCCCAGAAAATTGTAGAAAAAAGTGCGTATGGAGCTCCTAGTGTAGCCGTAAAGGTCACACTGGAAATCATCAAGATTCAAGTCGAGAGTTTGATGGGAGGATTCACCAATTGGTTCATATTCTAAAATTCTAATTATTTACACTTTTATTTAAACAGTTTTAGAAACATACCAGAAGTATTGCGTGGCATTTTACATTGTTTTCAACACTAGGAACAAAAAAACTGTTAGGTAAGTCGATGTTATCTCATTCTGCACATGTCAGCAACAAAAATAACAGGGAAGTAAGTGATTCATTCTTCTTAACACAAAGAAGTAAGTGGGGAGTACACCTCTTATCTTTGTTTTGTGATAAATTGATAATTTTCAATCAAGGTTACACATGACTTTTGTCACGTGATAGTCGATCATTGGTCGACTAACGCATGTGGTTGTGATCACATGACACCAATCGGACGCGTTTATTGGTTGATGATCTAGTGATTTTTATTTGGTGAAAATTTTTGAAAAAAAAATTCTTGTTTCTGATTTTTTTAGAAACCTGACTGTAGTTTCAGCAAAAAATTAATGTGTTTTGAAATATTTTGTTTAATCGAGTATTAACTTTTTTAATTATTGGTATAGTAAATTCAGTCAAAAATGATGACACTATTTTTTTGTACAGTTGCGGAATTAAAATTTCATTTCGGACAGTACTGTCATTTTCATAATGTAAACTCTAAAACAACCTTTATGTTAATAACCTCATTTTTTACTCTTGTCATATTTATGTCATTTTGACTTATTTACTTTCAAAAATAGTGATTTGTGGCATAATAACAGGTCAAAGCGATGATTTAATTACACTTAATTCAATTAATAAATTTGCTAAAACAGACAAATTGTTTAATTAACAAATAAAAATAAGTTTAATTGTCAAATGTCAGTCATGATGGCAGTAAAAGGTAGTTTACAAAGAACTTTTTAAAGTGAGAAAAATACTGCCCGAATTTTTAATTGCGCAACTGTACTTTTTTGAGTACTTTACACGTTTTTTTTACCATGCAGAAACTCAAAAAGCTAAATTTTCTCAAAAATAAGCTGAAAAATGATATTTCACTCAACAAAGTATAAAAAATAGGGGTGAAAAAGTACATTATTTTGTCCATTTTAGTATGTTTTTAGCCAAAACTATTTTGAAAACGAAAATTTATGAAATTAGGCCAAAAGTAGTGTCATTTTTAAAGTGTTTCAGCACGTTTTTAATACAATCAAATTTTTACTAAAACCTAAATTGATTTGCATTTTTCGAGCAGAATATTGAAAAAAACGTGAATCTTCGACAGTATTAAAGTAAAAACAGGTGTAAAACTGATAACTCTTCTGCTCAGATCTGGTGAATTTCATTGTTTTGTGCTGGCAACACTTAAAATACCAAAAAGTTCAATCAGAAAACACCATTTTGGGTAGAAATGGTTTATTAAGCACCAGTTTGTTATTAATACACTAAAATTTCGGTTGGAATGCCGTATTTACACTAAAAAATTTGAGGATACAATTGAATAAAACAACTAACAAGATCTTGGGTCCATTATTTGTTAACCATATATTGTGTATCAATCCCTAGCCGTGTTGTGACTTTTAATTGCGACGTTGCCGCATCTCTAAGTGAGAATAAATGAGTTAGTTCCATTTCAGATCGTGCTAAAGCTATAGCTTTGTTGAATAAATCGATCGCAACGACTAGATTTCCTCTGAAACAAATCAATTACTTAATTCAAAATAAAATTGAAACGTTTTTTGATTACCTTTGAACTTCAACTGTCCCTAAAGTTTCATAAGCAAATTCGCATTTATCATCGATTTTGATCCCTTCTTTCATCATTTCCACAGCTTGTTCAATCTCACCTTTCCATTGCAACATCAAAAGGCCTCTATGTACGTAAATTGAGGCATTATTCGGATCAATTTCGAGTGCTTTTCCATACAATTTATCAGCTTCTTCATAGTCCTGTTTCTCGGTCAAAACTTGAGCATACAAAACATAAGTCTCAACACAAGTGGGAAATTTCTCAATTCCTTTTTTGAAATTGGCCAAACTTTGCATCAAAAGTTGCACATCTTGCACTTGCATTGCATGACGATAATCCGAGTAGCATTTTTGTACAAAAGCCACCGAAAAATTCGGATTCAAATCGACAGCTTTCTTAAAATCCAAAATCGCCTCATTCGTTTTCTCCATCAAAAGTTTGACTTGACCACGATGATGAAAAACATCGGAAATTTCAGGCCCTATTTCAGCCGCCTTATCAAAATCTTCAAGACATTCAGTGAGTTTCTCATTTTGCATGTAAATCGATGCTCGTTTAATTAGTGAATTAACTTTGATTTTAACATCACAATCGGTTGCAATAATTGTGGTCAAGTCTTCAAGTGCTTGATTTAGACTCCCAGTGAGGAAATAAAACGAAGCTCGAAGTGATAAAGCTTCGATTTTAAATGGAGATTCTGCTTCACTCGAGTTGATTTCTTCGGTACAAGCTGGGATAATTTCTTCGTATTTTTCCGTAGCGAAAGCCAATTTCGCTTTGAGGAAACCACAAAGTTCGCCTTGACCTAGGGGATCCCCCACTTCGGTCAATTTCTGGTAAACTGAATCTTCCGAAAACGAGGAGAAGTAAGTCTTGATGAAGGTTTTCGATGGTATGATTGGTGTACGATTTTGCATGGCTTCCTGTGCATGTTTTTTACCCAACTCTTTCAACACTCGATCAGCCATTAAGAGGGCTGTCTGATTTTGGAATTGTTGCAAAAGACACACACATGTCACATCATCCAAACAATTCTCCCAGTCTTTAACAATCTCTTCAGCCTTGGCTCTCCGCATCAACGCTTTCTCATATTTCGAATTGAGTTCAATTGCTTTTGTACAATCGGCGATTACGCTGCTCCATTTTTTCAGATTTTCATAAGCCGCTGCTCGATTTTGGTAATACGTCGCTAGTTCGATTTTGAATTCTTCGGGACATGCCTCAATGGCTTTGTTATACAAGTGGATGGCTTCGTCGAATTTACCTTTTTTGAACATCTCATTTCCGGATGTTTTATACTGTTGGGCTTGCTCGAAAGGAGTGGGGTCTTTAGGGGGCTCTTTGATTGTTTCATCGATTGATATAGTGTCACTGGTGTCTTTCAATTGGGGCTTACGACCGGTTTTTAAGTACCAGTAGCTGAGACCGAGGGCACTTACGGCCCCAATACCAAGTGCTATTTGCCACTTTTGGAGCGATGAACTTGTGCTAGACGTGGATGAGGCCATTGATTTACTACTAGGACACACACACACGGATTTCTTATCTTGAATTGGTTTGTTATCAAAAATGAGGTTATGAAATGGATTTGACAGACGACAAATTGACAGATGACATCTGCCAACTATTTAAAGTTTTTTAGACGTTCAAAAATTATTAAAGGGAAAAAGACTAAAAATTGCTTCTCTTTAAAGTTCAAGTGTCAATATTCTTTATTATTAATTTTTGTAATAATGAATGGTAAACATTTTTTTTCATATTAATGTGCATCAAGTAGGTTGTAGAAGTCTAAATGAAACTTTAATTTAAAGGCCGATTTACACAAAAAGTGTCATTAATATCTTTCAGAGCAAATTTAATCACATCAATAATGACAAAAATCTTTCTGTTTGCTATCCTATGTTAATTACGTTGTTAATTTTAATTATTTTTTGCTACACAATTATTTGAAAAAATAATTTTTAGGGAAGATTGAAGTTAGGATTGTTTGAATTTTCGCATGGTTGCCACCTTAAAATGATCCCTTTTGATAAAACACAAAAATCCTATTAAAATGTCGACAAGTATTTTATTTACAAACATTTGAATCTGTAGAAATGGCGAACGTACAAACATTTTTTTTATTAATATTTTTCGTTTCTTTTTTTCATTATAATAATGCTGATGGTCTATGTGATTTTTACGAAACGTCGGCCTTGGAAAAGTGCTTAACACTTTTGAAATATTTTTTTTAATCGAATATTCGCCCAAATGTCCGTAAAATTAATTTTTTTAATTATTGATATAGTAAATTCAGTCAAAAATGGTGATACTAGTTTTTTTGTATTTACAAAAACAAGTTGAGAAATCTGGAGATAGTTTTCTTTTTCTAAATGATAGGTATTTTACTCAACAAGGTAAAAAAATGCTAAAATGAGTCAAAAAGTACATTATTTTGTCTATTTCTGAGCATTTTAGTACGTTTTTCAGCCAGAAACAGAACTATTTTGTAAAATTTGGTTAAAAATAAACCGAAAATTTATCAAATTAGGCCAAAACTAGTGTTATTTTTACATTTTTAGAGTGTTTCAGCACGTTTTTTGGTAAAACTGACTGAAAAATTACCAAATTCATAATAATTTAATTAATTTAATTTTAATGACATGGAAAATTATGGAAATTAATGTAAAAATGTAAATCTTCGGCAGTATTAACAAAATTTATGTGGTGAAAATAAATCTGGTAACTTTTCAGCTCAGATTTGGTGGATTTAATTGTTTTGATAACTTGAGGTTTGATTTTAATTGATTTTTAATTGTTTTAAACTGGCAACACTGATGATTTCACCAGTCGATAGAAAATAAAACACTGATTTCGATGATGTTTTAATTTTTGTCATAAAAATTAGGAGTATAGTTTTCGAAAATAACGCATTTAAAATTTCAAAAATCAATAATTTCAGTGTTTGAAAAGTTACCAGATTTACACCTATTTTCACCAGATTATAAGCTTAGTATATGATTGATATATGAACAATAGGTAACGCTATTCCATTTAGTCTAATTCCATAATTTTTTGGCTAGTTTTTTATTAAATTTTGCGAAATACCAGGTAAGAAAAAAAATCTATTGGCAACACTGAATTAATGGTAATCCTTCTAAATTTGTTATATCAAAAAAATGTTTCAGGTGACGTCACAAATGAATAACAATTGCATATAAAAGTTTGACGTTTGAATTTGACAGTCAAGGTTGCCAAATTAAATTTTAAATTTGACACCAAATCATTTACAGTCGCCCGATATTAACGTTTTTACTTGAAAAACATACTAAAACACTTGATAAGGTAAAGATAATGACTTATTTTGATGTTTTTTTGGTTTGTTTTAGCAAAATCTTGCTATTAATGTATTTTTCGTTCTATTTTTTGCTAAATCGAATGAAACAAACGAAATATCAATTTAGATTTATTTTTGTTGGGTTTAAATATGTTTTGACAATATTCTGCAAAATAAATGAGTCTTTAATTCAAAAAACGAACTAAATCAATCAAGACACGCTAAAATGATATCAATTTCAATGTAATTTGGTAATTTTTCAGTGAGAATATTAGAAATGGACAAAATAATGAACTTTTTGGCCTATTTTAGTGATTTTTTTACCTTGTTGAGTGAAATATTATTTATATTTTTCAAAAAAAAATAGTGTCATCATTTTTGACTGAATTTATTACATCAATAATTAAAAAATTTAATTTTACTAAGATTTTGGCGAAAAAAAGTATTTCAAAATACATTAATTTTCTGCTGTAACTACATTTACGTTTCTAAAAAATCATCAGAAATTAGAATTTCTGCAAAAGTTTCAATGTTCACTATTGATAAATATATTCTCGGGGGTGAGAACTTTTTTCAGACATTTTTATAATTAAAAATTGAATTCTGTCCCACATTTTTATTTCTTTAATAAAAACTCTGTTGTTATAAGGTAGTTTCTGTTAGCAATTTCGTATTTTGTTCGATCTTGACTTCGAGATAAATTTCATCATTTTTCAAGTGATGCGCTTTGGTGAGTGTGGCATGAGGTATGAAAATATAGGAAAAGGATGATTCTTGCGGCTCCTCATTTTCCTCATCTCCGGTTTGTCTTTTAGCCACGATATGTTTGTTGAAATTTTTCGCCCCATTTTCCTGATCTCTAAGTGTCACAGTCCCTTCAATATGACACGGCCATTTCAAAAGAGCATCAAAATCGCCTTTGAGAACATGAATTGAGATCAAAGAGTAGCGATCTTTCCATTTTTTCAAACCATTCAAATAAACTAAAACCTGATGTAATGTGTTTTATTCGTGAAGCAATTCTCGCAAACACTCACCCTGATTTTGTATCCGAAATTGTGGGTGTGGAAAATGGGACTCTTGATCACTGTATTTGAGTCTCTTGATTTGGACATTTTTGCCTCAAAATCGGTGATTTTCCATATGAGGTGGCCTGGACTTGATCTGTCAACATTCGACGCTAAATTCTCTAGAATTTCCAAGTCGAGTTTCATTTGATCGAATTGTTGTCTGAATTTCGCAAATTCGCGGTCTTGAATTTCAAATTTTTCGGCCGTTTCTGATGCGATTTGACTGATTGTCTTGATGTCAAACACCACACTTACATGTTTCGTTTTCATTTCTTCAAAATGCTGTTTGAGGAAACTGATGTCGTCTTGTATGTGGGAAATTGAGCGTTTTTGGTCGGCCCACAAGCCACTAAAAGTGGCATTTTCCTGCTCGAAGAAATCTTTAAGTTCGTCGAGGTTTTTAGCAAATTCGAGATTGGCCTGTCGGTTGTAATTTTGTTCTTTGAGAAACGACTCAGTTGCTTGGTTTATATCCATTTGGAGCTTATCGAAATTCATTAAATTCTTCTGAAGACTCATCCAGTGATATTCACTCTCGTTTCGACTCTTCTCTAGTGAGTTTATCGACTGTGTTAAAGTGTCTAATTTAAAATCGGCCGCTTTTTTCCACTCGAAAAGCAACTGAGTTTGGTATTTCAACTTGTCCAAGTCTTGACTCGGTCTCGACGCCACCTCATAATTGGCTAATCTGGTCGAAAGTTTGTGAAAATCGTGCTGTAATTCCTTAATCGAACTATTGCTTATTCTAGATGCATCTTCGTACGTTTCCGTTGTTGTGGTGTGACGCGTCATGGATCGGCTCGCTCGATTTAAACACTCTTTTTTATGCAAAGACATTTCCATTCGAGGCACATAAGACCCACATTTGTTGGGGCAAGGTACCAAAACGTTGCCACAAACCGATGTATGTCCCTACAAATAGATTAAAAAATTGATTAGAAAAAAATTTCACTCACCATTTCTGTTTCATTTTCGATTTTTTCATGACAAAAGTAACAGGTAAAGGGGTTTCTGTGCCGCTCCATGATTCCAGGTTAACTATTTCACAACTGATAAGATAAGAACAAAATATTTGAGTCATGTGAAATAAAACAAGGTTATTTTTACCAGCTTTTATTAATCCAATTAATTAATTAAGTCAATACTAAAAATTTCTAACATACTGAAAAGGTAGAGTAGAAAAAGAAATAAAAACTGAAAATGCCACTCGACAAGTTTAATCAACACAATTGTGCCTGTTTTCCATTTTTAACACTAAATAGATGAAATTGTTGTTGGCCAACCTGAGAGTTGAACCAATTGACTTTAGTGACTTATGTTTTTTAATTAAATTAAATCAGAGACTAATATCGAATTCCGTTTGCTCCGTCATGTTTCTTCAATGCCTATTTCCAGGTCTAGGTCCGTTCCTGTTTTGTTTAGGCCTGTTACTGTATCCGTTATTATTATTCTGATAATACGATTGGTTATTGGATCTCGGTGGGCGATTTCCTCCTTGTTTATGCACTTCCTCTTTATGAGCCTCTTCAATATTATTATTATTATTATTTCCCGTCACTGGAATCGGTGGTTGTGGTTGTGGTGGTAAATTCGTCGGAATATTTTGAAATAAAGGAGGCAAAGGAATCGGTGGTGGAGGTGCTCCTCCCGTCACAAAACTCTGATTCGTGAACGTCTGGCTCGGAATCTGTTCAGGTGGAGTGTCAATCTCGGATTCTTGCAAAAAAAAGAAACTTCCAGTCCCTAGCATTTCCGTTATAGGTCTCGGAGGTGGCTGTTGTTGTTGAAAATACAATTGCTGTTCGGGAGTAAGAGACTGATCCATTGGTGGTGGTGGTGGTGGTGGTTGTTCCGTTATGGGTGGTTGTTGTACCATCGCTGATGGTACTACAGACTCAATAGAGAGCATCTCCATGGAAGGGAGTTGCTGAGGGGGCTCAGGGTCGCTAGATGCGACTTCCGGTTGTTCACTCTCAACCAAATTCTCAAACACCTTTAAAATTATTTTTATTAATCAATTTAGGGGAATTTGGGAGAGAGAACGACTTACAGGAACTTGATCAAAATAACCGCTTTCATGGATTTTACCAAGAATTTCTTTGACTTGACTATAAGTTCCTCCAAATACTTCTTTTGGTTTGCCATCTACAACGGCAAGGAGGTGCTCAGCGGCGGCTTGAACCTCATTCGTGAAGGCAGTTGGGTTTCCCGCTTCGTGTTTTGGGGTCACGGCTGGGTACAGGTCATCCAACAATCTATACAAAACAATCAAACAGTAGCAGTGTTGCCAGCTCAAAACAAAACTAGATAACGCTATTTTATTTAGTCTAATTCTATAATTTTTTGGATAGTTTTTTATTAAATTTTGCGATATACCGGGCAACAAAAAAAATCTATTGGCAACACTGAATTAATTAAATTTGTTATATCAAAAAAATGTTTAAAGTGACGGCTAAATCAGCAGTCGCCCGTCACAAATGAATGACAATTGCCTATAAAAGTTTGACGTTTGAATTTGAAAGTCAAGGTTGCCAAATTAAATTTTTAATTTGACACCAAATCATTTACAGTCGCCCGATATTAACGTTTTTACTTGAAAACATGCTAAAACACTTGATAAGATAAAAATAATGACTTATTTTGATGTTTTTTTGGTTTGTTATTAATGTATTTTTCGTCTTATTTTTTTTTGACAAAATTTCATTTAAAAAAAGCTAAATCGAATGAAACAAATGAAATAACATCAATTTAGATTTATTTTTATTGTGTTTAAGCACGTTTTGACAATATCCTGCAAAATAAATGAGTCTCTGGTTCAAAAACGAAGTAAATCGAGTGAGATACGCTAAAATTATATCAATTTCAATCTAATTTGCTAATTTTTCGGTCAGTTTTAGCAAAAATTTAAATGTATTTGAAAAACGTGCTGAAATTAAAAAATGCAAAAATAACACTAGTTTTGACAAATTGTCGGTTTGTTTTTAATGAAATTTTGCAAAATAGTTCTGTTTCTAGCTGAAAACATACTAAAACGCTCAGAAATGGACAAAATAATGTGCTTTTTGGCCTATTTTAGAGATTTTTTTTACCTTGTTGAGTGAAATATTATTTGGAAAAACAAAACTATGTATCTCTCCATTCTTCAAAAAAAAAAAAAAAAAAAAAAACTAGTGTCATCATTTTGGACTGTATCAATAATTAAAAAAGTGAATTTTACTAACATTTAGGCGAATACTCTATTAAAAAAAATATTTCATAATACATTAATTTTATGTTGAAACTACAGTCACGCTTCTAAAAAATCATCAGAAATTAGATTTTTTACAAAAGTTTTCACCAACAAATCTTTAAACTAGTATAAAAATCACCAGATCTGGTGAAATTTCAACATTGAAAAGAAGTTTTTTTGTTTTTTAAAATTGGTAACTTTCGCAAAATCTAGTTACCAATTCTAAATGACACTAGTGACTCCCCTGAAATTTTGATTAAATTAGAGGGTGTCAGAACTCGCGCCCCAGAGAAAAATTTTAAGTAAGATAAGACACCAGGAACATGAAATATATTTTTTTTAATTCCGTGTCAAAAAATCTTGACATTTATTTTTTGACATATGACATTTTTTGTCTATGTGATCTTGTATATTTTTTTTATACCAGGTGAATAAAAAGTATGGAAACTATTAAACTATTTATTTTTTGAAAAAACTAATTGTACTATAAAAATGTGATGATTTAAAAAGGAATAAAATTTTTCGAAATTTCCTTTTGTTTTTAGTTCTACAAAAAAAAAAAATTTTTAAATGGCAACCCACTATAAAATCATTTTTCTCATAAAAGCTATACTCTAAGGATTACAACTATCTGCTTAAAAATTTTTTTTTTCACATAAATTGCAATTTTGACAAAAAAAATCGCATAACTCAAAAACAAAACACAATTTCGTTCTGAAAATACGATCACATGCAAATGATTAAAAATAAAACCGCTTGGTTCCATACTTTATATTCACCCTGTATAATTATTTAGTAAAGATACAAAAATTTTGCCAATAAAAGCCACAGAGTTACAATTTAGCAAAAAAAAATATTTTTCCAATAGAAATAGTCAAAATTTAAACCCCCATAACTTGGATTTACAGACGTTTACTTTTAAATAATTAAGAAATTTGTGAACACCATTTTGCAAATGATGATCACAAGACAAGAAAGACTAGCATACTTGAGATCGGCGTCGGTGAGGTGTGCGGCGCCGTTCCTCCCATGGAGGAAATCCTCCCTGACCGCTTCATTCCCCATTTGATTGAGTGCATCTTGCACCAAAAGAATCTCTCGAAGTCTCGCCAATTCGGCCTGATTTTTGGCAGCCGCTTCCTTCTTAGCTTGCTTTTTGGCCTCCTTTTCCGAGACAACGGCAATTCCTAGGAACTGTTTGTAGATATCTCTGGCAAAGTCGAGCGTTTGGGTCACCTCATTGTACTTGGCCACGGCAGTCTTCTGATCGGAATTGAGCTCTTTACCGGCGTTTTGCAGATCTCTATACGATTCTAATTTCGACTGGAATGCGAAAAATTACGCCCCACATCAAACTCATTACTCACTACTCACCTTGCGCTTTTCGAGGTTCCTAATTTTGTGTTCGACGAGGGTTATGACTTGTCTCAAGGGCGTTGAATTTGAGTCCGGAAGAGATGCTTCTGGAGACACTTGCTTATCAATTTTCACATTCGAGGCCGAGGGCATTTTTTTAGAGTTTTTAAACGACTTAAACGACAAGTTTCCTACTCGTTCAAGTAGGATTTAACGTTTGTGAAATGAAATAACGCAAGAAACGTTCAAGATTAATGACAACACAAAGTTGTGATGATCACTCACTCCATCGAAAAGCCGACACTGGCGGAAACCGTCCGCCATTACTTTAATCCCATTGGTCGATTACGCCGGAATTGACGAAATCAAGCGCGAAATTCAAACACCAAAAAAATGTCAAAAATTATTTATTACGAATGGTGTGTTGTTTGTAAAACCACCAAATAAATGTTCGTTTCGTAATAACGTAATAAACAAACAATATCACTTTCTCTTTACAAGAAAATCGAAATAATGGCAAAACAACCATCACTAATAAAAAAATATGTCTAAACTAAATATATTCATTACATAATAATTATTAAACAATACATTTTTTTAGTTTTATATAAACTCTCATCAAATATAATGTACACAATTTTGATATTTAGTCCTTCGAATTTTAATCAAGTCTTTCACTGCGAATACACTGTATTTTTCATTTTTAAACTGTACTCTATACAGTCAATTTCCGCCCACGAAGTACGTACCTCCAAAAACAACTAAAACAAACACAAATTACACACATTGAAATCGAAAACTAAACAATTACCTGATTTAACCAATTCTCATCCGCTAATAACTCATTTAATATACAAGTCGTATCCTTATTTGGATCACTAGTCCGTTTTTCACTGACACGTTTTGCACATTCAATATACATCAAATATTTTTGATGTGTCACTTTATTTGAAAGTTCAACACGTGTTGCACAAATCCTACACATTAAAAAATTCTGAAACAAAAAATTTCAATCGAGTTTTTTTCAATCCACCTGCACATACTTTCTCATTCATTGCTTTTGGATCAGGTTGACAACCTTCCAAAGTAGTTGAATTGTACGGCTGACCATACATCAAAACACGAACAGCGACTTCCAATCGACCACAAGCTGCACAACTTTTCGTATGAATATCAGACGGATTTACTTCGCGAATCACATTAAAACATGGCCATGTACAGACTGCGGCTTGGACCGCTGGTGGCCATCGCAGCAACGACAACAACTTTTTTTTCTTACTGTCGGTTATGTCATCTATCGTTTTCACATTTGATAAGAAATACTCATCTGGAAAAAATTCCAACTAAATCGATGACAAAGTTAAATCAAAATTTTACCTTTCTCTTGGAAAATTTCCGTTAGGAAATTACTATCCAAAGCTTGAGAAATTAATGTCTGTATGTACACTTCGAAATTGTCCTGATAACACTCACAATCACGCATACATTTCTGTTGGTAATCCTGATCGATGACTGTCATTTCATTACGTAAAAATTCCACGATTGTTTCCAAATGATTCTGGACTTTGTAAGCGATTGGTATTGAAATGTATTGCTTTTTACTTTCAGGAGTCCATGACGTATACTAAAATCCAATTGAAACTATTACAATTATTACGAAAATTATACCAACCGTTGAAATATTTCTATAAAGAGTAACACCATTTTGTTCAAATGGTTCATATTTTTGAAGCAAAGTCTTTCCATCAACTCGCCAAATCGCTGGCCAATCTTGACTCAATTCAGATCGTATTACAACAAATTCACCAGGCTAAAATAATCAATTAAAACACCAATTATTTGTGTTTTTCTTTACCTTGAACGGATTGTCATCATTCGTAATAAGAGAATTATTGGATAAAGACGCTGCAATATTATCCTCGAGTGTAGGAGGCGCATTTTGCTTATTTTTATTTCCTTTATTTTTCTTAGAATTATCGCTGACGTAACCATCGGTTTCATAAATGCCGGCTCCTTGTGCAGCTGCTGTAATGAGATTTCTACGTTTTTTCCCACTAGCTGTAAAACACGAGTTAAATATAATTTTTTTATGAATCTAATTACCTTTTCGTGTTTTTTTCGAAATTGGTATAATTTCTTCGCCATCTTCTTTAGCTTGTGGTGTCCATGCCGGATCCGAATCGGAATCTTGAAACTCAGGAGGCTCTTCAAGATCATCATCGGCTTTGATAAGATGTTGCAAATTAATTTTCTCTTTTGCTGCACGTTTTGTCGATTCTCTTCTCGGTATAATTTCCTCGTCTTTTTTCGTTTTCTTGATTTTTTTTCTTTCAGTCGTTCCACTTTTGGATTTTTTACGTGACTTATTGTCTTTTCGATCGTAATTAAACTTTTTATTACTTCTAAAAAAATCATCATCTGAACTAATCCCATCACTGTCACTGTCAAAACTGTTTCTTTTTCGTTCTTTCGGTAAGGGAAAGTATCTGGGATCGTCTTGGGGGTCTCCTTGCGATAATTTTGTTATTAATGGTGGTGGTAGTGGGGGCTGTACGACTGGAGTCGCCGTTCCGTTACTTTCAGGCTGTTTTGTCGTCTCGTTGTTTATTTGGGGCTTTGAACGTGTCCACGAAGATTGCTTTCTATTACCGCGTGTAACAGGAGGTGGAGAACTATCACGTTCTCCTTGAAGGAACTTGAGATAACTACTCATGAAACCCGAACCGGGTCCTGTTGCTTTATTATTATCGTTTGGTTTCATTGAGTTTTGTGGCGGCGGTTTAATCGAGTTGGTTGGGGTTCTTGTTGTCGTACTTTGTGAGAGAAAATTTAATTCTTCTTCAATGTTAGGAACGACGACTTTTGGTTGATCTTCTTGTTGTTGTTGAGGAAATTGTGACGATGTGTTTTGCTCTGGATAGTTGCTAATTGGGGTTAATTCAACGGTTGATGGAAATTCCGCTGGATGAGGGGGTAAATGGAAAGGTGCGAAATATGGCAATGGGGGCGGTGGATGGTGACCATGTGGATGTGGGACCATCAAACCTTGGTGCTGTTGGTGGATTGTCTGGCTGGTGAAGATTTTTGAAGAAGGCGGAGGCAAGTTCCACCTGAAACAAATGGATTTTTAACAATTTTTGCTCACTTCTGTGAGAGAATATTTTTGGTTGGCAATAATACAAATTAATTCACAATTTTTACGGTTGAGAGATTTCTACAAAAATCAAGATACCTAAAGTAGTTTCTTAAATATTTTTGGTTGGCAACAATACAAATTTGACAGAAATTTTGTGAAAATCAAACACTTAAATTTCGTGCCATCCGACACATTGGTGAGTGAAAAAATCCGTTATTTACTTTCATAAATTTTAACATAAACCAAAATTTGGCCAATTCTTAACCTCACTTTTTTTAAAATAAGTACCTATCAAAATCGAAATAGGCCCCATTTTGTTGCTGTCCTTGCGCCCCGGAGCTATGTGCCGGTGGTGGTATCCGTGGTACCTCACTAGTCGGTTTCTCACTACTTTTTCTTCTCTTAACCGCCGGTTTAACCTCTTGTTTAACCTCGACTTGTGCCACTTGACAACTCTGTTGCTGTTGCAAATTCTTGACAATACTCATCGGATCGCCTCGACAACTAGACAAGTCCTGTAGTGCTGCCATCTGGTGGCTGGTATTAGTCTCAAAATACCCTTGTTGTCCCACTCTTTGGTCCTGCACTGTGTTATAATTATTTGGTTGATTTCCTGTTGAGAATTTTCGGGCTTGTCTTTCCTCCCAACAATTTTGATTATTTTGCGGTTGTCTTTCGTACCTCTCCGGGAAGCTGCTTTTTTCGCTATTTAAAGCTCGCGTTATGACAGAAGGATAGGCAACGTTGGTTGGTTGAGTAGTAGGTCTTGGAACAGAGACATCCAATGGTGAGGGAGGTGTTACTTGATTGGAAGTTTGTTGAGGGGAAGAGATTGAGTTCATTGGACTGTTGTACATTGGGTAGGCGGGGCTTGGGGCGTGGCCAATTGGTGAAGCTTGAGAGTGAGCTTGTAGAGGGCTAGGTCTACGAGGGACAACGACATTGCAATCGGGACCATTTGAGTTATAATCGGAACCACTTTTAGGAATATTTTGAGGGTAATGACTGTAATTTGAGGAATTTTGAAATTGCGATGTACGTTTTCCAGAGTAATTTATCGAGAAACTGACAGGTGAAGATTGATTTTGTGGTTCTTCGTTGTTTCGCTGTCTATCATTTTGTTGATTACTTAATTCTGGGTAGATTTTCGTTTGGGCTTTCGTTTGAATTTGGGGAGTTGTTGATTGTTTGATGGGTCTTTGAGGATTGGGTGAAGTTAGATAAGATCTGGGTGTTTGTGGTACTCTATACTCTTTTGAATTTGATGGTGTTGAGACTATACATGATTGGATTGAGTTTGAAGTGGTTGCGGTTTGGAAGAACGCTGGAGGCGTTTTAGTAGTAGTGGCAGGACTTTGAGCTCTAGTAGCAGTAGCGGCGGCGGCGGCGACGGCGGCGGTTTTCGCCGCCGCCAATTGCGAATTTAAATGATTGAGACTTTGGGCGGCGGCAAAATGTGCATTGAAATTCTCATACGTCGCCGCTTTCGTAGTCGGAACCACACTTTCATGGGGCAGAATTCCGAAGGGGCTGTTTTGTTGCCATCCAGCGCCCTGTTCGAAAAAAGGCTGTTGGTGATAGTCGTCTGGTTGTTTGGAGGCGGCGAGGGCACGGTGCTGGGTGACATAGTGGGCAGTGGCGGGTTTGGTACCCGCCGCGTGATGGAAAAGGGGGCTAAAAACAGTCTCGTAACCCACTGGTGTAGGGGAAAGGAAACCACCGGGTAACAATTGAGCAGTGGTGGTGGGCGGTGTGCCTGTCGTAGGGGGCAGATGGTGATCCCCTTGAACACCAGCAAGACGATTATAAGAGGCGTAAGCCGACCATGGGCCCACCGGATCCATGACTGTCTTTCAGTGGTTTAGCCATCCCATCTGTAAATAAATATAAATGTAATCTTGACAAGATGGACTAAAACACTTACTTCTCATTGAGAAAATGACAATTCACCAATTATTACATATATCTCTTGTCCGGTTTTCGTAAATATGGCTCCATTTCTTTGAAGTCTTACCGATCACAAATTATCAAAACAAACAACACAATATTATAATAATAGCACAGTTTCAACTCTAGTGCTTAAAACACGTGAGTAATAAGAGAAAAAAGTAAAAACATTCATAATTAATTCAGGTATTTGCGTATTTACGACATTATTCAGACACCAAACTTTATATCGCCATTTTAATATTTTCCTAACAATAGATGAGCGCCATCTTTAATGACCTTCAAAAATACCCGCCAAAATCAAACACACAAAAGTTTACACGAAATTTATTATTACAATTTTTTTTTTTTAATTAATTACAATTTCATCTAATGCATCTCTATTATGAAACTACTTTGGCTTTTCAGAACCTACACATGAATCACAAAGAATTGTGTCAACATTTTCTTACAATATCACAATTAATTCAACACTGATACCAAAAAAGAAAAAAACAAGCAGAGGTAACTTTGATCTGAAAAGGAAGACAGTTGTCTCAGTCACATGACATTGCAATAAAAATTATTGATATGCAAATTATGTAAAATAAAAATAAACTCTGTTTACTAAACTTAGCTTTGGCAAGGTTACAGGAATTGTCTTTTTTTTTTTAAATTAATTTAGGCCATTTTAAACAATATGTACAAACTTACAAAAATATATACAATATCACTTTTAAAAATAAACATAATATCAACGGTGGTAAAAAAAAGACTAGAGAAAAAATTAGACATGAGATGAAGGTGATGAAATTCCATGAGTTACTGAATTTTCGAGAACAACATCAAGTTCGTCCAATGGCAATAAAATTTGCCTGAGAAACGTTAATAAACCACGATTTCTCAAAAAAGAACTTTCTTCGTACATTTCTTGAGTCACTTTACATATTGCCATTGGTCCCAACATCCGATGCAACAAATGCTCCCTAAAAAAAAATTGTAAACAAAATGAATCTGACACAATAATTAATCACCTGACACTGAGACAAATAAACAATTGAAATTTTCCATCTTTCCCCAATGCTTTACTTGTACACATAATTTCGTCAATTAAATGACAATAACATCTCCAAACGGCAACGGTTTCTTGATGATTACGTTCTAAACTTGCCGTTCGATTACCTGAACTCTCTTCTAGTAAATCCGACTCAAATTGTTCTTTAACGCGGACTGAAAAAAAAAATTAATGTTTAATTTATAAAAAAGAATTTTTTATCGCACCTAAATAGTCCCAAAGATGATTTTTCCCGACAAACAATCGCGCCGATTTAAATCCCAACAAAAATACATTTTCCAAACAATATACTAATCCATTTTCGCCACATAATAAAGCCGTTAATGTAGTATTTCGTTCAGAATTCCTTCTATAGTGCCATTTGACGATATTATTAACACAATCGCCTAACATATGTTGAATTTGCGATTGTTTTAATTCAGTTCGGAGAGGTCCCGGAGAACGACACCTTGGTGATGATGTTTGTCCCATACTTTGATTCGTTTCCTCTCCTTCGACTTTCAACGCCATTAAATTACCGACCAAGAGTCGTTCAGTTGACCCATCATCGACCCCACGTCCCAACCATCGCCCACATGGAAACCTACAAGTTTATCTAAATCACTCTACAAGACAAAAAAAATCACTTACTTGTAAGTATGTCCTGTAATTTCGTTACGTACTAAAACATAATCAATCATCCATTTTGCATACAAGCCTGAATTGTCATGTCCTATTCTTAACGTTGTTAAAACACCCAAATTGTGATGCTTGTATTCGAAATTGATTAATTTAGGTACGGGAATACGACGAGTTTCAGATAGAGTACCAGAAAGTACGACCCAGACATTTGCCGAAGTGGTAGCACTCTTTTTATTTGGGTTTATCACAATACGATAGGGTATCACAGTGGTGGCGTACGTACTTGTGAAACAGAAATAATCAACAGCGTTTAGAGACAAGAGATGGTAGAGGAATTGTTCTTTTTCTTCTTCGCAACGAAGAAAAGCTGAACGTTTGTAAAGACTACGAAGGATGGTTTGGTCGGAAAGAAGAGTGCGAAGATGTTTCGATAATTGTTTTTTTTCAAGGGCTAAACGGACCCAAGCTTTGGCCATACCAATCCCGGTTTTTACATCTGTCATTGCTTGGACATTCCTAATACACACACAATTTTTTGCAAATAAAAGAGTCAATTTGTTTAACTTACGCGACATCAAATAAAAGCGAATCAGGAAGTGTTGGTAAATCAAGCTTGAGATTTTTATTCTCATTCAAAAGTTTATTCCTATTTTGATGTGTTTCCTGGTATATGGTTAAGTGTGACCATAAGGCTGATTTTCCCCTTTTTCGTTGAAGTCCATGTGACCAAACTCTTTCCAAAAACTCACATAGTGACGCGACTAGAGTATTTTCTTCAACTGCACCGAAATTATCAACGGCATTATTACTCGAAAGTGTCACACCTTCGGCTCCCAACTTTGCTAATAACATTCTTTTTGTTTTAGCTTTACAATCTTTGAGTAATTTCTCGACAAAAGTCCAATTTGCTTGTGCTATTAAAGCTGGTGACATGTCTTGATTGTTTTTAGTTTTCTCAGTTGGTAGATTACGCGAAAATGACAAACCTTTACGTAATGCACTCGCTCGTGGAATACTTCCTTTATTAACAACAGGAGTTTTATTTAAAATTTCTTTATCTAAAAGTGGGAAATACCGACTTGGATTTGATTTGACATTCATTATTTCTCTCGGTGGTGGTGCTTCAAAATCCGGATTTGTTAATCTCCGTTCTAAAAGTTTCTGTGTATCGTGTGCACTCGTACACGGCTCGTAACACAAAGATCTAATTAGATTCTCACCACCGTAGCGTTGTTTTAAAAGTTTAATTCGATTATCGAAAATGAGTAAATTATTATCAATCTCACCCCATGTTGATAAAATTTTATTATCAATCAGTGTGGCAAACATTTGCGATTCGAGAAATCTCCAAAGAAAGTGTCGATGTTGTTCCGGTTGATCAGACAAAAAAGATGCTTTATCGAAATTTTGCATAGAATCGCGATTATTGAACCAATCATCTTTATCCTGATTGGGAAATATAACAAAATTTTCGTACGATTGAAAAATATGAACGAAACGATTAAGGAAAATCTCTCGAATTGAATTATTAAATCGTAAATCCTCAATATAGGAATCTGTAGGTTGAGTGGTTTCGTTTTGGTCCAAAGCCACTCCTGTTCTTCGAACAATATCGGCAATTCTTTGTAAAGCTTCGGATCGAGCTGAGCCTGGGGGCGACGGTGGTCTATCCCCATCGAGAGTATCATGAATTGAGAGTTTGCGTCGATTCTGGGGGCGCCCTGGTAGCGTACAACTCCGCGACATGATTTCCTACAAGACGAATTTAATTAACACTATCAAAATTGACATTGATATTTACTTGATTGTTACGACTATTTTCAGAATTGGGTACATGAACCCCATATTTGTCCAATGCTGCCCAAATTTCAGCGGTGAAAGCCTCCAAATGTGGAAAAGTAGCACTTTCTTCCGGTCTTTGTACTTTACATTTATCAATATCAACGTAACAGAGAGTCGCTTCCGATGCCACTTTGATATTTTCAGATGAGGCATAAAGCCCCATTACGAAGGGTACAGGAGCGTCGAGAAAATGGTGCAAGGAAGCTGGCAAAATGGGGACATAGACGTGGGGCCATGTGAAAGGAAATAACAACGAAGTTATCCCTTCAGCCACGACCATTAAACGTTGACAATCGGTGCTTCTTAAAAGGACTTGATTTTCCAATAGGAGACAAGTGAAGATTTGTACAACAATGTCCACTCCAAGCCAAAGAAACATCAATCTTAAGGGGTAATCAAGATGGGGTAATTCAATTGGAGGTGCTGGAGATTGTAAAACTGCATTAACTGGGGGCAAATGAGGATCGTTTGGAGGCAAAGAGACCAAAAGACTCTTTCCAGGTGCTGGCAATTGCACTTCATAAATTAAATTAAATACGTAACTTTCAAGACTTAAACCTGTCGGAGGAGAAGCAGTGACACGTTTAGGCACACAACGAAATAAATTCTCGAGGAAAATCTTAGCTGCTTGCACATAAGCTGTCTGACATATTAGACTGATACTTTTTGATACAAAAAGCTTGTCTTTGTTAATATCGTAATAGGTGAGAGCTGCTCCACTAGGATTATGTGTGCTGAGTTTAAAATGACGAGGAAGTGACCGGGATTGTGGGGTATTCTGGATCGTTTTGATTTTTAATCCGCTTGATAATTCCGTGATGTACATAGCTTGAAGGGTTTGCATCGCATTACAAATATCTCTATTTCGTACTTCTTCGTAAAAAATCAAACTAAAACCGTAGCATCTCTTACCATCTTCTCGAGTTATGAGAAATGAATGAAAAAGTGGAGCTTGAGTAACGGAGTGTTTTTGTGTCCTGAATTTCAATCCTTGAGGCAAGCAAAACTGAAATTGCGGCGTTATTGGGGTTTTTTAGAAAAAGAACAAGTTTACCATGCAAACCGCAGAGGCATCAAAAGGATTATGGGGCACGTTTTCAGGATAATGTGCCAAGACTTTGCCTTTGTATGAACGTTCCAAAGGTGAGACATGCAAGTTGTCTTCTATAAAAAATTATAAGTTTGGGTTTGGGTTTCATTAATTACCTACCTGATATATTGTCAGGTTCAAGGCCTGAACTCAAATCCAAGCCACAAATTACGAAATAGTCAGCAAATTTAAGCATTTTTACTACTTAACCTAAACTTGAGATTTTTTTTCGCAGAGAGCTGATTTTAGGTGCTTTTATCACAATACATTGTTACTTAATATTATCACTTTGTACTTTATGCGTCTTTAATAAAAAATATGTTAAATATTTACGCTCTATTTTCTTTTCGTTTTTCGGCCATCTTGAACATTAAACCGACTCGAACAAATGCACTACTAACCAAAAGTTGAGAAATTATTCGAATTGTTAACACAAATTTTGATTTTTTATGAATATTTTTTAATGTGAATAAAATATTACGCAAAATTAATTTAGTTGTTTTATTGGAACAACATTTTTCTTCAAGTGTAGTTCACATGTCCCATTCTGCCACCATCTGATTGTCAAAAATTGTTAAAATGGCGTAAAGATTTGTTTAGAAGAATATTACTTTTGGGTGTGGCTTTTAACATAAACTATTGATGATAGTTTTGTAAACAATTAAACCAGTTTTTGTCAGAAATTTAGTTTCTCGGGGGGAAAAGTCCCCCGAATTTTATTTAGCCCCCAGGTGATTCGATCGACTTGCTCATCATTATTTTGAAACTGTGACTAAAGAAAATGTTAATAATTTTCTGCAAAACTATAAAATACTCAAAAACGCCATGAAGATTTAAATTGAAAAATGTCACGTTTAGCGGACTATTTCGTCGTTGTGGGTTATAATCATGAGAAAGAGCGTAAGTTTGTACCACAAGTTTAACGAGTAATTAATTTGATAAATTTCAGGGAGCGGTATTAGCAGCGGTATAATTTTACAAAGATTCCCGGAAAAAGACTGGCCAGATACGCCGTTTATTGACGGAATTGAATGGGTATTTAGTGTGAAATGACCCTTGTGGCTCATTTCATGTCGATTTTTTCCTAGTTTTGTCAACCACAAGGATGGGCTTTATCCACCGAACGACAAGAGCCGAAATTTTTCGTCTCGGTACTTACAGATATCGACGCAAATCGCTACTATTGTGCTTGTCTTTGTTTCAATGAAACGGTCTCAATCACCCCTAGCAAGCCTGTGGATGAAGAGGAAGACACCGTTGAAAGCGAGGCTTCTCTCGTGCGCCCCATTCCCGCTATATCACATCACAGCATTATGTACGCCCCCAAATGTCTAGTATTGGTCTCAAGATTGGATTATATCGAAACGTTTAGGAATTGTTTAGGAATTATTTATTCGGTTTATGTAGAGAGTATGCCAGTACCGTTGGAGAATTTAGTCGGGAATATTCTTGGTTGTATTCAGGTGCCTCCACCAGGGGGGCCCCAAGTGAGATTTAGTATCGGCGCTGGGGATAGACAAGCGTTACAACCCCCATTGAGCCCCTCACTACCAGTCACGCACACTTCCGTTAATTTATTATTCCATCAGTTAGGGATTCGTAATGTTTTAGTTTTATTTTGTGCCATAATGACCGAACATAAGATTTTGTTTCATTCGAAAAGTTATAATCGTTTGACTGAAGCTTGTCGTGCATTAACAGCTCTCATGTACCCCTTTCGATATTCACACGTCTATATACCTCTATTACCAGCGGCTTTGGTCGAATTTCTATCAACTCCGACACCTTTCATAATGGGGGTACACTCGTCTTTGAAATATGAAGTCGCTGAATTGGTATAAATGAACTACTGATGAGTTTATATTATAATTTTTTTTTTTTGGTAGATGGATGTGATTATTGCGGATCTAGACGGCGGTTCTCTTACAATTCCTGACGGAATTTCACTTCCGTTACTCCCAGAACCGCTCTTGAGTCACACTCAGGAAAACCTGAGTCTTATACTTCAACCAGAACTCAGCTGCGCTGATCATGCTTTCCCTCCGTTGGCAGTTCGGGCCCCACAACCCGCCATGTTAGATAAGGAAATCAGGGCCGTATTTATGCGAACTTTTGCCCAACTCCTTCAAGGCTATCGCAGTTGTCTCACATTGATTCGAATACATCCTAAACCGGTGATAACTTTTCATAAAGCGGCTTTTTTGGGCGAACGCAATTTAAAAGAATGCGAATTTACAACACGTGTTTTGGATTGTATGTTTTTTACCAGTTTTGTGGCTGAAAGAGGTCCACCATGGCGGCCATGTGACGTCTGGGATGAACTTTATAGCAGTTTGGGTGAACTGATGAAAGCTGAAACACAAGATTCAAGATTGATTTTGATTCATATACAAGAATTGGCACAACAATTGTACACTAATGAAAATCCCAATCCGCAATCGTACTCGCAAAAAATTCTAGTACCTCCTGAAGGTGCTTTTGCAAGGATACATCAACCTATTTTACCCATCATTAATGGAGAACAAGTCCAAACCATTATTGATGAAGGATTGTCGAAAAATAATCTCAAATCGAGGTGAGTAGATTGGATGGTCCAGGACCGTATTAACATTATTTTTTGTCTTTCTCTCGATGCGTTGTTAGTGGGGATTATGCCTGGTAAGTTTAGTGTGCTTTTGTATTCTTGTTGAAAATAAATAATACCCGTCACTGGTTTTCTTATTGTTACTATGACAATTTTTACTTTTATATTTTATTGTTACTATAGTTACATAAAATTTTTGGAATTTTCTATAGCAACTAGACGAAGCTACTCACATGTGCGACTCGTCTACGCATAATGCCTTCTAATAACAATAATGTTTTTATCAAAGAAGGAAAGCTTATTTGGTTATTTTTTTGAAGGTTGGCATCTCTCCGGCCCATCCAGCCTCGAATCGTCCCTTCGGGCCCCCACATTTCCAATCTCAACGAGAACAAAAACATTGTTAGTAATTCGGCACGTCGTCTCGAAGTCCTTCGTAATTGCATTAATTGCATTTTCGAGAATAAAATCTCCGATGCACGTAAAACCTTCCCGGCTGTACTGCGAGCCCTTCAATCGAAACAAGCACGTTTAGCACTTTGTAATGAACTTGCACAACACGTCAGTGGTACAAAAGCAATGCTCGAACATCAACAATTCGATCTAGTCGTACGTTTGATGAATTGTGGTCTTCAAGATGATTCATCGATGGACGAACATGGCGTTGCCGCAGCACTTTTACCACTTTCGACGATTTTCTGTCGTAAACTATGTACAGGAATCATACAATTTGCGTATACGTGTATTCAGGAGCATGCAGTTTGGCAAAATCAACAATTTTGGGAAGCGGCTTTTTATCAAGATGTACAAAAAGATATTAAGGCTTTGTATACGGCACGATGTGAGAGTGTGAGAGGAGGAGGGGAGTTGTTATCGAGTCCGACTTCGCCAAGAGAGAGTAATAAAGATTATAATTGGACTAATAGAAGAAGTATTTTGAATCGGGTACACGAACCAACAGCGTTAGAAATAGCAGCTGAACAAATGAGAATCTGGAGTTCTATAGATGGTGAAAAACAAAAAGAATTAATCACGTGTGAGGAGAATACAATGTATAGTCAAGCAATTCATTATGCAAATCGAATGGTTTATTTATTAATCCCTTTGGATATTGGAAATAAGACAAGTAAACAAGAGTTGGATGATGATGAGAGAGCGAGTAATAGTATGGCGAATAGGTGAGTGTTTAAATTTCCAGTCACCGGAATAAAAATAATTTTTTAGTGTCGCTGAGAGTGATAGTGCTGATGCTGAGTCCGGTTTTGAAGATCAAGATCCGGGTGAGACCGGAATGACAGTCATTCGTCTTGTATCTCGTTTCATTGATAAAGTTTGTAATGAAGGTGGTGTAACTCGTGAACATATTCGAAATCTCCACCAAATGATTCCCGGTGTTGTTCATATGCATATTGAGACACTCGAAGCGGTTCATCGTGAATCTAAACGACTTCCTCCAATCCAAAAACCGAAAATTCTTACACCCAATATGCTTGCCGGTGAAGAACTCATTATGGAAGGTTTACGAGTATATCTCTTACCCGATGGACGAGAAGAAAGTAGTCCGGGATTACTTGGTGGTCCACCACTTCTTCCAGCCGAAGGTGCTATCTTCCTTACCAACTATCGTATTATTTTCAAGGGAATCCCCTGTGATTCGTTCGCTTGCGAACAGATTGTTGTGAGATCGTTTCCAGTGACGTCATTAACGAAAGAGAAGAAAGTTGCAGTTCAATATTTGGCACATTTAGATCAATGGTTGCAAGAGGGACTTCAAGTGCGTTCATGTACGTTTCAATTGATGAAATTAGCGTTTGATGAAGAGGTCACAGCTGAAAATGTTGAAACATTACGAAAATTTATTCATAAAATACGACATCCACCTGATGTGTTTCATCATTTTGCGTTTACGGGTCAAGTGGTTGTGAGTCAGACACCGTTGCATAAAGGAAAGGAAAAAAATGCAACTTTGAGAGGTTTTGCAAAGAAAACATTATTGAAAACGGCAAGAAAAGCAGGATTTAAACAGAAATCGTCATCGAAACGACAAAAATATGTTTTACCAAATTCAACACTTTATAATAGTAATAAATATATGACGAGTCCGGGTCGAATGAGTTTACCAAATACCGACGAGTATAGTCACGATGATGATTTATCTATTGATGATTTTGAAACGGGACCATCGTCAGTGCCAACTGCACCTACAGATGCTAAAACTTTAGAACGTTTAGTTGAACGTAGTTATGTAAGAGATTGGCAAAGATTGGGATTATGTAATGATAATTCATCACCGACAAATGCTAAACCAGCTCCAGATCAATTTCGCTTGACTACAGTCAATTCCATGTATATGATGTGTCGAAGGTTGGTACTGAAAATAGCTCAAATTGCTTTATTTTGGAAGAAAACTCTTCTTGAAGTCAGTATTTGGTTGAAATACTTTGATTCAGGTTGAGTCCCGACTTAAAATTGTTGCAGTCTTAAATTAAGTTTGAAACAATTATTTTTATAAAATACATTAGTTTTGAATTAATTCTGTATTAAAATCGAGCAAAATTGGATTGAAAATAGCTCAAACTGTTTTATTTTCGAAAAAAAACTATTATTTAAACTATTATATTGTTGTAATACTTTGATTTAGGTTGATTTCCTGCTTAAAAGTGAGCCAAACCCATTGGAAATTAATCAAATCGTCTTATTTTGACCGAAAACGACGAATAAACACACATTTCGTTGTTTTTGTTTAAGAAAGCCATAAAATTTAATGTCTTTTAACAAAATAAGTACTTATTTGTTGTTTCCGGTCAAAATAATACCATTTAAGCAAATTTCAATTGGTTTGGCTCGATTTAAAGCGAGAAAAGCTTGTAAAAATAAATGTATTTTATCAAATAAGTGTTAAAATTTTGGTTTCTAGGCAAAATAAGCCGATTTGATTAATTTTCAACGGTTTTGGTTGGATTTTAAGCCAGAAAACCACGCAAATCAATGTATTTCAACGCTTAAATAAAGCAAAATTGAATTGGAAATAGCTCAAATTGCTTGATTTTCATTGTTGAAATACATTGATTTAGCTATAAAAACTAACTTTTAATAACACGTTTCAGTTATCCGGCACTGTTGGTGGTACCGGCAAGTGTGCCAGATGAAAGTATTCGTCGCTTTTGTCGTTGTTACCGCCAGGGGCGGATCCCCAGTACCACTTGGAGACATCCTCGTACAAAAGCTCTTTTATTACGAGGCGCTGGTCATCATGGTAAAAGTGTAATGGGAATGTTGAAAAGTCATCCAACTCCAAATGCTTCCACTGAAACCACAACATCGTCTTTTGAACAAGAAAAATATCTTTCAGCTCTCGTTTCAGCCACTCCAATATTCTCATTACGTCATCATGGTTCAGCTTGGGGAATGTCCGATAGTTCACTCAGTGTGAATTCATTATTTTTAGCAGCTGATGATCCATTAAGTGGTGGTGCAACTCTAACACCTGAAGTGGCACGACGTTCAAAACCGCTGAAAGGAATGGGAACTTTGGCGTAATTAATTTACTACAATTTGGTGGAAAAATCGCAAAGTGATCATTTTTTTTTTTTTCTTATTAGGATGTTTCCAAGGTCATCTGGTGGTAAAGGTCCGAAGAATTTTGGTCGATGGGGCTCTTTAAAAGACAGACGCCAAAGTTCACAAGCATCACTTGCCAATGTTCAACAAAATCGCAGTAATATAATAAGACATTCAACCGATGCTGATAGTTCAATATATGGTGTTCATACGTTGCAAAGAGCCGCTTTGTATATTTTAGGAGAAAAGGCACAAATGAAAGGGGTAAAAGTCGAATCGGCCCCAAAGACTGATTTTATACCAGTGGAATATTACGATGTGCGGCATACAAAGACAGCATTTAAGAAATTAATGAGAGCGTGTATACCGAGTTCAGCAACTGATGCGCCCGAACAAAGCTTCCATAGGTAAAATTACAGGTTTCTGTATTATCATTTTTACAATGTTTGTTTAGATTGATTGAAAATTCGGAATGGTTGCAACAAATTCAGAATATAATGCAACTCGCTGGCGCCGTTGTTGATCTTCTTGACCTTCAAGGCTCCTCTGTGGCAATTTGTCTTGAAGATGGTTGGGATACAACAGCTCAAGTCTCATCCGTTGCTCAACTCTGTCTCGATCCTTACTATCGTACAATGGAAGGTTTTCGTGTTCTAGTTGAAAAAGAATGGATCGGTTTTGGACATCGTTTCAGTCATCGTAGCAATCTCAATGCGAATTCACAAGCGTCGGGATTTGCACCGACTTTTCTACAATTCTTAGATGTCGTACATCAAATTCAGAAACAATTTCCAATGGCATTTGAATTTAGCGATTTCTATTTGCGTTTTTTGGCTTATCATTCGGTGTCGTGTCGTTTTCGTACGTTTCTATTCGATTGTGAATTGGAGAGAGTTGAGAGTGGCGTTGCCGCTGTTGAAGATAAAAGAGGTTCATTAACGTCGCATCATAAAAGTGTGGATACCATCTCCGATGATGAGAATATTTATCCGGGTGGAGGAAGGGTTGCAGGAACGACTTGTGGTACAAATTTAGGACAAAGTGTCTTTGATTATGTGGAGAAGCAACATGCGAGAACACCACTTTTTTTCAATTTTATGTACACACCGGATTTTGAACATCCTGTAAATATTTATCACACAAGTAATGAAATTTTCATTTAGTGATTTTTTAATTAAGGTTTTGAGGCCACAATCACATCTTCCGTGTCTCGAAATTTGGCAATACTATTTAGATGAGAATCTACATCATGGTCCTGAATATGATCTTGAAATTATTCAACTTGATACACAACAAGAAGAAGAAGCCGAAGCCGCTGATGGTATTTCAAGTAAAAGTAATCGAAAAATAATAACTCTAGGTTATGATTGTGTCAGTAAATGTGTACCGGATGCATTTAGTCATCTTTTGGAGGAAATTCATCGATTAGAAACCGAACTTGGACATTTACCACAAAAATGGAAAGTTCTTTGGGACAAACTCGAATTACCAACCACCGATTCTCTCACTGTATGTCAAAATTACATTTTAAACCCATTTGGTATATTTTTTTCCATTCTAGAGACATTCCTCGTTTAGTACAGCTCTAGTTCGTTCTCATGGCCGTTTGGTCCATAAACGTTCAACTCTTGAAATTCTAATGAGAGGTAAAATGGTGGGGGCTGCTGAAACATCATTGGTATATTCACACCCTCACCGTTTCGAAAAATATAATTACACCACGCCCACATATTGTGATTATTGTACGAATTTATTATGGGGACCAGTGAAGGTGTGTGTATTTGAGGCGTGGCCTATTTCAATAAATTGATTTGATTGGTTACAGACCGGTATGAGATGTATGGATTGTGGGTATAGTTGTCACGAGAAATGTATAGAGGGTGTGCCTAAAAATTGTACAAAATATAAAGCAATTGCTGACAATAATGCATCACAGACTATTTCGGGTACAGGAGGTGATAATGGGTCAGTCAGTTCAGGTAAATAGGGGCGGAGTTTAAGGGGTGTGGTTATTATAGGCGGAGTTAATTGTAGGTAGCGCACGACAGACCTCTAGTCAGCAATATTACGACCAGTTTTCTTCCAATGTGGCTGAAAATAGGACACACGAAGGGTATTTGTATAAAAGAGGAGCGTTGTTAAAAGGTTGGAAACAGCGGTGGTTTGTTTTGGATTCGATTAAGCATCAATTGAGATATTACGATGCAATGGAGGATTCACACTATAAGGGGTATATAGGTGGGGAAGGGTTTTATTCGTGTTTGTGTTGTTTTTGATTCGTTTTTGTTTAGATTTGGCTGAAGTAATGTCAGTGACGTCAGCTAGTCCCGCCCCCGGCCCACCGAAAAAGACTGACGACAAATCATTTTTCGATGTAAGTATCATGTGATTGATGGGGTGTTTTGTGATTGGCTGATTTTGATTGCAGTTGCGCACTAGTCGACGCACTTATAATTTTTGTGCAGCGGATGCTGCTACCGCACAAGAATGGATCGAGAAGCTGCAAGCTTGTCTACAATAATAATAATAATACTCTTTCTTATCCAAAGTTACTTTTTTTTTTCTTAGTCACAAATCATACTCATAGGTGACAATAAATGTTGAATTATTTTTAGTCATTATTTATATTTTTTTTTATAAAACGCACACATTTATGTATTAACTGGCTCAAGTCTCTCTATATCATGCAAGCATATCAATGTTTTTCGGGATTATTTGTTATTGTTGTGTATATTATTACATTCCGTGTTAATAACCGCTCGACATAAGTCGCACCCTAGAGTCGCTGTTATATTTGTGATATATTGTTTAGTTACTTACGTTAACATGTCTCAAAGTATATTTCCTTAGCTTAATCTATGCAATGTGAAATAACTGCCAAAGTTAATAAACCATTTTAAAAATTTTATTCAAACAGGTTGAGCTTGAACTTTTATCAACAATTGATTGTTTTCGACGTAGCCTTGAGAGAAAATTTCTTCAATTAAAGCGAATTCAGTATAACCGAAACCTTTGGGATTCATATCTTGTATAGGTTTTTTAAATGCATCCAGTTCGGGACGAGTCATCATCGTTTCTTTTATATTACGAAAAGGCTGTCTGAAAAATTCAATTAATTCGATTAAAAATATTTTAATAAACAATCGCTCACAGAGGATGGATTAAAGTTATGGTTAATCTTCCACTGAAAGGCCAATCTAAGGCATGGTCGTGCTCTGTCTTCATTACATGAATCAAGATAGCTACGTAATTAGGGTCCTTGGGTGATAAATTCAAACGAATGCACAATCTATAATAAATTTTAAATTATTATTGTGTTTTTTTTCCCCCCCCCCCCCCCTCACCTATATCCATTAGTTGAAGTGTAAAAACCGGGACTATAATGCATAATCCTTGAATCATTTCGCATCGCATTAATTTTATTTTTGAAATCATTAAAATACCATAAATAACATCCATTACAGTAGCGCAAGTGCATTTTTGACATTGATAAATTCAAAGATGAGATTTGTTCAGACATATTTGCAATAATTATATCTTGTTCGCGTGTCTTTTGTTCCAATAATACGGCTTTTTCGTACAAGGCCCTGTAACAATTTTATTTACATCCCTTGTAAAATAATGATTACTCACTTTAATAATCCATTTACGTTATCGTTATTTGAGACTGATGAAGTGTCGTTTTTAGACGGGGGATCCCAAAAATTCGCTTGTTGTGCAATTGCCGATGTCGAGGGGCTATTTATAGTGATTCGACTATAAGCTTGTGATAACAACTGAAAAAATGTTTGTTTTTTAAATGGGCCAATGAAATGGTGTGTAATTACGTTCAAATGTTTGTGTATGTATTGCTCGAAGTGTCTTTGTAATTCAGGTTCATCTTCAAACTTATCCTCGCAACCAAATTCGACAAAAGCACATCGCAACTTTTCATTTTCGGGTAATTCCGGTGGTTTAAATTTACATGTCAGTAGATGTGTCTCGACATCGAGAGGTGACAACTCCTCCAAACAACCCCTCACCAGATTAGGACATTTGGTTTTTTGTTGTGAAATTTCTCTTCGAGTGAAATTATCGGGAAAAATGTCCACTCCCTTCTCGAGTTTCGTATTATCGATGGGACATGAGGGATTTTCGCGTCTAGAATTATGTTTTTTAGTGTTAGTTGTTCTAAAATGGGGCATAGGACTTACTCGAGCCATGAGTCCATACAAGTACGACAAAATCTGTGCCCACAAGAGGTCAAAACGGGGTCACGCAGCCATGCAAGACAAATGGGGCATTCAAATCGCGATTCGGGACCTGAAAAATTATCGGTGATTGAGCTTTCTTGGGCCATTGTACTTAAAACAACATTTTTTCCCAATGAGTAAGTTTTCAGGTTGACAGGTGGTGTCACGTGACCGCACCTGGATGGAATCACTAATTTAGCATCTCATTTTTTTTTATTATTTATTTATACAATGTAGGTAATGGTAAGTAGTAATAAGGAGTATAAATATTAGAACGAATCGTACAAAATAAGTTTGAAAAACTAACAAACTTTTTTTCAATCGTATATAAAAATATGTAGCAGTGTCTAGTGTGACAAAACAATTTCCTAAACATATCCAACATTAGTTGATTATAACATCACATTTCGTCTAACTAGTCTATCACTTGTCCCTTGAGTTATCTAGGATTAAATTAAACGACTAGCTATGCATTATATGAAAATGTTTTGATTCGTCTACTCTATAGGCGGGGGCACCAAAATGGAAGAATTGTTCAAAACGAATTGTTACAAAATGCAATTACCTAAATAAAACTATCATTCTCCATTATCACAATCTTTAACAATTGAAAAAAAATATTGCTTTCTCCTCTTTAACTAAAAAATTAACTACAATCACTGTGGCACACTTCCTCTTCACATACTACTGCTGGAATCACCTGGAAAATGTAAAAGATTATCACTGCAGGAGGGCGTTGGTGATGCGCGACTTGCTGAACTGAAGCTACTCGCTGAACTTATATCTTCGACGTCTTTGTTGGTCAAATCCGTTGATTGTTCACCCCCTGAAACCACCCAAACATTTTAGAACGAATTTCCGAAACAAACAAATAAACAAAAAACGCAACTCGACTTGAGATCTTTATTTTTATTTATTCCTATTTTTTGTTTAGTGTAATGAAATACAACAGATTCACAATGCCTTAAAATTATTATTATATACAATTTTACACCACTTTGTTGAAAATTTGAGGTGGAACACATTTAATACTTGGAAAAAACATTATCCTGACCCAACACATCTAAAAAATTATTAATTTCGAGAGCATTTTAGAGACTCATTTTATTATTTACGTTTTTTCTTTGACTTTTTCCGAGAACTTTTCGACGTTTGCAAATTTTGTGCTGGCACAGTATTTTCATCCTCGACAATCGCCGGGACTTTACTCGAATCATCACTCTCGGTCGTATCCGTTGGTGAGCCGTTATTTTCATCCGAAGATTTATCAATTTTCAACAAATCTTCTTCTTGTATCTCTGGACTCTTGACCTCCACATCAATATCAATCAAATTCTCTTTTTTTTGTGGAAGTTTCACTGTAAAACTCTCAATTTCAGGAGGAAGATCCAAATCAATGATTTTTTCTTTCGCCGGTTTTGATGCCGCCACTATATTCCAAGACCTTTTTGGTACATCACTCTCCACCAAATTCGCATTCTCCTTTTCTTTCGTAATTTTCACACCAAGTTTAGTCTTAGGTTTACGAGCTTTTCGCGTCGATGATAATTTCTCTTCTTCTGAAGAACAAGTAATTTCCGACTCGGTTTTATTCATTGGCATTTTCTCACTGCAATCTTCAGCATCCTCAAACTTTAAAATACTTTCAAACAATGACGAATCGGGAACTTTCTTTGGCGCATCCTCGAGCAAATCGACACTGACACAATCAAAAACATCTAAAAAAAAAACACAACTTTTTTCATAATGTAACACAAAAGCTATCTCTTCTTACCTTGCACTTCCTTCTTCTTTGTTTTCGTCGTAGTCTTGATTTTATCTTGTTTAATGATTGTTTTAGTTTTAGGTGAGCTTTCTCTTGATTTGATATGTTTATTATTGGAAGATAGTTTGTTGTTGTTTTTCTGATGATTAATAATTTTGACGGCAACTTCAGTATTGGCTTCAAGACTTTTAGTCAATATATGATCTGGAGGACAAGGTTTCGGTTTGGTTTCTGAATAAAAAACGGCTTTTGGTGCCACCACCGGTCTAAATAAAGCTTCATCACAATTCTCATGTATGACAGCATCTTCAACGACTTGTTCTATTATCGTTTCATCATCAGATTGGACTGTTACAACGGTGCCTAATGGATTTACAACTTTGGCAACTGTTGTTGTTGTTGTTGTAGTCGGTGGTTTCATCGAAACAATCACACAATGCCCACCTGAACAGAAAAAGCCAATGGCAGGTATTTACTGATTTCTTTTGATGGGATCAAAGCATGCAAACATGCACCTCAACCGATAATTAAAAATAAATTAAAAAAAAAAGAAGTGAATGCAAATAGAAGGAAGATTGTTATTATTGTGCTATTTTTGTTAATTCAAGTGGTCAGTTTTCCTGCCTTTGGCTAATTCTGATTTGATAATATCGACGCAACGGACGAAAATCGAACAAGCAAAATAATTATATGTATGTAATTTGTGTCAAGGAAAATTCAACCACTTTTCAAGCCAAAGCAAAAGTGCCCAAACAAAATAAAAACACAAATTACATGACTAGCATTGATTTCTCTTACCTGTTTCTCTAATTCCTGGCGATTCTAACATGGCATCAGCAAGATCCTCTTTAAGACGTGTCTCTCCTGCACTTCCCACTTCCGTTTTGTGATATGTGTCCAAAAATAATTGCTCACAACTGCTCGCCGATCCCGATTCAATTAAAATTGCATTAGCTTTACTCACCGGCATATTAACCGGTTTTGAACGTCTCACATCAACCGATTTCGTTTCTAAAACACTACCATTCGTAATGGTATAAGTTTTGAATGTAAATTGGGGTCCCATCCAAAGCCTCCTATGGGGTCCTAAATGTGTCACAATTTCAACTTGAGACAACCAATGATCGTCATTATGATCCGGTTTAGTTGTTTTTTTATAAAGAGGCACACTTTGAGCTATAAAATTTAAATTCTCTTCGGACATTGGTAATGGAATATCGGCGGTATAGAGACGACGATGAAGAGACCATTGTGCTTTTGCACATACTTGCAATTCAATTGGGGTATCATTACAGACACGTTCTTTTGGTATTGAAGACAATGGATGAGGCTCCAAATCGTATTGGATTAATGTTCCATAGCACGAGTTGACAAACAACGATTCAACCTAAAGAAAAAAAAAAAAAAACATTAAATTATTAAGACTTGAATAAAACTCAACTTACCGGTTTGATTTGGGACTTGTGCAAAGTCTCTCTAGGCCCTCCCCCCTTTGACGACACATCCATCCATGCTCTAGGTGGTGCAAAACATGCCACAACTCTTAACGTAATATTTTCTTCCGACGATGAAGATAATCTTTGTCTTCCCGGATGTGTTCTTTGTGGTATAGCCCCCGTATTTTGTACATAAACCGGTTGTCTGATTTGAGCAAGTGGATTAACTATAGTCGGTTGTGGGTATGGTGGAAATCTTGAATTACGATAGGGAAATAACGAATTCACTGATGGTGTTTCCAATGATACTGGACTACTTGAACGACCTTCAGATGTCAATCCTGCTGATCGTTGATATCTTGACATTTTATTAACAACATGTGTTGTTGCATGTGTTCGTACACTAATCGGGCCACCATATGGTGTCACAGCAAAAACATGAGTTGTACCACGTAGTGTAGATACAGTTACCCAACGTGAATCAGGTGAAAAACACATATCTTGAACTTTAGCTGATGTATCACCACGATGAAGAATATATAAATGATGGACTGCAGCTAAAGCAGGCCCACCTGGATGTGGTTGTATTCGAAATACATGAAAATCATGACCACGTTTATCAGCTGTTAAAAGTAACATTCCACTTGGATCAAATGATAGACAGACAATAGCTTCAGTGTGAGCTACAAAATGAGCAATCACAGCATCTTGTGAAATAACATTCTCTTGTGAATTCATATTCTTATTTTCAATATCAAGAATTGTAATAATGCCTTTTTGGGGTACATCAGCTGCACCTCCAGCTTGAGGACTACTTGTTGATGAACCACCGGGCTTAAAATTAGGATTACCAGTTAAACTTCCAGCTACCGATTCGGTAAATTCACGAATGCCACGCCCCAAAGACTTTGCCGCATGTAAAACAGTCGCAGTATAACTCTACAAATTTTTTTTTTTGAAATAATTTGACAAGTTTAATCCTTTAATTACTTGTACTCCTTCTCCTTCATTACCACCTCCACTTCTATTACTTGCAATCAGTCTTTTTTCAGCATACGCCAACCATCTTGCTCCCAAAGCCACCGGATTCTGTTGAATACCCGGACTTAAATAACAACTTGTCACACTGATACGATTCTCCAATGTAAATGCATCAAAAACAGCGATTTTTTCAGCAAAAATCACCACAATCGAATGACGATTTGCTAAAACGTTCAAAATCGATGTCTTAAACTGTATTTGTTTCACCTGAAATAATAACAAATTAGAAAATGAGAGAAAATACTAATTGTAAATACCGGATCTACAACTCCTCCTTTAAGTGAACGAAATGTTAAAGTACTGTAATTCGAAATTGAATCACATAGAGCAATTAAAGGACGCGATGATGCAAACAAATCAATCTTATTGTCTCCGCCTGTCTTGAATGGTGTTGGAATCAAACGGAGAACACGAAGAATACTATGACGAAAAGACAAGATTTCGGTAGCTTCACCAGTTGCAGGAATTGCCCAAATCTGGAACAAAATAAAAATTTTAATTTCATTTCAAAAACGAATGACGTTTGTATTTATTGACAGCTTACAACTTTGATTATTATGTTGGTACGACTTTGCTAAATTGAGTGAAACAATGGTAACTTGATACACTATAATACTTGCTTAAATTTATTTTTTCCTCAATTTTCATAAATGAATTCGTTACGTAACTGCCTTTAAATCGTCTCTTTTTCATTTAAACGTTTCAATCAAATTTATTGAGACTTTTCTCTTGTTTTTATAATAATCAAGTGTCATAATTGACACATTGTCAATCATTTGTTTGTTTTTTTTTTTGAAAACATGCCTGAATGCCTGTCGTGTATCCTAGAACGAGTATAAGCGGGTTTGAGACAACATTATCATTGTCGTAGATGGGCCCCCATGTGGCTGCCTCGTCCTGGTCAAGTTGTTCAAAATGTGCCCATTGTATTTTATCGTCGACTTCATTTGGTACGACATTATATGCAGTGGGTACGACCTCGTTGATGAATCCGGCGACGCTATCCAAAATTGTGGGGTCTGTGACTTGTTGAGGTGTGACAGTGACACTCCCTCCTCCTCCTCTCGTTTGAGATTTGGACCGTCGATGAGGCGATTCAGCAGACATAATTTGGTTGCTGAAACAAAGAGTGTGGGGGGTAAACAGATGAAGGACAAAGGGGTACACCCATTGACAACCTTACGACGCGATTATTTATAAAACTGTCTATTAATAGATGATATTTTTGCGTGAAATTGGATGTCTTACCTTGTTTTCGATGCAAATCAACATTTCAACTCACAAACTGCGTCATTCCGCTCTAAAACAGTAATGACGTCAGATTCAAAGGGTAATTTCAGATGATGATAACATAGAAAGAATACAAGGGTCCAAACTTACCATCAAAGTCGCAAATAAGGGCTTTAGATGGTTTCAAATCACTATTATAAATCAATATGCATTAATACAAAGAACTTCAACAACTGTCACTGTCACAACAACAGAAATCAGCTGATTGGATAACATTGGTCGAGTCGTAGCGGTCGATTTAATTTTAGCAAATGGTGGGGCAATCATTTATTTATATTGTAAATATAAACAGTTGTAATTAACAAATCAAAATGATTGTTCTTGTTTTATTCGGTTTTTTGGTGCACCATTCCATAGCCTTAAAACCCAATGTTTTGATGGTGATGGTCGATGATTTGAGACCAGCATTAGGAGTCTACGGAGATGACAATGCCTACACCCCAAATATTGATAAATTGGCTAGAAAAAGCTTCGTTTTTACGAATGCATTTGCTCAAGTGTGTAATTTTTTTCAAGTGATGCAACCAGTAATACATTAGTTTTAATTATTAGCAAGCGCTGTGCGCCCCCAGCCGTAATTCGCTCCTTACGAGTCGCCGCCCCGACTCTCTCCACTTGTACGACTTCTACAGCTACTGGCGTGACTCAGTGGGTAATTTCACCACTCTCCCTCAACTCTTCAAAGACCACGGTTACTACACCCAATCCATTGGGAAAATTTTTCACCCAGGCATCTCCTCCAACAACACTGACGACTCCCCTTACAGCTGGAGTGGCAAACCTTTCCATCCTAGAACCGAAAAATACAAAGAATCTAAAGTTTGTATGACTGCAAAAGGCATTCTCGCTCGGAATTTAATCTGTCCGGTGATTGTTGACGCTCAACCTGGCGGGACATTACCCGATCTTGAGTCTTTAGCCGAAGCGGAAAAGTTTCTAAAAGAGTACAAGGATGAAAAACCGTATTTTTTAGCTGTGGGGTTTCATAAACCACACTTACCGTTGAAATTTCCTGTGGAGTATTTGGAACATCATCGAGGAGAGGTGGTGCTTCCGGTAAATCGATGGCGACCTTCATTTATGCCAACAGTGGCGTGGAATCCATGGTTGGATGTGAAAAATCGTGATGATATCAAAGAATTGAACATTTCGTTTCCTTTTGGCCTAATGCCTGATAATGTTACGAAAGAAATTATTCGAAATTACAACGCTGCTACTAGTTATATTGATGATTTGATTGGTTCTTTACTTGAAAAAATTGATAATAATACGATTATTATTGTGACTAGTGACCATGGTACCTACTAGAATAATTCTTAAAAGTGTTTTATTCTTCTTTTGTAGGTTGGTCAAGAGGCGAACATGGGGAATTTTCAAAATTCAGTAATTTTGATGTTGCCACACATATCCCGTTAATTATCCATGTCCCAAGATTAAGCAATACGGAAATAATAATTCCTCAACTTGTCGAGTTGGTTGATCTTTTTCCTACTTTAGTTGATTTAACTCAAATAGTTCCAACGCTAGAAATATGTAATAAAAATGGTTCAAATTTAATATTATGTACAGAGGGACACAGTTTAGTGCCAATAATGGTTTCAAAACAAGCCAGAGAGGGAAAAAAAGCTGTTTTTTCACAATATCCAAGACCTGGAGCTTTTCCTTCTGAAATTCCAGATAGTGATAAACCACGACTTAAAAATATTAATATAATGGGATATTCGATTAGGACGACAAGATACCGATACACAGAATGGATCAAATTTAATCATACGACATTTATGCCTGACTGGTCAAAAGTTTATGGGAAAGAATTATATGATCATTTAATTGATGCTTTAGAAAATATGAATCTTGTTACAAGGCCTGAATTGAATGACTTGATCAATTCCATGCATAAACAATTGATTTTAGGGTGGAGATTTAGTTGAACGGTAAAATAAAAAAATTCAAAAAATCAATTCGTTTTTATTTAAATTCAAAAAAAAAAAATTACAAGTTATGCAATCCATAAAACAACTTAGTGCCAAGTTTAGGGTTTTTTGAGCTTAAAATATGTCAAACGTCACTTGTGTCAATTGTCAAAAAAAAAAGTAATAGAATAATAAATAAATGGTGTGTTGAATAATTTGACTTTGTTAGAATGTCTGACGAGCGTAGTAGGAAGATGAACCGTTCGAGCACAGGAACCGTGCCCAAAATCAAATGCAGGAATAACACTTCGTCGCGTGATAGTCCCCGCAGTTGGACCAACAACTTGGTAAGTGCGTCAAAATTCCCTCTCTTCGCCCCATCTAAAAATAAAGTTTAAAAATAGTCGTCTTCTATTTCTAGTCGGGCGATTTCCACCGTCTCAATCTATCTGACTACTTGAGGAATTCCAGACGGAATCATAGCGCTATGAATGTTGGTACCGTCGAAGACCAACGTTTGGGTGAGTTGCGTTGCGCCCCCTTAAACACTGATGTTTTTCTCCGCAGTGAACGGTTCCATCACCCCCAACACTAGTTCATCCACTTCACGTCGGAATTCCTCAGGGACGGTGCCCAAATGCGACAACATCACAAAATACCCCGACAAGAAACAAATTGAAGACAAATTGAGCCAAATCCAGGAGTATCTTCAAATTACGACTTCGCTCATGTCTAGTATGAAAAATACAGATGATCAGGTGAGTCTCAGTGTGTATTTCGTTAATGAAAATTTCGTATATTTAGCGGAAAAATTTGACGCAAATGATTAACGATTTGAAAGACAGTGAGACAAAATTGGTCAACATTTTAGGAAATATTGAGACGGAGGATGAACAGGTGATGATGGTGTGCTCGCTTTGTGTTAATAATAACAAACTACAAGTTTTTTAATTACTCTGTTTTTTGCTTATTGATTGGAAGTGATCCAAGTTTAATCAAAATAAATTTTTGCAGAGTGACAATGAAGCAGTTGCTGCAACATCACATCATAATGACCTTGATGAGAAAATCGATCATACAAATCGTGAAATGGAGCTTTTAAGAGATCAACAAATGTCACTGTTGAGTTTACAACAAAAAGCTGAAAATAAACTAAAAGATGCTCGCCAGATACAAGAAAAACTATTATCGGCGTCACAATGTGAGTGTAATAATTTTTAATAAATTGCCTTTTTATAAATAAATATCGTAGATGATGTAAACAGTAGTACCAACCAACGTGATAAGAATTTGAGTAGTGTGCAAGACTTTGACAACGCAATTCGTGAATTGGAAGAGAGAACTAAAAGACTAAATGAACCACGAGGTTCAAATTCGAATCTTCAAGATAAGCTTTTAGCTGAGATGGACAGTTTACAAAATCAGATTGTTACAATGCATAACATCAACGATGACAGAAATCAATTGATTCAAGTTTTAGATAATCGTGATACTGAATTGAGAGCCCAACATTTAGAATTACAAAGTAAATTAAGTGAACTTCAAAATAAAAAATCACAAGTTGATCAATTAGTCGCACAATTACAAGTTTTAGAAGATACTGATGAAGATGATGTTGGAGCTCAAGTCAGAAGAATTGTTACAATGAAAGAACAATTATCGAAATTGAAAGATATGTTGGAAATTGTCAAAACGACTGAAACGGTAATGCAAAATGCATCACAGGAAGAACAAGATCTAGCATGTGGGATTTGTACAAAAGCAGAGAATTTTTTACAGAAAGATGGCGAGAAAAAAAGGACATCATTGAATAAACAAGTAAATAAGAATACAGGTTGTGGTGGTGCTAAACCTAAAAGTCGGACAAATAGTAATAAAATGGCACTTCAAGTAGAATTAGAGGCAAAGAAAAGGGAATTAGAGGAAATCATGGGTAAACATAAAGGTTTGTCATTCTTGTGATTTGATTAAAATTACAATAATAATATTTCAGCTGGTACATCAAACTTAAATCACGATGTTGGCACTGATAATAAATCAGAATTCAGTTGTTCAAGTAACGCCTATTTTGATTGGGCACCAATCATGTCTGATCATAATCGATTTGATTCAAGTGACAGGTCTGTCATTTCTTTGTTTTTTGTCATTTTTTTTTTTTTACAATTCATTCTAGTGATGAATATTCTGACCCGAATCAACAATTTGTTCTTCCAACTCTATCGAAATCTGAGCATGATTATGTTCATTTGCAAGATACTGATCGATTATCAAGTATTCCTCGAACACCTGAACGTCGCACTACCAGCGAACAAGGAGGGGGTAAAAATCAAGTACAGAAACAATTAGAATTGATACGAAGCGTCTGCGATTCCATGTTGGACCAACAACGAAATAATTTGACTCCGAATTCGTTATATTTTGAACCGAGACCAATGATTGATCCAAATTATCAAGGGTGGTGCGTAATTCTCACTCAAGTTGCAAACTATTGATTTTTGTTTTTCTAGGTTGGCAACAAATACTCTTCAAACGCAAGCTTTCATGTTGAATACACTGAATCAGTGTTGTCAAATGTTGTGGTTGCAACAACGCGAATTGATTTCATTGAGACAGACTGTAAATCAATTACAAGAACGTTGTGATTTTGGGAATTTAGTTTCTTCACCTTTACAAGCCGAAAATCGATCGAGATCTAATCAAAAAGTGAATCAAGTAGCTGCGGCTTGTTCAATGCCAAATTTAAATCAATATAATATCCCACCTTCCGTCAATCTTGATCCTACATCTTATCAGAATAATATGCAAAATGCTCGATTGCTTGATCATTGTTTAAATAATGCAAATTTAACAACGAGTGATCATAATAATAGTATGTTGCATGCTGTCAATGCTAATACTAACCAAATGCCGAGTCAAATGTGGAATGGACAAGCTCTAAATAACCAAGTTGCACCTGGAAATAGAGCTAACAATTATTGGGACAACTTTAGAAGGTAACTTTGTTACAAACAAACTAGTTTTTAGTTCGTTTTTTGTTTGTTTTTTTGTTTTAAACTAACGTAATTTTTATCAGTTATTCCCGCCAAAATCTCCTCTCAACGAAAAGTAACGAAGGTTTCCAAAATATCTCTAATAACCCCTTTACGTTGGTAACAACACCAAAAAGTAATTCTGATCAAACTTCATCACAAGAAAATACACCTCGGAGAAGAACACAGTTTCATAGAAATAATTCAGCTACTGCTGTACCACCTGACGTTTTAAACGTCAATCATAATGTCAATAAAATCGAACAATCGACCAATCAGAGGAACCTAAACGAGTGTGATGAGACAATTTCAGAAGAACAACAGATTTTCAAAGAATCGACAAGTCGACGCAATGAATGGCACAAAGAGCAAGTTGAAGAAGAACATCATACAAAGTAATAATTTATTAAAATTTTCACTTTACATCTTTTTTTTTTTTTTTTCAGATCGAAATTGTTTGAAGAATTGCGTGAAAACGTCTACAAAGAAGTCGTAACTCTTATTTCGGCCAATGAGACACGTCCTCATTTTCTAATTCAATTATTTCGTGATTTACAAATGATTAGTTCGGATCCGTTACGACTTAAAATCCTACAATCGATTCAAACAATAATTACGCATAATTTAATTTCATCAAGTCACACAAATAGACAAGTATTTTATCGGTTTTATTTAGTTGTATTGGTTTGAGGATTAGTTTTTAGGTCCTTGAACAAAACGAACCGGATTTTTCATTACAATCAACCGTTTGGTCAAAAACCGTTAAAAATTCTACAGTTACGTCACGTAACACCTTGGTTTGTAAATAATTTTTTAATCGGATTATGTCTAGTTGAGTGTTTTCAGGATGATAATGTAGTGATAAAAGAAATAATTCCGTTTCTTAATGACCACGAAGACGATGTAACAACTTTGGCGTTTTTGTCAACTTTGAAGCAAGTTTTGCTTGAATCTGAATCGTTTCAAGAAACGGTTCGAGATTCGGTGTTTAAGAAACACTTTTCGAACGTTTTAGATGAAGTTTTAGCGCAGTATCAAGGCAAAAAGTGAGTTTGGTGGAGATTTTATTTGTAAATAATGTTTTGTTTAGGGTTCGTGACGTGAAAATGCATTTAATTCAAACCGTTAGCGATTTGTTGAGAGGCGAATTGTCTTTCATTCAATTGATTCAAGATACGTGTCCTGATAGTAGCGAGACATTTGAAACAATAAACGTGGTGAGCAATCAAGAGGTGGTGATACAAAACGGTGACTTGGCCGAAGCCGATCAAGGAAGAGATGATGAAGAGGAAGAAGAAGGAGCGGTTGGGGGATTTTGGGATTTGCCATTAGAAGCTTCTGTTTGTTTTTGATTTTTTTTTTAATGGGTGAGAGGGAAATTTGTTTTTTGTAGATGAATGGTGAGGAAATAGAAGTGCCATCTATCGAATTTCAGAGTAATGCTGAAGCACAAACACAGTTTATTAAGCAAGGTTTAGATCAAGTGCCGACTCGTTTGCCAACAAAATCGCGTTCTAATACTCCGAGTAAAGGTATTTAATTTTTAGGTGGGGAAAAATGATGAGATTGGTTTTCAGATCGGTCCACTTCGTCACGTTCCGATCATCCTGATTTGTTTTAATTTATTTTCAATAAAAATCCAATAAACCCTTCAAGTTTTATTTCACACAATAATACAAAAATATCAAACTCGAAACTGTACATAAAACATTAGACATTTTCTAAACCAGTGAAAAGAAACTTTTCTTTGGCGTGAAAATGTGCTCGATTTTCCTCACAAAAAATTATAAATCATCGCTTTTCCAATAGTTGTAGAGGTTCGAACCGTGCGTTTCTCTAAGTAATTCTTCAAATAACTCCTCGGAATGGTTTTTTTTTCGGGCAATTTTTTTTTCTGAGGAAAGAGAAAAATCGAAAATAGTATCTAAACATTCTATTCTACTAATAAATAAATTTAAATAAAGTGGCCCATGATGCATCGGGGCATGTCGGGGATATTATGGGTTGGTTTTCGTAACGTATTTGCATCGGTTCGAATCGTGGATTGTTGATAGACGAAAGGACTACAATCTGCTGGAAGACAGTTATAGAAATTAAAAAGTATGCAACTCCAAATCACCGACTTTGTTTATCCAAAAAGCCAAAGTTAAAAAAAGAGTGTTTTCATTTAAACTCACCATTTTGGCGCCTTTTTTTAAACTCTCTCAAGTCGGTGCCAAATTCCCAAGCACGTTTCCGATTCGGGGGGCTTTCGAACTGCACTTCCATAAAACAAGTGTCTTCTTTCTTCTGTTTCTCCAAAGGGGGCTGATAGCCGTAGTAGCCGTTTGAGGACAGATTCGTGAGACTCATCTTCGGTGTGTAATTCATGTTGTCTTGAACGATGGGTAACACGTTGATATTCAAGTTGTCTCGCATTTCTAACCGTTCACAAGCGTCAGCTGGTGTTCGCTTCCTAGTGAGATTGCGTAGCGTATGCGAAATAAATTCCGGTTGCCGGTAGCTAAAACCCAACTTTCACTTTTGATAGTTTAATATAGTTAAACACGAGGTGAAACGATTTTATTATCCAACGATGACAAATTCATGATTTTATTAAAATTCAATTTTTAAACATCGGACTCTACCGGAATGAATCGATAAGCAACGAGTGTTTTTCCACGAGTGGGATTTTTGGCAAACCCCTCTGACTATCTTTCCGTAAACAAATCATACGAAATGTTTTATTTACATTTTGGAAAACACAAAAACAAACTGATTTCAAATTGAGCGCTTCCATACGTACCAACTGTAAGTGAATAATTTCATTAATAATAATTGTGTGTTATTATAAATTAAACTTGATTAAATAAATTATAATACAAGCTAATAAACCCCCACATTTTTAATAAATTTAATCCAAAAAAAGGATTTTTTATTTTCGTTGGAACCCAACAAACCAAAATTCCCCAAGTTTTGACACTTGAATCTAACCTCTTACATTACTAATCATTTAGTTTTTGAAATCACAAAAATGATTCAAACAACGCCCTATAATATTTTTAAGACTGTGTTTATCTACTCTGCTCTTATAATATTTGCCCCTATAACAACGTTCTTTACGATGAAATTTTTTATTCTTGAAGGTAGGTATGTTCTTTAGTTAGCCCTAATTTATTGTATTTTGCTTTTTTAGGCCTTATTGGTACTGGAAATTTAGCGAGTAATGTGTGGGCGGCAATAATAGCCGTTGTTGTTTTACATGTAGCTTTAGGTTTGTTTGTTTATAAAGCGTACTTTGAAGGTGGAACAGCTAAACTTGATGAAAAAGTCGATTAAGAATTATTGTTATTATGTAAAATATTGTTTTTGTAATGAGTTTGAGTATTATTAAATTTTTAATAATTGTGGGTTTTTTTCAATCATGTGACTAACCACGCCTCTTTGATTATCAATGACCATTATTTGGCGCCAAAAATTAAATTATTTCAATTACTTAAGCAAAAAGGGTCAAACCACACGTCATTTAGTTCAAACGGTACTTTTTATACTTCATTATGTGAATTCACATGTAAAGATTAGTTCAAGGTTGAGTGTAGATAAGATTTTGTTTTGTAAATTGTTGAAAAGACCGATGATAAGAATCATGTAGTTAAAAAGCAGTGTTTGTTATTGTTTGTCTCAATTTTACCTCAAAATGAAAGACTTAAAGTCGCTCAATAAAACCGAGTTTGCAGAATTTTTGAATTCTTTTGATCGGATTTTATCCGATATTGATGGTAAGTTGCAAATGAATTAAATGAGATTAAATTGTTTAATTTAAGGCGTATTATGGCTCTCGCTCGAAAGCATCCCTGGAACACAAGCAGCAATAAAATCGTTAAAAACTAAATTAAACAAAGAAATAATTTTCGTTTCAAATAATTGCACGAAAAGTCACGATTTCTACTTGAACCAACTTAGAACTGCTGGTTTTGATATCGAAAAGGAGAATTTAGTGACTCCAGCCCTTGCTATGATTTCCTATTTGAAAAAACACAAATTTGATAAAGAAATCTACCTTATTGGAATGACTTGTTTGAAGCAAGATTTCGAAAAATCGGGCTTGAAAATCGCTGAATCTGCGGTAGAAATTTTACATATTTAGATCATTTAATTGTAGAAAATTTCAGCCGGATCGTATCAAAGAAACACTTCAAGACCTCGCCCTTCATGCAATCGGAGACAATGAAAAAGTTGGTGCTGTAATAGCAGATGCTGATATAAATTTAAATTATGTAAAATTGCAAAAAGCTGCTACTTTTTTAAAACGTTCCGATGTGATTTTTATCACAGGAGCTACCGATACTAAGCTTCCAGTTGGGCGAAATAATGTACTCATAGGGCCTGGATATTTTCACAAAATTTTGGAAGATTTAACTGGAAGGAAGCCACTTCCGATGGCCAAGCCTAGTGTGCTTTTAAATGAATTCATTGTTGAGAAATTTGGGTTTAAAGAAAAGGTTTTGTTTATTGGGGATTCGTAAGTCGGTTCGGTTGAGTTATAAATAATCAAGTGTGAGAATTGAGGTTTTAGGGTTATTGAGGATATGGGTTTTGCGACGAAATGTGGATACAAAAAATTACTAGTTTTGAGTGGTTTGACTAAAAATGAAGTGTTGGAGGATTGGAAATACCCTCAAGAGTACCAACCTGATTTTTATGTGGATAGTTTAAAGAGTGTTGAGGATTTAATTCAACGCCATTTTGATGATAATAACAAATTGTAAATGCTGTGCAAATTTATTTTGTATTAAATTTTTCAACGTATTAAGTGTTGTCTATCTTATTTATTTCTTTGGCCTCGAATTAATCTAAATCACGCAATGAGATAGTTGTTAGTTATTGAATGTCATTCGTTGCAATGAAGGACTTGACTCGAGTATCCAAACAAGAACAAAATGATTTTTTCAATTCTTTTGATTACGTTTTATGCGATGTTGATGGTAAGTAAAATAAAATAATCCCCTTTTGTACGACATTATTTAGGAGTGATATGGCTTTTCGATAACAACATTCCCGGCTCAATTGACGCCATAAAAGCCTTCAAAAATAATCTCAAGAAAAAAATTATTTTCGTTTCAAACAACGCAACTAAAACCCACGATGACTATTACCAACAATTAAAATCGGTAGAAATTGTGTCGCAAAAATCTGATTTAGTCCAACCAACTCTTGCCATCATTGACTATCTCAAAAAAAGCAACTTTAATAAAGAAATTTATTTAATCGGAATGACGGCTCTTAGAAGCGAACTTGAAAAAGCCGGCTTCAAAATTGCACAATCCCCCCCTGATGATAAACTCGATGAAGAAAAAGTCTTGAATTTTGTTCACATGTGTGTTGAAAAAAATGACAAAGTTGGTGCTGTGATTGCCGATCTTGATGTCAATTTAAATATAATCAAGTTGCAAAAAGCAGGGACGTATTTGAGGGATCCCTCAGTTATTTTCTTGACGGGTGGGTCCGATAGATTGTTGCATTACGCCCCTGGTGAGACTATAATCGGTCCCGGAAATTTTCACCGGATTTTAGAGGATTTAGCAGAACGGAAAGCAGTTTCGATGGCGAAGCCAGGGCCGTATTTGAGTGATTTTATTAAAAATAAGTATGGAATATGCGATCCGAGACGGGTTTTGTTTATTGGAGACACGTAAGTGAGATGGTGGGGAAAAGTGAGGTGTTATTTTAGGGGTTTTAGGATTGTTGAGGATATGGGTTTTGCTAGTGCTTTTGGGTGTAAAAAACTACTAGTTTTTAGTGGCCTAACCCGGAAAGAAGTTTTGAACGATTGGCAATTTCCGGAAAAGTTGAAACCGGATTATTACGTCGATAGCTTGAATGATATTTATGAGATTTTGAATAATCAATTTTAGATTTTTATGTATTGTATCGCATTGATTTATTCATTAAACTTGTGCGCATTATTGCATAAAAACTTTCAATTATCCAAGGTTCATCTAGTATTGCAACAAAGATAAGAAGTACTCAGTGTTGTCAGATCAAAACAATTAAATTCACCATATCTGAGCTGAAAAGTTACCAGATTTACACCTATTTTCACCATATTGCAAGATTATATGATTTATTTTTTTTAATACTGTCCAAGATTCACGTTTTTTACATAAATCTCACAAATCTACTCAAAAACGTGCTCAAAAAATTCAAAAATAGGCTATTTATTTAGTCTAATTCAAAAAATCTATTGGTAACACTGAATTAGTGGTAATTCTTCTACAGAATGTTTCAGATGACGGCTAAATCAGCAGTCGCCCGTCGCAAATGAATGACAATTGCTTATAAAAGTTTGACGTTTGAATTTGAAAGTCAAGATTGCCACATTAAAAATTAAATTTGACACCAAATCATTTAGTCACGTTTTTATTTAAAAAACATGCTAAAACACTTGATAAAAGCAAAAATCGTGATTTAATTTGATGTTTTTTTGGTTTGTTTTTGCAAAAACTTGCAATTAACCCCATTTTTAACTATATTTTGTATTTTTAGTCCTATTTTTTTGCACAAAATTTCACTCAAAAAGACCTAAATCGAATGAAGCAAACGAAATAACATCAATTTAGATTTATGTTTAAGCATGTTTTGACAATTTCCTGCAATAAAATCGAGCCAAACACCCTAAAATGATATCAATTTCAATCTAATTTTAGCAAAAATTTGAAAGTATTTTAAAAACATGCTGGAACACTAAAAATTGCAAAAAATAACACTAGTTTTGGCCTAATTTGATAAATTTTCGGTTTGTTTTTAAGTTTATTTTACTGGCATTTAAAAAAATATTTCAAAATACATACCGGTGACAAAAAATCTATTGGTAACACTGAATTAGTGGTAATTCTTCCTATATCAGAATTTTTTACGTGACGGCTAAATCAGCAGTCGCTCGTCACAAATGAATGACAATTGCTTATAAAAGTTTGACGTTTGAATTTGAAAGTCAAGGTTGCCACATTAAAAATTAAATTTGACACCAAATCATTTAATCACGTTTTTATTTAAAAAACATGCTAAAACACTTGATAAAAGCAAAAATTATGATTTAATTTGATGTTTTTTTGGTTTGTTTTTGCAAAAACTTGCAATTAACCCCATTTTTAACTATATTTTGTATTTTTGGTCCTATTTTTTTGCACAAAATTTCACTCAAAAAAACCTAAATCGAATGAAAGAAATGAAATAACATCAATTTAGATTTATTTTTGTTATGTTTAAGCATGTTTTGACAATTTCCTGTAATATAAATGAGTCTTTGGTTCAAAAACGAACTAGCAAAAATTTGAATGTGTTTTAAAAACATCAAAAATAACACTAGTTTTGGCCTAATTTGATAAATTTTCGGTTTGTTTTTAAGTTAATTTTACTGGCATTTAAAAGAATATTTCAAAATACATTAAACTGGAACTACAGTCACGCTTTTAAAAAATCATCAAAAATTCGAATTTTTCCAAAAGTTTTCACCAAATCAGTAAACTAGTATAAAAATCACCAGATCTGGCAACACTGGAAGTACTTTTAATCTTTTGAATCTAGTATTTGCGTTTAGTTTAATAATAATGAGAGACCTGACAACACTTAGTGATAAAGAATTGGAAACTTTTTTCAATTCTTTTGATCAAGTTTTAACCGACGTTGATGGTAATAAAAATAAAAATAATAAAAAACCGAAACACTTTTTCAATTTGAAATACTAGGAGTGTTGTGGAATGTCCTTGAAACAATTCCCGGCACCGATTTGGGGATTAAATCCCTGAAAAAAATCGGTAAACGAGTCACAGCAGTGTCAAACAACACGACAAAATCCCTCCAAGTGTTCCACCAACAGTTTAAATCCTCAGGGATTGATTTAGATCTTGATGAAATCGTAACTCCGGCCCTTGTTATGGTTTCATATCTCAAATCACGAAATTTCGACAAAGAAATCTTTCTTTTAGGCATGCCTTGTCTTGGAGAAATGCTCGAAAATGCCGGCTTTAAAGTGGCCAAAAACGAGGTAAGTTTTTACGATTTTGAGCCCCAATTTATCGAAATTCAAGTCAGGGCCCCCGATTAAAACTCTTGGCGAATTCGCCTCAGCGACAAGCTCCTCAAATGAGAACATCGGTGCTGTTATAACCGACGTTGATCTTAATTTGAATTATTCAAATTTGCAAAAAGCTGCGACGTTGTTGAAACGGCCCCAGGTGATTTTTCTCATGGGTGCGATGGACGTCGAAGTGCCCATTGGATTGAACAGGACTATAATAGGGCCTGCGTGTTTTCATCAAATTTTGGAACGAATATCGGGGAGGAGAGGGTTGGAAATGGCCAAACCGAGTCTGCATTTGAATGATTTTATCGTGAAAAAGTGTGGGATTACCCATCCAAGGAAGGTCTTATTTATTGGAGATTCGTAAGTTGGGGGATGAATTTTTTTAATTTTGTATTAGTGTTCCGATAGATATGGGGTTTGCCAGCAAGTGTGGTTACAGAAAGTTGTTGGTTTTGAGTGGGTTAACGAAGAGAGAAGAGGTGGAGAATTGGGTGTTTGATGAAGAATTAAAACCGGATTTTTTTGTTGACAATTTGAGGATTTTGCATGATTTGATTGTTAAGATTTATGGAAAAAAATAAAATTTATCCAGAAAAAGCATACAAAATTATTAATCCGAACACTATGGTTCGTCATCGGCTTCGTATTTTTTGGTTGGGAGGTCGTAAATTAACAGAAAATTATTATTTCCCTCAAATACTGTTATAATAATAAAAAGGTGTTCTAGGTTAATTTACCACACCTTGGAAAGTTTAAAAGCAACATTTTGAGTCATTTCTTTTACCCTACCAAAAATAGACAAATAAAATTGGAAGTTTTTTAACAAAAAAGTGTTGAAACGTTCTGTCAAAAATAACACCATTTCCACGAGAAAAATCATCATTTTAATCTCAAAAATGTTCTTACGAGTTTGGAAAACGTAAAACAAACTATATCAAGTGAAATGACCAAAATAATTCACTTTCAACAAAATTTGATATTTTTTCGGATTTTTTTTTAACAAAATTCGTCCAAAAAGATTCATTTTTGAACATTTTAACAACATAATTGAGACGAGTGATTTTGTTAATTTTTTATCTTGAAGTTTATTTTTTAGTAGTTTTGCTTACATTTTTTATGTTGAGGTAATTTTATTAAGACTAATTGTAAGTTGCCTACATTCTAAATTTCATAAAAATCTTTTGTCAAATAACAGAGATATTAGATCGGAAAGTCTTACGTGGAACAGCCTGTATACAAAATCAAACAAAATTAAAAAACATGACATGTTTTTATTGAAAAAAAAAACAACAAAAATTACTACTTCTATAATTTTTCTTTTCATACTTTTTAAAAAGATTTTTTCGATTCGTTTTTATTTTGTTTGTTTGTCAAATGCATTTATCCAAATTCTGTTTTTTATAAACTGTAGAGATTAAAAGATAAATCTTGTAGAAATAAAATATAGTAGATTTCATGGAATTGGCATAATAGGTGGCTATGGAATCTCATATTTAAGTTTGTAGCCCTGCGCATGTCCCTACTGGTATAACAGCAAATGGGGTTTTTGTTTTTCTTTGATTACTTACCTACATGGTTTGTTGAACTGACATTTGTATTAGTTTTTTCACTGTTTTCGTTGTTTGTTCGTTATTCCCATTATTTTTTTAAATTATATTTAAAAATTGGTCTCTTCAAAACTCCAGATTTACACACGCTAAGGTTATTTGTTTGAAAACATAATCAATTTCTTTTTATTGTTTCTGCTTTAGATTAATGGAATCAAATGAATAAAAATTATTTTCTCCAAAGTGTATGTTTTTGGTGTTAAAACTACAGCAAAGGGATGCAACAGGGTGTTAAACTTTTTGTGATTAAAAATCTTTAAAAGAGGGTTCTTTAAAAATAAATTATCAACTCTTTTAACCTTACTTTTTTTAGTGACCTTAATATGTATAAAGCCTCTTTAAAGAGCGGTTTATTAAAAAAAGCGTGACATTTTTTTGAAAATAACAAATTTTAATTCAAATAATTACTACAAGTCACATTTGTTTAATCCATATGCATACTTGCGAGTCACAGTTTCGTAAAATAAACAAAAATTTCAAAAAAAAAATGCGATAAGCAATTAAAATAATGTAAAAATCGTCATTTCACTTTATAATTATCTTAACTATGAAAGACTTAAGCACAGTGAGTGACGAAGAATTGTTAAAATTTTTCAATTCTTTCGACATCGTTCTTTCTGACATCAACGGTAAAAAAATTTAAACCAATTAAAAAAATAAATAAATAAAACACATTTGTAGGTGTGCTATGGAACATTTTGGAGGGCATCCCCGGCGCCTCCGACGCCATAAAATCCTTGAAAAAAATCGGAAAAAAAGTCATTGTTGTATCAAACAACACAACCGAATCTCTCGATTCGTGCCATCAACAATTGAATGCTTCAGGCTTTGATTTGGAAAAAGACGAAATCATTTTACCAACTCAAGCAATGATTTCCTACCTAAAATCACAAAACTTCACCAAAAGTGTTTTTATTCTGGGAATGCCGGCAATGAAACAGGCGTTCAAACAAGCCGGTTTTAAAGTGGCAAACAACGAAAATAACACAAAAGTCAACTCACTTCAAGAGTTTGGACTTGTCACAAACACCGATGAGAGTGAAATCGGTGCCCTTATTGTGGATATTGACCTCAATATTGACTTCGTTAATCTTCAAAAGTCTGTCAATTTGTTAAAACAACCCCAAAGCATTTTTCTAGTTGGAGCTACAAATATGGCTACTCCTCTCGGTTTAAATCGAGTTATGTTAGGTCCAGGATGTTATTTGCGGATTCTGGAGGAGGTTTCAGGTCGCAAGGGAGTACAAATGGGCAAACCGAGTCCCAATTTAAACACTTATATTGTTCAAAAGTATGGAATTAAAGATGCGTCCAAAGTTTTGTTTATTGGAGATTCGTAAGTTGGGAATGAGTTTGGATCTTTATAATTGGGCTTAGAGTTTTGGCAGATATGGGCTTTGCGACGGAATGTGGCTACCAAAAATTGCTCGTTTTGAGTGGTTTGACCAAAAAAAGGGATTTGGACGTGTGGAAGTTTGACGATAAGTACAAACCAGAGTTTTATGTTGAGAGTTTGAAAGTTGTTCACGAATTGATTGCTAAAATAAATAAATCAAACTAAAAATTTATCTAATTAATTTATTTATTTATTTGTGTAATTACATAGTGGGTTTCCATTTGAAAAAAATTAAATTGTTCACAATTCAAAAAATCGATAAAGTTTATTCTTGGGAAACACACATTTTAGATTTTAAAAAAATTAAATAGGTACATAAAACGTTCCATATTTTTAGTTGAACTATTGATAGACAATTCTTGAAAAAACATAAAATTGGAGATTTGATGTTGGTTACTCAGATTTTTTTTTAATTTATTTGTGGTGAAAAAATTGCGTTTTTTGACGAACTCAAACCGATAATTTTTAATTTATTATTAAGTAGATACTCTAAGCGGAGTGACCTTTAGCTAAGCAAATACCTTTTACTTTTTATTTGTTTATTATTAAATTATAGTGCACCAAAGGATTAAATAAAACAATGCAAATAAATTTTCCTTTGTTTCAGTCTTGATTCTAGATAAAATACCAGGTGACAAAAAAATCTATTGGTAACAATGAATTAATTAATTAAATCAGCAGCGTGTTCGTAAATACGAATTAATTATGTTAATAACACACAACAAATTATCAAATTTATACATAACAACAGACTTTTTATTAAATAAATAAAAATGTTGGACAAAAAGTAATTATTCCTTTTTTCTCGCTCTTTCGTCTAAAAAATTCAATTTTTAATTATAAAAATGTTTGAAAAAAGTACTTACCCCCGAGAATATATTTGTCAATAGTGAGCATTGGAAGTTCAAAAGCTAACACCCATACAACCGCCAATATCATAGTCACTATAATGTGGCCACACCAGTTATAAAACTACAAAAAAATTACATAAAATTTCACCAGACCATATGGTGATTTTTGTGATTTAGCGAAAACTTTTACAGAAATTCTAATTTCTGATGATTTTTTAGAAACGTAATTGTAATTACAGCAGAAAATTAATGTATTTTGAAATATTTTTTTTGCCAAAATCTTAGTAAAATTAACTTCTTTAATTATTGATCAAAAATGATGACACTAATTTTTTTGAAAAATCTAAATAATATTTCACTCAACAAAGTAAAAAAATCACTAAAATAGGCCAAAAAGTTCATTATTTTGTTCATTTCTGATATTCTGACTGAAAAATTACCAAATTACACTGAAATTGATATCATTTTAGCGTGTCTTGATTGATTTAGTTCGTTTTTTGAATTAAAGACTCATTTATTTTGCAGAATATTGTCAAAGCATATTTAAACACAACAAAAATAAATCTAAATTGATGTTATTTCGTTTGTTTCATTCAATTTAACTCTTTTTGAATGAAATTTTGTCAAAAAAAAAATAGGACGAAAAATACATTAATAGCAAGATTTTGCTAAAACAAACCAAAAAAACATCAAAATAAGTCATTATTTTTGCTTTTATCAAATCATTTAGCATGTTTTTCAAGTAAAAACGTTAATATCAGGCGACTGTAAATGATTTGGTGTCAAATTTAAAATTTAATTTGGCAACCTTGATTGTCAAATTCAAACGTCAAACTTTTATAGGCAATTGTCATTCATTTGTGACGGACGACTGCTGATTTAGCTGTCACCTGAAACATTTTTTTGATATAACAAATTTAGAAGGATTACCATTAATTCAGTGCTGCCAATGGATTTTTTGTTACCCGGTATTTCGCAAAATTTAATAAAAAACTAACCAAAAAATTATAGAATTAGACTAAATGAAAGAGCGCTACCTATTTTTACATTTTTCGAGCGTTTAAGCACGTTTTTTTGCAAGATTTATGTAAATAAACAACGTGAATCTTCGACAGTATTAAAAAAATATTAAATCATATAATCTGGTGAAAATAGGTGTAAATTTGGTAACTTTTCAGCTCAGATCTGGTGAATTTAAAGTCAGTGTTGCACTTTCCGTAAAACAGACTTACCAACATATAATTGCTGAAATAGTTGGGAGTCTTTAAAATTCCCAACGCGTAAATTTCCACCATTGTATGTAAAACGTACATACAATAAGACAATCGTCCTAAAATCTGAAAGGCCGGTCTTTGCAAAAACCATTGTATAATTCCACCTTGGTTGTGATAACACGAATAGACCATAAAAACCAAACATAAACACCAAACCGGTCGATAAAATCCATAAAAAAGTGAATATTTCACAAGCTCATAATTCGTATTAACATCAAACCAAAAAATTATCATCGCTAAAGAAACTACAATAACTAGAATCCAGAGTGCAACATTTACCCACTAAAATGAAAAATTGTGATTACAAATTGTAATTTTCAGCGACTCACAGGCTTGAAAATGTAGGGTTTTTGTTTTTTCATACGCAAAGTGGCCCCAAAAATCATCCCAATTAGATAATTATTGAATCTAGTGTGTGTTGCATATGTGCTGAAATCAAAAGTTTGAGGTTCAAGCACGGGGTTGGGCTAATAATTTTTTTTTACTCACTTTCCAGGTCCTTGATCGACAAAATTCTGTAAAACTATGGGAACCACAATTGATACAATTGTAAGAGTTACTAGTGCTTGTATCACAATTTTAAATCGCTTTTTGATAAAAAGAGCCATTGGTATGAGAACCAAAGGTGCTAAAATAAACATCTGCATGTCAGCTGAAAGGTACCACGTCGGAGAGAGGCACTAAAAATGACAAAATAATGTAAAAATTTCCAAAATCGGACCATTTACCATTTCATCAGGATCGGTGTAATTTTGTACATAAAGGAAAAATTGCCACCATTTTTCTTTACAAACTCGTTTCATTAAATCTGCAATGAGACTCCAAATGGGTCCGCTACCAAAAAATCGAAAAATTGTGATTGTAGCAAGATACAAAGCTGCCACACTTGGTGTAAGTCTCAAATATCGATGTAGATACATTTTAGGGACTTTTCGTACTTGATCCACGAATTTTTCATCACATGATTTTTTCAAATAAGTAAAAGATTGTAAAAAGCCAGTAATGAAAAAAAATGTATCGACAGCAAGTGGTCCAGCTACAATGTATTGTGAAGTCCAATTTTGAGTCCACTTTTTCGCATCTGGGTAATTTTCCAAAGGGATTATTCCCACTTCATAGGGACTTTTAGCATGCACAGCCAACACCCACATCATACTAATAAATCTCATTCCGTTAAAACACTGAATTTGTTCACTTGTATTGTCACTAATAATAAGCAATTTTTTCCCATTTGTGAGAATCGAAAATGAGAAAAGAATTGGATGAAGAGGCTCACTTTTGAAATTTTGACACAAAGCTTCATATCCAGTACTAGCAATCAACAAAAGCCCAATCACCACAAAAAAAACACTAAAAACGAGTTGTTTTTGTGTCTTTCAAAGAAAAATTATTAAAGTCGCGGTCAATTCATAGTGGCCATTTAGTTTATTGCAAAGTTGGCAGCCCCGTGTGTGGGTTGTATCTATGTTGGCAGCAGAAGTAACTAACTAGTGTCAAGAATTGTGACAGGCTACTATGAATTGACCGCGATTTTACATACATCGCTGCAATATCTCCAGCTTCGTAATCAGTATTTGAATTGACCGTTTCACATGGTAAATTCGTGTAAATTATCAACGAAGCGTTAAATAATTGCCCGATAATGTCATTCAAATGTCCGTATAAAAAAAAATAGCCCACTTCACGAGGAGTGCAAGCGTCTGGAACACAATTCGAGTATTTCGAAAGGACGTAAGGAATATCAGGGACTAGAACATCCCGCAATTTCGCTTGCAATTTCGGAACGAGTTGGAAAGAAATCTGTAAAAGAAAAAAATAGAACAAGTGTTATCGTTTCAACAAGAAATTACTCCCTAGGATTTAGGGATATTCGTGTGGTTAGGTTGGTTTTTAGTGACAAACAAAAGATAACGTAACTAGTGTCAAAAATTTAGGTTAAACGTCAACCAATTTCAAAATTACTTCTGAAAATTCTAGTTACAAACAACATGGAAAACGTAATTTTCCTAAACATTCAAATCCTAGGTGGTAATTTCTTGTTGACAAATCTTTCCTCTCACCTCTTGTGTGGGTTTAGTTGTGTCAATGTTGAAACTTTGCAAAATTTCGTCGACTTGTGGTGTCAGAAAAATATTAACAATAATCACAGAATAGCCACAATATTTTCCGATAATTTCACCACTGTTGTAATTAATTGAGAGGCATTCGGGGAAGTTGCCATAATCCATTACGTTGCTATAGGTCATTCCAGGAATTAGAAATTTTGACGAGGCGTCAAACACTGAAATTATCGATTTTTGAAATTTTAATAAACGCGTTTTTCTCGGAAACTTATGACAAAAATTAAAACCTTATCGAAATCATCAGTGTTGCCAGCTCTAAACAATTAAATTCACCAAATCTGAGCTAAAAAGTTGCCAGATTTATTTTCACCACATTACGAGATTATATAATTTAAATTTTTTTAATAGTGTCCTCAAAAACGTGCTTAAACGCTCGAAAAATGCAAAAATAGGTAACGTAATTCCATTTAGTCTAATTCTATAATTTTTTGGCTAATTTTTTATTAAATTGAAATCTATTGGCAACACTGAATTAATAATGGTAATCCTTCTAAATTTTTTATATCAAAAAAATGTTTCAAGTGACGGCTAAATCAGCAGTCGTCCGTCACAAATGAATGACAATTGCCTATAAAAGTTTGACGTTTGAATTTGAAAGTCAAGGTTGCCAAATTAAATTTTTAATTTGACACCAAATCATTTACAGTCGCCCGATATTAACGTTTTTACTTGAAAACATGCTAAAACACTTCAATTTCATTAAAATTAAATTAGGTTAATTAAATTTTCATTAATTTGGTAATTTTTCAGTGAGTTTTAGCAAAAATTTGAATGCATCTTAAAAACGTGCTATAAAAATGGAAAAATAACACCAGTTTTGGGTTAATTGAATATATTTTCGATTTGTTTTTAACGAAATTTTGCAAAATGGTTCTGTCCCTGGCTGAAAAACGTACTAAAAAATTTTAGCAATTTTTTTACCGTGTTGAATAAAATATTATTTAGAAATATTTCGATTTCTCAACTTGAGTTTCTGCATAACTAAAAAACGTGTAAAATGCTCAAAACAATACAAAAAAACTAGTAACCATTTTTGACTCCATTTACTATAAAAAATCAAATTAAAAAAGTTAATTTTACTAATATTTGGGCAAATATTTTTTTACTTACTTTTCCAAGCCAATTCCGAATTGTTACACACAACTTTTAGTTGTTTCAAGCAAGGGGCACTAATATTGTAGGCCGACGTTTCGTAAAAATCACAAAGACCATCAGCATTATTATAATGAATAAAAGAAACGAAAAATATTAAAAGAAAAAATGTTTTTACGTTCGCCATTTCAACACATTAAAATACTTGTAAATAAAATACTTATCAATGATAACATTTTAATAGGATTTTTGTGTTTTATCATAAATTTCGTGTTATCAATAGTCCATCGCTGAAACTAGTCAAAGGTTTTAGTTAAGATTTTTATCAGATTAGGTCAGGTGTGTGATTATATTTAATTAAATTTTTTTACTGATAGTTTATGTTTGAAAAAGTGGCAGGTGTTTTAATTAAACGATAAGTTTCACGTTATTAATGGGAAAATGTCGTTATTGAAACAAGTTTAATCAAAAATATTTTATTTGAAAAATGGTAATTTCCTTATCGTTTTAACAATTCTCTCAACTCCTATCCAAAAATACTTTTCTAAAACGATCATCGGAGACTCAAATGCCAAACTCCAAATGTACGACAACACCATCGTTGTGATAAAATGTCCACACCAGACATAAAACTAAGAAATTCTTCACAAAAAAAATCAAACTCAAAAAAGACCACTTACCACCACGTAATCCCCCCAAAAATACGGTGTTCGTACAACCCCCACCCAATACATAATAACAACAGCATGCAACAAGTACATGCAATAAGACAAACGGGCCCCAATTTGGAACGCCGGAAGTGACAAAAGCCAATTTATAGGGCCCCCATGACCGTGATGACAAGAATACACCATCCAAGCCAGACTCAAACACCAAATTGGCCGATAAAAACCATAAAAAAGAGTGTCTTTAGTGTGTTCGTAAATACGAATTACATTATGATAATAGAGATTGAAAGTAATACAAATTGTAAATACCACACACCAAATTATCAAATTGACTAATTTGGAAAATACGAATTTTTGAAATTTCGACTCGCGCATTATTACACCTAAAAGCATCCCAATGAGGTAACAGTTGAAGCGCGAATGGGTATCATAAACACTGAAACATTTTTCTAATGTAATTTGTTGAATTTTTTTTTACTTACTTGTCGATTGTGTCGTCCTCGAGTCTCACTACAATAGGCACAACAACTGCGATCACAATCAAGGTACAAAGAGTAGCAATCGCCCAAAATTCCTTCTCCGATTTGATCAGTACTGTTAAAGGGATTAGTACCAAAGGTGCTAAAATAAACATCTGCATGTCAGCTGAAAGGTACCACGTATGGGTCAAACACTAAAAATCAATCATAATGGAACCAAAACAATGATTATTTTAGTACCATATCGTTGTAATTGTAATAGTTTTGGATGTAGAGAAGGAACGGCCACCAGTATTGCTCGCAAGGTTTGCTCATTGTTTGTGTCACAACATCCCACAAAGGGCCTGTTCCTATCATCCTGTATATTGTTATAATCGTGAGGTACAACATAATCACCGCTGGGGTCAATCTCCAAAAAAATCAATTGAAACTCATTTTTCTCAAAAACAAGGAGGAAAAGTACCTTAAATATCGGTGAATGATCATCATTGGTACTTTAGATATTTGCTCGCCGACTCCCATCTTCCTTGCACTTTTCAAATATCCGAAAGTTAGTAGAAATCCAGACAAGAAGAAGAAAGTATCGACGGCTATAGGAGCCGAAGTTACATATTGTACTCTAACATTATCTGCAAACTGAGGAGAGTTTTTTAAGAATTTACAAATTTTGGTACTACAATACCTCTTTAATTTCTGCATAATTAATGATTGGTACTTGTTCAACAGCTACAAAATTATGTCCAGCAATGACCCACATCATACTAATAAATCTCATTCCATTCAAACATTGGATTTGGTCCGGATTTGGGTTGTAGTTGATGTTGAGGAGTTTTCTACCATTGGTCAAGACCGAAAATGAGACATAGATAGGGTGTTGTGGTTCTAAAATTAAAAGGGAACTGTAAAAATGTAAAATAAAAGTAGGGGTATTAACCTCGGTTCAGTTTCAACATCATAAAATCGTAAATGGTGCATAGTACTACCAAAAAGAGGACCAACGCAAGTACCGTCCTAAAAACAACCAGTTTTTGTGTTATAGTCCGGTCAAAATAGACATTTCAAATAACTAAAATTCCGACAGAGCTAAATTTTGGTAGAGATCTCACCATTAGGAATAAAGTGTCAAAAGTCCCCCCCATCGATCCGATGTGTGCTAAAAGTTATTCGGGGTTAAAGGTCAAAATTTGACGATTTTTAGATTTTTTTCGAAAACGGCAAGTTTTATCAAAAAAGTAGTCCAGACAAAAATTATAGATCTTGAAATTATCTACAAAAATGGTCCTTATACTTTTTTTCTAAGAATCACCATTCCTGAGATATCGCGATTCTAAAAGTTGAAGGAGTAACATACAGAGTGTGCCAGAACTGGCGCCTCAAAGAAAAAAAAATTATCTATAAAAATTTCGAAGTTATGAGAGTTTAAATTTTGCACTTTGACTCTATTTATTTCTGTAGGATAAATAATTTTCCACGTTTTTTTGCTATAGGCTATTAAAAGAGGAATCAAGGAAGCTGTATCTTAAATTGTAACTCTCTCTATTCAATGTTATTTCTGGCTTTTATTGGCAAAAGTTTTGTACCTTTACTAAATAATTGTAAAAAAACGTATACAAAATCATCAATTATTAAATAGACATAAAAAAATGTCAAATGTCAAAATTTTTTGACAGATAGAATTTTTTAAACACACTGTTCCTGGTATCTTATTTTACTTGAAATTTTTCTTCTACTTCATTAAACTTATAAATATCTCGATTCCATTAGAATTAAAAAGAATTTATTTGGTAATACATACAGGCTGTTTAAAAAATCGCGCACTTCCTTGAAAGGGAGTAATTGGATAGTCCCCTGAGTACTGAAAAAATGTTTAAAAAATTCTATCTGTCAAAAATTTTTGACATTTGACATTTTTTTATGTCTATTTAATAATACTGATGATCTTGTATATGTCTTTTTATAATTATTTAGTAAAAGTACAAAAATTTTGTCAATAAAAGCCACAAATAACATTAAACAGAGTTACAAGTTAGGATACAGTTTCCTTGTTTCCGCTTGTAATAGCCTGTAGCAAAAAAACTTTGAAAATTATTTATCCTATAGAAATAAATAAGAGTCAAAGTGCAAAATTTAAACTCTCATAACTTTGAAATTTTTATAGATAGAATTTTTTTTCTATTTTTTTCCATGTTCTTGGTACCTTACCCTACATGGCATTTGTCTTTGGGGCGCGAGTTCTGGCGCACTCTGTATGTGCATATACTTTTAAAATCGCGATATCTCAGGAATGGTGATTCTTGGAAAAAAAGTATAAAGACCATTTTGTAGATAATTTTAAGATCTATAATTTTCGTCTGGGCTACTTTTTTGATAAAACTTGCCGAAAAAAATCTAAAAAACGTCAAATTTTGACCTTTGACCCCGAATAACTTTTTTAGCACACATGGGATCGATGGGGACTTTTGACACTTTATTCCTAATGGTGTACCACCAAAATTTAGCTCTGTCGGAATTTTCGTTATATGACTAATTTGACCAGACTATTATTTCACTTACGTAAAAACTATATCGCCCCATTTGAAGTCACTATTCGAGTCTTTGGTCATACAGGGGACTTTATCAACGAAATTGACCAGTTTGGTGGTTTCAAATTGCCCCCAAAGAAAGTACAAACCCACTTCTCTTGGTGTGCATTGATCCGGAATACACAAAGACAAAGCAGTTATCGTAATTTCATCACTGATGTCTCTAATTGTGGCAATTTCAGCGAGAGTTGTGTGCTTGTTTTTGAGTATGATGAAGGGATCAGGGATCGGTTTGAGGAAAGGATTCACAATAGCCACACTCAAACCACAAAATTTTCCTTTAACGTCACCTTTGAACGATTCGTAGTTGATCCTGATGCATTCGTCGAAATTTCCCAAATCCTTGTTGTTGGAGTAGGAAAGACCGGAAATGGGGTATTTTGAAGAAGCGTCAAACACTATGTGATGAAAAGTTTTCATTTTTGTTGAAAATTGTGAAACTTACTTTGCCAAAGAACTGAACCATTATTGCAAATCAAGTCGAGTTGGTTTAAACATCCTTGGGTGATATTGTCTTTCGATAAATTATTTAAATTGTCACAAATGTTATTACAACTACATTCAGCAATTAATAAAATTATTATTAAAACAACACAATTTTGGTTCATTGTTGGGTTATTGTGAAACGCTAATAAATCAATAACATACTGTAAATACAAAGCTAAATCTCGAAATCTGATAACGTTAATAACGGGTTCATGCTTCTTATCACAACACTTGAAATTCTTTTATAATCAATTTGATTTGTCACCTAACTCTAAAAAAAAATACAACATTTTTAATTCGAGGCTCATGTTGTTAAAACTTTGGAAAAACTGTTTTTAGAAGCGTTTTTCTCGGAAACTTTATACAATGGTAAAAACCGGAAGTCGATAGGAAAAATGGTTTCGTCGTAAAAATGTTTGTTTGATTTTTGTAAATTTAAACTCATTTTTCTTAAAAACTATTAATCTCTCAAGAAAATTAAAAATACGTTCGGAATTCTTGCTTGATTTTCTATCAAATAATAAAAACCGGAAGTCGATCGTAAAGCGTTAGAAATTAAACAAAAAGATTTTCAAACGTCGCATTTTTATTGATTAAAACTCTTATTTACAAAAAATTAATACAAGAATAGAAGCGGCAGGAATAAACAAACCCGCACCAAAAAAAATCATTTCTAAGTCATGCATCCAAATTTTGTTAGAAAAAAATTGAAGCATTTTGTGTTTAATTTCCTATATAACTATAGTATTGTTTTTGTCACTCGTTTTAAAATTAAAAAGTGAAAAAATTAACACATTTTTGAGTTGTTCCAAATTACACTATTTTAACAAAACAAAAATAATAAAAACAAGCCACTAGGTTTATCGCCTATTTTATCCTCGTTTATTATTCACAAGTTTCACTATCACAAAATTACAGTTATTATTTCAGTCAAAATGTTCACCAATAAGTGTGTTTTTTACTTTTTTGTATTTTTTTCAACAAGTTGTGGCCAATTTTTGACCCCTGACTTAATGTTAACATTACTTAAAGGAAAAATCTATGGAATTATTGACAAAACTATCGATAATAATAATCAATGTGGACAAGATTTGAAACTTTTCATTTCGGCGCTAGAAAACAAGGAATTATGGGCATTGAAAAGTAAGTTTTTTAGCTCTAGAATGTTATTTTTACTAATGCATAGTGCTTGATGCGAGTGCCAAACCTGGACCGGGGATTTTAAAAGGGAATGTGTTCCTAATTGGGGATTATGAGCAGTGTCTTGGGATTAGGCAAGTTGTAAAAGGACACGAAATTGTCGGAATGTACTGTAATGTAGTGCTCAAACCTAACAGAAATTTTCGGTGGGATTTCAGCGAAAAGGGAGCAGTAATACATTTGGGATTACTCCCAACAACTTTACATAAAACATATTTTTATTCCAGAAACTTGAACATATGAATTCAAGCATTTCGCAATTTTTACGAGGAGTTTTCGATATTTGCGTCCCCAAATCGTGCACAAGTCAAAATTTGATTCAATTTTGGGAGGAATTAACGGGAAAATTCGCATCACCATTAGATGTTTCAATACGTGACGACCATTGTCACTATCAAAATAAAAAAATCACACCTGAAACTATCGATATTTTCGTATTGTATGTACGATTTCAAAACTTTAACAACTTTTTTTTATCTAAATTTTCAGTTTTTTCTTTGGGATTATCACACTAGTGGTACTTTTTAGTACCATCTACGAAATTTATTTATTCCATATCATGAAAACAAAAGTAAACCAATCACGAAAATTTTTACTAATCTTCTCACTCTATACCAACACGAAAAAACTCATTTCGACCCATTGTGAAAACGAACAATTGACTTGTTTGTATGGTATTAAAGTATTGAGCATGGGAATGATAGTTGGAGGCCATATGGCGGCAATCAGGACGGCTATGGGTTCAAAAAACCCAATTTATTTTTTTTCAGAGGTAGAATTTGTGAAAAAATTGCTTGAAATTTGAAACAATTTTTACGTTTAATTTCAGTGGCCCACATATTGGCATAACAGCTTATTTGTTGGTAGTTTTTTTGGTGTCGAGACATTTTTCTGTATCGGAGGCGTTCTTGTGAGTTACCTCCAATTAAAATACTCCGAAAAGTACCAAATTAATATTTTCTGGTTTTATTTACATCGAATTTTCCGGTAATTATTATCGTATCAACAAGAAATTACTCCCTAGGATTTAGGGATATTCGTGAATAGGTTTAAAAAATTTAGGTTAAGTTTGGTATAGATAACTCAATTGACAGTTGACAGAAAACGTGAAAATTCTAGTTACAAACAACGTGAAGAACGTAATTTTACTAAAAATTCAAATCCTAGGTGGTAATTTCTTGTTGACAAACCTCTATTTGTGATTTTTTCGCATCAAGGATGATTTCAGACTCACTCCCGCCCTTTTTGTTGTCGTTTTGTTATATCTCAGTGTATTAAAATATATATGTGAGGGGCCATTTTGGCCCTTAATGTTGAATTATTTCGTCGATAATTGTCACAAGACTTGGTGGATGACTTTGCTTTTCGTGTCGAATTATTTAAACATTGGAGCACAAGTAAAAAAAATTGTTTTTTTGCATTCGCTAAAATTTTTTTTTAGTGTGTGACTCATTCGTGGTATTTGGCGGTGGATACTCAACTATATTTAATTGCTCCGTTTCTTATATTCAATTTGAAAAAACACACGACTCGAGTTGTTGCAGGAATGACAACTGCTTGCTTCATTTGCATTCTTTACAGTTTTATTGTAACAATGAAGAATAATTTTGGGGCCATTTTATTTTTTGAGTAAGTGTTACATACACAATTTTTTATTAATTTGGTGTTTTAGTTCCGATTTGAGCTACTTGAAGTATTACTACATGACACCAATGGCTCATTTAGCGCCTTGGTCATTTGGGATACTACTAGGTTATGTACTTTACCGACAAAATTACCAAAAAATCGTCATTTCAAAACGACAAAATCACATCTTGATGGCCCTTTCCCTTTCAACTATGCTTGCCCTTCATTTACTTTGCACTGTTTTAGTAAGACAAGGACGAGATAGCTTTTACAGCGCCCTTTTTAACTGTTTTGCTAGACCTTTATGGGCCCTTGCCCTTTGTGTTTTGATTTTTAATTGTTACACAGGAAACGGAGGTTAGTTTTTTTCAACATAAAACAATAATCACCTACTAAATTCTGTTGCAGGATTTATTAATACTTTTTTATCTCATCCTGTATTTATTGTCCTGGGAAAACTTACTTATAGCATGTATCTGTTACACGTACCAGTAATTTTTGTTATTTTTTTTGGAATCAAAGACGAGACAAGCACTATAAGTACCACGATTTTGGTAAATCATCGGTATTTTTTATGTGTGATAAAATAATATTTTTTTAGTTTCTTGATTACTGGGGGACAATGCTCGTAACTGGGGCTTGTTCGGCGATATTATGTCTTGTTTTTGAGACACCCGTCATAAATTTATTTCAAATTGTTGAAAGGAGTGATTATTCAAGAAAAAAATCAAATTATTAAGTTATTATAAACCTTGTTTTTATCACCGAGGTTAACTATGGAATAATTTTGTGTTTATAATATATCTATGTACAGTTGGAGACAAAATACTTTGGTCGTCACTTTTTTGACACTTTAACGTCAAAATGAATGACAATTTCAAATTATCCTATCAAAAAAAATATTTACAACTTGTCACCTGTGATTGACAGTAGCTAAAAATAAGGTTAACAGTCCTAAAGCATACTTTATAACTTAATGACACTCAAGTGACATTGACGACCAAAGCATTTTGTCTCCAACTGTACAATAATAAATGTAAAAGTTGTTTTTTTTTTACTTTTTTCTTGAAAATTATTAAATCACAACTGAAAATTTACTAACAGTGCTTCAAAAATGCATAATTATGTAAACCGACTATCTTTTGACTTGTCATTTATTTCCACTTGAGGTCAACTGTATTATTGGTTGTCTAACTTGCGGTGTTTTTTCCTAAACATTGTCACATGTTTAAGCATTCTCGCGTTTGTTTTTGACTTAAAACGGTAAGAATAAGGAAATATTTATTTATAAATAAAGAGTTCACAATTGGTCACTTTTTATCTCGTAGTTTATCACATAATTCAAGATAATTTTTTATGTTTGTACAAGTTTTTATGATTATTTGACCTGTTCAAATGACACACATAGTGTGATGAGCTCTAATAATTCCTTGATTGTTATTTAATGACACTTTTGTAAGTGAATAATAATAATAATTACACGAATCTAATGTTATCCTAGATTTTTGTTTGTAATTTATTAAAAAAATTGATTCAACAAACGAAATGACGCAATAAGTGTACGTAATTGTAATATCAAAATAAATCAAAAATGTTTGTTGACTGACTATATTAATTTACAACCAATTATGATAAGAAAATTCAAGCTTAATTCTAGACAATAAATTTTTAGTGTCTGAAAATGGGTCTCAACAGTGTGGTGACACAAACCGTCCTTTTTACAAGTCTTGTAACGGCCGTTACCGTCGTTGGTTCCTACTTGTACCAGAAATGGAAACAGGTCAAAATACCCTCGAATTGGGAACGAATCGGAAGCGTGAAAAAACTCCACTTGTATCCACTTAAAAGCGGACATCGAGTCGAATTACAAAGGGCCGAAGTAACAGAAGTCGGACTCACACAGACCAAAGAGGACGAGAAGGTTTTCCAGCTAAGAGACAGGTCGGTAAACATAATAATCACAAGATGGAGACGAAAAATTCCACTATTATTACGTAATTATTTTTAGGGTGTTGATAGTATATGGAGCCAAGGATCATGAATTTCGCACTGCTCGCACCTACCCCAAAATGGTCCTCATTGACGTTTCGGTGCACGATGAAGATCATCTTGCCATTGATGCCCCCACAATGAGGACACTCTACGTTAAAATACCCAACCGAAAAGACAACGACGTTACTAAAGTCAAGTAAGGGGTCACAATTTCGTTTTCGGATTTGGTTAATTATATAATTGAAGGTCGTGGAACAACGAATACATTGAAGCGATCGATTGTGGTGATGAGGCTGCTGGTTGGTTTTCTCGATACATAATCGAGCGCGATTTTGGCTTAAGACTGGGCTACAATGATGCTATGCAACGTCGAGACATTACTAAAACTCATCACAAACTCCTCAATTACTACAAGAATTTAAGCAATCATTCCACTGTTTGTAGATTAGTCATCAATTTTAATAATTATTGTCATATGTATTTCAGGGTCTGTTTGCAGACTTGTCGAGTGTCACTCTCATCAATCAACACTCGGTTCATGATTTAAATAAACGAGTTGGTAACAATTCGAATGTCACTGTTGAGAATTTCAGACATAATATTATCGTTGATGGACCTGATTTGCAACCCTATGATGAAGACAATTGGGATTGGATAAAAGTTGGTGATAATGTTATTTTGAGAAATGTTAAAGATTGCACTAGATGTGTCTTTACAACTATTTCGTCTGAAAACGGAATTAGGGATATTAATAGACAACCTTTGAAAACATTGGAAACGTTAGTAGAGTTTGTTTGACTTATTTATACAGGGTGTTTCGTCTAAACTCCACATTAGAAGTGTTGGAAGTTTGAATAATTGAAATAAATATTTCAAAATTGGCTCATAGCCATAAAACATTAAGTCCTCCTTAATGAAAATGGTTTCAAGATGGCGGCACTTTCGCTTATACCGGAAGTCGGTCTCAACTTTCTTATTTTAAATAGAAAGGTATGTTTTTTACTGTGTTTTTGGGTTAATTGGGTTATTTTAAGGGACTTTTCATCAGCTTTCCCTATACTTAAATTTAGCTGTTTTTGAAATATTTGGAGTTTTTCAAAAATTTTTGGATCTGCACCTTACACTTTAAAAATCGGTAACTCTGACATTTTTTAAGATTTTGAATTCGTTTTTTTGGCGTTTGAAAGAGAAAGTTTAGAGCCCTTTTCTGGTGTTTTCAAATTTTGAAAAAAAAAACATATCCCAACATTTTTTCAAATGGAATACTCCCAATTTTTATTTTACTAAATAGAAGGGAATTTAATTGTGCATTGATCTGTATTAACATTCCCTATACCTAAATTTAATAATTTTAAAGTTATGGACTTTTTTTTAAGACTACAGAAAATTTATTACTAGCCACACCCGTTTTCACATAGTTTGCTATGGAAATCAAAAATGTCAAAATTTTCTCTAAACAAACGTCAACAGTAAATTACTATTTGACAAATAGTGCCAAAATATGAAGAATCAAAGTTATGCAAACTTAATTATTATTGATGCGATCATTATTGAAAGCTAACAAGTGAGAAAAAAATATTTTTGTTTAATGAACGACATCAAAATTTTGTTACACTTTACATAAATACCAAATAAATTAATTAAATCAAAGTTTGAGTAGCTTTGACTCTCCATATTTTGGCACTATTTGTCAAATAATAAGTCACTGTTGACGTTTATTGAGAAACAATTTTGACATTTCTGATTTCCATAGCAAACTATACGAAAATAATAGATTTTCGACAATCGTCTTAACAAAAAGTCACCATAACTTAAAAATTATTAAATTTTGATATAGCAAATGTTAATACAGATGATGTAGAATTAAATTCTCTTCCATTTAGTAAAATAAAAATTGGGGTATTTCATTTGGAAAATTTGAGTTATGGGTATTTGAATTATTACAAAAGTAACCTTAAAATTTTAGGGTTTGTTAATTTTTTTTAAAAAAATTTGAAAACACCGTAAGAAAGATCTAAACTTTCTCTTTCAAACGCCAAAAAAACGAATTCAAAATTTTAAAAAATAGCGGAGTTACCGATTTTTAAAGTGTAAGGTGCAAATCCAAAATTTTTTGAAAAACGGCTAAATTTAGGTATAGGGAAAGCTGATGAAAACTCCCTTAAAATGACCCGATTAATCCAAAAACGCAGTAAAAAATATCTTTCCATTTAAAATAAGAAAGTTGAGACCGACTTCCGGTATAAGCGGAAGTGCCGCCATCTTGAAAATATTTTCATTTATGAGAACGTAATGAATTATGGCTATGTAGTAATTTTCAAACAAATATGATTATTCAAACTCCCAATACTTTTAATGTGGAGTTTAGACGGAACACCCTGTATAATCAAATATTTTTTTTGTAGATATCGGAAACACTCCGGACCTGATCGCGGACCGAGATTTGGAACGAATTTGGAAGTGGGAAAAACTGGATTTATTAATGTAGGCGATCCTGTATTTATTGCCAGGAAAGAGGAAAATCACTAAAGACGTTTAGATCTATGATGTGTAGATTACATAGTTTTTGGTCATACATTTCATTCGTGTATAAAGATTGTTATATTATTTAGGCGATCCTGTATATAAAAAAATAAAAGTTGATTGTTCATGGGTGTATGAAAAACGTTCAGCTTTAACGATTTATTTATTAGATTTGGTTATGTATAATCAGCGCCACATTAAATACTTTTAATTGTATTGATAAAAATAAAAAAAAAAACTCTAGTTCCATCAAACTTGTTCAGTTTTGATGAGAGCGATTTCATCGCTTTGTCGACTGGCCTGCTTTGTTGTGTTTGAGACGGGATTCTGCGAATATAAATACACAGCATACATTACAGTAGCGATTGCAAGAACCGTATTTAAATAAATGGGAATACTAAAAAATGCGTAACTTAATAAAGCCGTTAGAACTAATTCCAAGGCACTTGCAAACGTTTTTAAAATCGAATTTAGAGTCTTTAGGAAGAAACTAGTGACGATACCAATTGCGGCATTATTAAACATTACTAATAAAACTTTGTAATGGAATACTTTGAAGATGTTTTCGTATGTGAAAGCAGTGGTTAAGTGTCCTCGTACACCTAACAAAACAACGTTACAAACAATCGAATCCAAGTACATGAAAACGTTTTGAATGAAAATATTCACATCAGCTCCTTGTTTTTTAAGAAGATATTCGTTGTAGACGCCCGCGAGACATGAACAAAAAATTTGCAAAAGGATAAAAATACCGTTTACGCCAATGATATCAAATGAAAGTGATTTTTTTTCTTGGTCTGTGAAATTAACTTGCTTCAACATGCATCCAAATGTTAAAATTAACAACGAAAGCCATTGTTTCTTACTTAAAGTTTTACTAAATATGACCTGAAACATTACACCAAATTATTATAGATTTTCAATGTTTGATGACTCACTTGAAATAATATTCCAGTGACTACAACTCTTAATTGTAGTAATAAGTAATAAGTAGTGGGGTCAAATACTGATAAGTTAACAAAGGCAAGGTTATTGTAGAAACAATACAATAGTGCAGGTACAAAATAAAGTCCTAATACCTTTCTATTTTCTATAATATTGTTGACTAGAGACTTTGGGGAGTTGCTACAAAATTCGAAATTAAGAAAATTAACTTCAAGTCAAGTCAAACAACTTACTCTTTACAGTAGAACAAACTTGATACAATCAATTTAAGTATTTCAGTTAATAAAACTACCGTAATTATGTTATAATCATATTGGTTGTCTGCTTTTTGTGATGCTGTTACTAATATACCTAGAAAAGAAAACAAAAATAAACTGCAAAATTAGCATTTTAAAAAGTTAGGTACCTTGCCCCACAAACAACAATATGTAAGCTATAAAAATCGCAAAACTGAGTCTTGTAGGAAACAATTCCATCCACGAAAACGTCGACATTTTCGCATTATTTACGACATATTAACTTACAACTTTAATAATGCAAACACCAATTGTTGAGTAAATACCATTTTACGAATCATTTTATCGCTTGATAGCTCATTCTTGGAAAATTTTTAGGTTATGCAATACAAACATCCTAAATACGGTGATTATATCTACGGTAAAAATGTAGCTAGATATAATAAAATGTCTACATTTTATCACCACTTGAATTTTTTCAAATTAACATTAATAATTATCTCTGATACTCAAATTTCTAACCATTTTTTTTACGTAACTTTAGACACTAGTAACTGCCTAAAACTATCAAAAATTATAATATTGTGTTTTTTTCTTTAAATAAAGTGCTAAATAATCGTTAAAATGATTCGTTAAGTGATAATTAATAGAAACTTTTTATTATTTTTATTGTTATTATTCAAATCTAACCATTTTTGTTACTTTAAACACCGATCAACTGTCAAATTTCATGCTGTCAAAAATTATACAAAATAAACTGTCATTTCTTGAAAAATATAACCGAAGAAAAATCTTCAATCATCTGTTAATTTACAGTTTGTAGTGGCTTCTTTTGATTTTATTCGAATAAAATGACGATTCAGGCATCGATGGGTGATGGAAATAAAGGGCGAGGCGTCGTATACAAGGACAAAAGTAAGCCAAGTGATGTCCGTCTCAGCAACATAAATGCGGCAAAAGGTAAACATTAATTTCCTCAAAATATACCCTCGAATTTGTTCAACTTTGACCGTTTTATCAATTTTTACTGAAATTCGGTATGATTATTGCTCATTTTTCCGACTTAATTAGCCAAGTTTGTGTAATATCGCAACTTTTTTTCACAGCTGTCTGCGATGCCATTCGCACGAGTTTGGGGCCAAGAGGCATGGACAAAATGGTAATCATAATAACACACTAAAAGTTTATTTAATAATTATCATATTTTAATTAGATTCAGGCGAGTAACGGTGAAGTCACCATCACCAACGATGGGGCCACGATTTTGAAACAAATGAACGTCATACATCCGGCTGCTAAAATGGTACTTTATTGAGTTTTGTAAAATTGATTTAAAAACGTAATTTTTTAGTTGGTTGAGTTGTCACGTGCTCAGGATGTTGAAGCCGGCGATGGTACCACAACTGTTGTTGTAATAGCGGGGGCTTTACTCGATACTGCTGAAAAATTATTAGCCCGAGGGATTCACCCAACTGCAATTTCTGAATCGTTTCAACGAGCTGCCAAATACGCCGTTGAAGTAATTCTACCATGACACATTGAATGCACTTGTTTTTTTTTCTTTTATTGTAGATTTTAACAAGTATTTCAAAGCCAATTTCGTTGGATAATCGCGAACAAATGGTTAAGAGTGCGTCAACTTCATTGAATTCGAAGGTTGTTTCACAACAATCAAGTCTATTGGCCCCTTTAGCCGTAGATGCGGTTTTAAAAGTAGTGGAACCAGGTTGTTTTTTTTTTTTTGAAAAAGTATAAATGTTTTGTTTATTGTTGAAATTTTAGGTCATGAACAAGTCGTTTCTTTATCAGATATCAAGGTAATTAAACAAATTGGTGGCACGGTTGAAGATACCGAATTGATAGATGGTCTTGTTTTTCCTCAAAAAGTTGCAAATGTCAATGGTCCTAAACGTATCGAGAAAGCCAAAATTGGTTTTATTCAATTTTGTATTTCTGCACCAAAAACAGACATGGATCATAATGTCATTGTTTCGGATTATGCTGCCATGGATAGAGTCCTTAAGGAAGAAAGAACTTATATTTTGAATATTGTGAAACAGATCAAGAAGGCTGGATGTAATGTCCTTTTGGTAATTAATCATAATTTTCTAAACAAGTCAGTTACGTGATTTTTTGAATTTTTTATTAAAGATTCAAAAGTCGATTCTTCGTGATGCCGTTTCCGATCTTGCTCTTCATTTCCTCGACAAAATCAAATGCATGGTCATCAAAGATATTGAACGTGAAGATGTCGAATTTGTGTGTAAATCTCTTGGTTGTCGTCCCATTGCCTCCCTTGATCATTTTATCGCTGAAAATCTCGTTTCGGCCGAATTGGTTGAAGAGATCGGCGTCGGTGGTAGTCGCATGGTGAAAATTACCGGTGCTCAAAATGCCGGTAAAACAGTTACCCTTTTGGTTCGTGGCTCGAATAAATTGGTACTTGAAGAGGCAGAAAGATCATTGCATGATGCATTGTGCGTTATACGTTGTTTGGTACGAAAAGGAGCTATTGTAGCAGGCGGTGGTGCACCCGAGATTGAATTGGCATTGAAATTGGCGGCTTTGGCCGATACGAAAGACGGCATTGATGCTATTTGTTTAAGAGCGTTTGCAAATGCTTTGGAGATTATTCCGTTTACGTTGGCGGAAAATGCAGGATTGAATCCGATTCAAACGGTGACTGAATTGAGGAATCGACATGCTAAAGGGGAAATTTCGGCGGGGATTAATGTGAGAAAGGGGGCGATTTCGGATATTTTGGAGGAGAATGTGGTGCAGCCGTTGTTGGTCAGCGTCAGTGCGATTACGTTTGCTACCGAAACGGTTAGGTCAATTTTGAAAATTGATGATATTGTAAGTATTTTTTTTTTCAATTTCAATCAATTTCAATGTTTTTTTTTTTTTTTTTCAGGTGAACACGATGACATAGATCTTTTCTAACTTTTTAGTGTTTATTAACATGTCACAAGCTATTAATATGTAGTATTATAATAATAATTCTCACTTCGCTTAAGCATTATTTTATTTGGATAAGAAACAAAGACAAACGATTTGTTTTTTTACAAATAAAATATCTACAATAACTCTGTAACTATTATAAATTATTAGAAAATTACTCTTTAGTTTTCAACTGTTTTAAAATCTGTTCAGAAACAACTTTTGTAGCCTTATCGGCATTTGGTATAAGAAATCGATCCATGTCAGATATAATTAAATTCTCACCATCAGGTACCCCATATTTGAAGGTGATAAGTTCTGGATGACGTTTTCTCGCAGTTATTTTAACAATTGCCGACAAGGGTCGTTTCACAATAACTTCAGCAATGCCTTTTCTATCGGGCATTTCTCTAAGTACTATAAGCTCATTATTGGTCACAATCAAGTGACTTTTATACATGAATCCATTGATTTTCACCTCCTGACATGGAAAATGTTCAATGACTTCAGGATGTTTCAGCCATGATTGAATTTGGACCAATTCTCGACTATCTTCTTCATCGACATTTTCTATATTTGTGACACTATCATGATCATCATCTATACTAAAAACCGGTGCAACGTTTCTATATCTTTTCCCGTCGATTTTATCACTACTGCTGACATGTCTCTCTTGCACAGGACTATTATTAGGATTAACGATATAATCGATAAGTTTCTCTTTAACTTCTGCCGATTTGGACTTCATCGCAGCTGAAATTTTTCCAAAAAGATCAGTGGTCGATTGTCCCGACTTGAAACTAGTTTCGGCTTGCTGATGATGTAAATGATGTGGACCACAAACGATACAAAATTTGGGGTTGTGGTCTTGTAGATACTCATCTACATTATCGGAAAAATAATGATGGAGTGCGATATAACCTCCTGTGAGGAGAGACACATATTGGGTGTGTTTCTGGAGGAAGGAGGCAACAACCATATGGGTGTATTGATCCTCCTCGTTACGTCCCGATCCCAAAAAACACAAATGTTCACCACCAGCACTCGAATTATGTGCTAAAGCTTGTTTCTGGGCCGAAAGTAAGCCTTGGACTGCTGTAGTGAAAGCGCTAGGTTCTTGAAGCATCAAATTGCAGTCCAAATGAAAAGCTGTAGGTAAATGACCAGCATTGTACTGTTCTACAGGCCGACAATCAACGAGGAAAAACCTAACAGCGTCGATATTTCCAGTCTCGTGGGACGTATTTTCTATTAATTCGCTTACGGAGACTGGAAGACATAAAGCTTGAGACACTAGAGCTGATTCTTCCCCACTTTTTCCGTTATTATTATACAAATTTTGCATTAAATCAGTTCGGAAACTGACGGGTGTTTTAAGAGCATAATACTGGGCCAACGAACAGAAATCGCCAACATCGTCGGCCTCAAGAGCACACGGCATATTTGCCAAATTCGAAATAATAACATCTCTAGTCTCACTTTTCATTGAAATAATCTGTTCACGAGCGTTTATGACCATAATTAAAGAAAGAAAAAAAATGAAAAATGGATCAGATTGTTGGAAATAATAGTCCCACATATTTATGACGACTTGGAGATTGCAAGTAGCCGCAAAAAGGGATTGAAACCATGACAGACAATACTTATCAGGTGTGATACGTTTAGTGTCAAGAAATGAACATAATTCTGGATCGTGGTAAAGTAACAAAAGACGTAAAATGTGAAAAGCATTGCCATCATCAGTATGAGGCACATATGTGTCTTTGATTGCCTCAAACAAGTTATAAGTCGTTGAACGTGGGACTTTAAGTGTTAGCAAAGGAAGCAAAAGTTCAATCCATCCGTTATTTTTCTCATAAGATAAATTACGACTCTTGCAATAGAATGTTAAAATTGATTCTAAATCGGACACAACCGATAATTTATCCTCTTCATCGTTTCCAAGTTTTGAGACGAAAGTCGTGCAGTCTTCTCGTAGCACCGCTTGGTTAGGCAAATCATAAATTTCATTAAAATGATCGAGTTGGTTTCCCTTGTCTCTTACATCGAGGCATAACTAATAATTAAAAAAAAACATTATTGTTAATAACAAATTATTTTTTGTACTAACCTGCCAGACTTCAGCCCTTAAATTGTCTGGTAGGGGTTTGCCTTTGCAAATACAGTAAATATCAGCAACGGAACATTCCTCCAGTAAGGCATTTTCCAGATCGGCGACCCTATGAGACACACAAAAAATGCAGATAAAGTAAAGTAATGGTTTTAGTTGTGATTAAAAACTTACCACCCGTTATCATCATCAACACTTGCCATTATTATCACATATTAAACGAACAAAAGCAAGGAAAAAGTGAAAAGGACCTCATCAACAACGTGTCAAAAGTGACATTCAAAACAGGTGATAAAAGGGATTGGCAGCCCTGCTTGTCAAATATTAAGGAATTTTATTATCATTCTTCGTCCTAAAAAGTAGTACCTTTAAAATTTCGCGGGAAAATACATTTTAGTCTTGAAAAAAGGTAGTATTAATGAAATGTAACAAATAAAATAAATACAGTTTTCAATTTCTTTATTAACCGTTTCATTTCTTTGCTAAACAAAGTATAATTCTATAATAAAACAAAAAAGAATATCAAAATGCATCAAAATAAAGTAACGCAAGTCCTTACAATATCACTGTCACTACGAAGACGTCATTAAATTATGTAATACATTTATTATATAAAAGTAGTATATAAATTGTTACTTCTGGGCCAGGACATTTGGCGTCTTCAAAAAACAAGGCAGAATATTACAAATTCAGCTCTTCCTCCAAAGGTAAACATTCGAAAAAGATCTAAAACCCTTCAGAAAGCATTAATTTTTATGCACCCCAAAAGTACGAAATATCTGTAGACCACCAAAAATTGGGCACATGAAAAAAACTTTAAAACTACTTTAAGAACGCCCTAAAAAAACTAACAAAATACCGTGTTTTTACACACCCCAAAATGGCTTTTTATTTCTGGACGAAGCCATTTGGCGCATGCATAAAAAAGTAAAAACAACAATAAATCAAGGAGGGTACTACGATATTTGACGTCTTAAAAATCTAGGCAGAATCTTAAAAATTTATGATTTCCCAAAAGTACCTAAACAACTTTTAGCCTTATTCTTAACTTTATTACTCATCATGAAATTAAGTGAAAAATAGTGCTGTTATTGCCTTTTTTGAGTATTTAAGTAACTTTTGAGATACACAAAGCCTTAAAATCACTAAATTAGGCCGAAAATGACACTATTTTCTAATTTTTTTTAGCGTTTTAGCACGTTTTGGAGTCAGAAACGAAATGATTTTGTAAAATTTCCTCTAAAATAAGCCGAAAAAAATTCACCAAATGTCTCAAAAATATGAGAATATGTCTTGTTTTTTTGCACTTAAAATATTAGGTTGTTTTATTGGAATTCGTTAATTTTTTCTCAAAAATTTCGAGTTTTAAAATTATTATTAAATTATTGATTGAAAAGATGCTCGAGAATAACGAGTACTGGAGAACTGTGCAAAGATATGCAGAGGAAATTCTCAAAACAAAAGAGATGGAGGAAGAAAGAGAGAGAGATAGGGACGATGAAGATTCCTTATCCCAGTAGAATTTCGAAGTGGACATATTCTGTGAAGGGAGRGATAACCACCGGCGTGCAGGAGGCGGCCAAAAGGTGGTTTTGAACCCCTGAGCGAATATGATCTTGGAGCGAAAATGAATGGAGGAATGTCTGTGGAGACAAAAAGGACAAGCCCTTCTCCCTGAAGAAATGCTGGACGGCGATACCGGGGGGTAGGGTAGGAGGAGTAGGAGGGGCAAAAATCCTTAAGGACGTGCCTCACTACC